ATATATAGGTTATAGATTTCTTTAGGTATACGCCCCTATACCGGCCGCGATTAGACTAAGGCCGAGGGACGCCTTATAGATAACTAAGTAGTTATACCCGAAGACTTTCACACTCTCGGCTAGAAGTATATTAACACTAGACTTAAAGATTAAGAAAAACGCGGTAGCCACCGCGCTATAGTATTCCCTGTACTATATACCGGAAGCGAAAAGGGTAAAGATACCTTAGAGGCCACGGCTAAGCCCCGTAAGAAGGGCGACCGTGGGAAGAATAAAGCTAAGAATCCTACTACCGCGGTATCTATAGCTATACCTTTAGCTGCTTTACCTAACCGTTCCTCTTCTAAACGCCGTTAATCTACTCTATAAAGAGGTTAGATCTACCGCATATACGCTATACCTGGCCACGATATTAACGCCTACTTCTATGTATTCCCGGATACGGTATATAACGATTAGACACCCTTTAAGAGTACTAAAATAACCGTCTAACGGATCCTTAAATACGACCCCTTACTATGTGCGGAAGTGGAAGAACTACGCGCCGTAAAGAAGGTGAAGAAGGATATAAGCCGGGACTCTGTATAGCTTAAAAAGGCGTGACTTAACTATAGTAGCGTCCATAACGGCGTCTCCCACGCCGCCACCTTTACGGCTAGCACTACTACTAGTTACCCTCTTCGAACCTCTGCTATCCTTAATTCCGGCGCTACTATTTATATATTTAACGACTTTTCCCGTTTTTCTGATTTTATACCCGCTACGCTAGGAGACTACGTAGTCGTAGGCAGTTTATCCTTGCCTATTAAAGGTTACGGTAATATAACCGTGAGATTAAACGGACTAATAGGAGGCCTCGATTTCAGGCTATTAAATATCGTATACTATAAGGATTTTACCTATAATTTAATTTCTAACTAACGCCTATATCTTCGAGGATACTAGTAGGATTAGAAGCCACTAAATAACTGTATTCGGCGTTCCGATAGATCTATACTATGCTAGCTAAGTCACCGCTTCGATTAAACCGTTATTAAATACGTGCCCTCTAACCGATCTACGGCTGCTTTTCTAGGCTCTTCTTCTTCTTCTACTACCCGAAAAGCCGTCTATAAATTAACGATACGATATTTAAGTACTATAGAGGGCATCCTATAGTATCTACGGCTAGGGCACGTAGGCCCTAAACCACTTCGGCACCTAGAAGAGCAGACGCAGGGGTTTAAAATCAAGGGACTAATAACTATTAACTACGAGGCCTACGAGCTTATAAAGATAAAGCAGCACGTTAGTAGGCACCCTTATAACGCACCTGCTTCTATAGGGGAGCGGTAGGCAATTAATTTCACGGATTTTAACCGAATATCCGACGGAGACTCGCGGTTTATATTTTTCACCGACCGTTATAGTGGTTTTAAGGCCACCTACGTTATAAAGAGTAAGCTAGTAGTGGATATCCTCGTAATAATAAAGGAATTCCTCGCCTGGGTAGACTGCTAGTTAGGCTATAAGGTGCGCGTTTTCGAATCTGATAACAAGCTAACTTAATCCCACGATATCACCTAATTCCTGCATAACGAGGGTATCCTTTTAGAGGTATCTACTACCGATACTTAAGCGTAGAACGGGGGTGTCGAACGCGCTACTGCCGTGGTTATCTTAAAAGGTTATGCGATGAATATCTATATAAAACTGCCGCCGTTTATATAGCCTACGGCTATTCCTATGGCCGCGTACGTCTATAACCGAACGCTATAAAGGCAGTATAATAATAAGGATTAGAAAACGCTATATAAGGTCCTCTTTAAAAAGAAGCCGATTTTATTACACCTTTAAGCCTACGGCTATAAGGCGTACGCGATAATAAAGGACGCCTAAAAGGTGGCTAATAAGCTATTAAATCGTATCGCTCTACGCGTATATATCGGCTACCTTATCGGCTACGATTCTACTAATATCTTCCGTATCTGGGTGCCTGGCCTACGCCGCTATAACCGCGTTATTCGAACGCGCGATATGGATTTTAACGAACGCGCCTTCTTTAACGGCGATATCGCCACCTTTAAGGACGACCTCCGTTAATTAACCGAGGAGTAATTAAAAGACCTAATTAGTTAGATCGAGTAGGAGAGGGCTAGATATTTACGGCCGTTTACGGACGTATAAGCTAAGGACCCCCCCTTTTATATAACTACATATTTTAAATTATTAGATCCGGGGATAAACGCCCCCGGGTCCCCTTCCTCGACGGCTTTACCGTTAAGGTTATAGTCCGTAATACCCGGCCGTAAGGGGGTGGAGGAGGCTATCTTAAGTTAATTAGAATAAGATATAGGTCACGAATAGTGTGATTTAGCCGGTATAGCGCCTAATCACTATCTATATCCGCCCGATCTATTACTTCCTACTCTACTAGTAACCCCGTTATCGGTTATAACGCTAATAGCAGCCGTTATATTAGAAAACCATAATACCCTTACGGCCGTAGGGTTTTAGGATAACGGAACACGGTGCTATAATACCCCTATAATTATAGCTATAGGGCTCCTTATAGATAAGGGAGCGCGACTAATTAAGTAAGGAGATAGCTGGAAAAGAGACTATTAGGTTATAGTATTTAACGCTAGCCGTTACGCACCTAATATATATATATTAAATAGGACTCCGCTAACTAAATTACGGTTAAAAAGGTCCACGCCTATAGCGTTATAGCGACGCTTAATAATACCCCGCGAATCCACGGCCCGGCGGTAACCACCGGAAGCATATCCTAGGAGGCTATCTCGGGAAATATAACCCCGGCGGTTACTTCGGCGGGTACTCCGGCGGTTACCCCGGCGGCCATAAAGATCTACCGTAAAGACCTCCCTCCTCCTCCGAAGAACCCTTACGATATACCCTTATACCCTTACGGCCACCTATTCTGATAGGTATAAGAAGACCACCTACGGAGCCACGAGGAGATAGGGTCATAGATACGGGTACCGGCGTCCGTAGTAGATAGATATTAGGTTCTTAATTCGATATAGGTGATAGTATATAAGTTCGATAAGCATAGATTTCTATATAAATATAAGGTAAGGCTTATAGTACGAGGAGATTAGCAGTATTAATCCTCGCTTAAGGAGACGTACGCAGTAATACTAGCCGGATAATCATTCCGCGCGTTAATAGCTATCGCCGCCCGATTTAACCTTACGCTATCATAATTTAACGTTATAAACGCGTTTATATACGCGCCCCTCTCCCACAATATCTTTATATACCCGCCGCCAGACTTTCTAGCCCCTAGGAGTTATTTACACCTAAACAAGGCATTATATAGACTTAAGGAGTCTTTACTATTTTAGTAAAAGCACTTCTCGGCTATCCTTTTAGCGGACGGCTTCTAGATAATGCTATAAGAACCGTGTTATTTTCTACGCCGCGGTTTAATCCTATTCTTCTACGTTAACGATATCGTTATTACTTATAAGGAATAATATAAGGCGTAGATAAAGCAGGCCGTTAATAACCTATAATGCTACTATAACCTATAAGGTGGCGATCCTCTATAGTGCTTCCTTAGTATTAAGTTTATTCGCGACCGCGTCGCCCGTAAAATCTAGCTATTATAACACGACTACGTTACTAAGTTAGAACGCCTATTAAAGCCGAATAGTAAGTATAGCAGTAACTATCGCCTAATACACCTAATTAAGGTTATAGAGCTACTGCCCTATTCAGGGACCTTAACTAACGTTAAAAGCTATTAACGGAAGATAGGATTTATACTATACGTAGTAGTGATATCGTGGCCTAATATCGCGTTTATAGTATTTAGGCTATACCGGTTTAACGTTAATCCAGTGCCTATTCACTATAAGGCCGCCGATTATCTAATCCTTTATCTAATTAATAGCTAATCGTTTACGTTAGAACTAGGGGGTAGCGATACTATCGAAATCTATACTAACGCCTTATTTACCGATAATACCCTTAATCGAAAGAGCAGTTAAGCATACGTGATACGCTTATTTAGCGGTATAATAGCGTGGCGCGCTAATAAGCAGGATACGGTTATAACGTCCATAACGGAAGCAGAGCTATTAGCGTTAGTATAAGGTGTAAAAGAGGGTATCTTTATATAACGCCTATTACTTAGTATAGGAGTGGAATTTAACGATCCGGAATTAAGGATCTTATACGATAATAACTAAACGATTCGATTAGTTAATTAAGAGATTAGCACGTTAATAACACGCCTCCGCTATATCGATATCCACGGCCACTAGTTACGTTAAGTAAAGAAATAAGGGTAAATACTTATAACGTATATTACGAGCGTGGAAATAGTGGTAGACGGATTAACGAAGGCGTTATATAGCGAGAAATTTAAGATATTCAGGTCCTAGGTAGGCGTGATGGATATACGGGAACGGTTATAGCAGAAATAGCTAGAGGAAGTCCGGATAGAATATTTAGAGGACCTAGAGGATGAATTTAAGGGCGGCTATAGCGAATAGATTATATAGCTAGATTATCTACCGATTACGAATAGCTTTAATCGCCTAACTAACGTTTAGGGCGATTAGGGGGTGTATCGAGTAGACTATAGTCTTTTCGGTTATGTAATAGGCCGGATTACTAAGAGTATAATCCGGGTAGATGCTTATAGAATCTGCACTATATAAAATACGGTGGCAGCGTTTCCCTGACAGTCTAAGACAGTTATAAGAGTACACAATTGCCTTAATCAATTTTGACCTATTTTTGCGACGATTTTGACTACGCTTTATCTGACAACTTGTGTGACCTTGGTTGGCCCTTACCCACCAGACCTACAAAGTACACTAGGGTACCCCTAAGGTGAAGGAGTGGTCGAAGCCGCGACAACCTCACTTATTAGGTAAGACGACCCGTCTAATAACCCTTGGATAATATATTTCATTCATTTTTTATTTATTTATTTATTGATTGATTGATTTTCTCCTTATCCCCACCATAGGGATACAGATAAAGGTTCGTCTTTTTTAAGCCGCTCTCATGGACTCTTCACTGATCTCTCCCTTGCTCCACCTCCCTACCCTCCCCTGATCGCACGTCTCCCACACCCTCCTCCGCAGCGCCCTCAGGAGCCGCGCCTCCTCCTCGCTCCCGCCCCCTTGCTCCATCCGCACGGCCTCCTGCGCCTCCAACCAGCTCACGATCCCAAACCTCGTCACCAGCGTCGTGCTCCCCCCCTCAATCTCCGTCGCCCGGTACACGACCCGCAGCACCCTCGTCACGAGGTTCGTCCGCATGTACGGGTTCGCCGCCAGGCCCAGCACCTTCTCGAACCACTTCTTGTGGTGGAACACCGCCAGGTCCGCCCGCGTCCGGAGCCCGTCGAGCAGGTACGTCAGCAGCCAGCTGACCTCCGTGTAGTACCTGTCGTCCGGGGACGGCTCGCCGTGGAAGATGTCGTGCGCCAGCGGCATCTTGTCGGCCGGCCACACCGGCGACCGCGTCAGGTACATGTTGACTTTCGGGTAGAGGCAGTGCAGCGGGTTCTTGATGATGTCGACGGAATGGAGCGCGAACGCCACTAACGGCGACGCGACGGGGCCCGATGGCACGAGGCCCTTGGACGACTCGGCCAGCTCGGAGAGGAGGAGCCAGAGCTGGTCCTTTTCCTCGTACGACGACTCTTTGATCTTGGCCGCCATCTTGAGCAGGTTTGTGAGTGCTTCTTGCCTGATGCTCAAATGCTCCGACCACAACAGACGCATCAGCGCCGGGATGTATTCCCCGTCCACCAGGTCGTCAATGGACTTGGTGACCCACTTGGAGAGCGCCGAGTTGTCCTCTTCCGCGTGCAAGGGCGCCTGAAGAATGGCTTCGAGACGGCCATCGCCGAGTGCTTTGGTCGTTGGCTGCTCAGCAGCGTGGTGGTCAGCCTTGGAGGAAGTGGTCTTCACGCCAGAGTCGTTGGATTTTGAGGAATCGTCGTCATCAGCATCAGCATCAGCATCAGCATCAGCATCAAGCAAAGCGGCTTTAAACCGTGGCTTGACCTTAGCGGGAGCATGAAGCAGAGTATTCAGCCTCTCCGCAAGGACGTCGATCACCCGTTCGTTCTCTCCCGATCGTTTGGCATAACCCAAAAACGATGAAAGGATTCTGACGAGTGCCTCCATCTGCTCAGCGCTCGCGTCCTTGGCCGCAAAAGGGGCCTGCTCGACCATCGTCACCAGGACCAAGCTAACAGGCGAGCGCGGCTGCGACCTTGACGGCGATCCCCCCGCCTCGATGATCTCCTCCATCAAGTCCATATACTTGAGAGGAGAGATGGCGCACCTGTTCACGCAATTGTCGAGAAACTTCCACAGCATGTCCCCATGCTTCTTCCCTACCTCCCGCGGCACGCAGAAAAGCAAACCCGGCCCATTTTTACTCTGGACCACCTGGTTCTGCGTGGAAACAAACTCGAGCACCTCTCGGAGCCTGGCCAGCGACCGTTCTTGGGAGACACCGGCGTACACGCGTAGCAGGGCGACGAACGGCGAAGTGCCCAGTCCCTCGGCCTTGGCGAACCACCGCATGCCGGGCGAGTATCCCGCAATAGCGAGCAGGTTCTCCAGCTCCATCAACCCGAGCGCTTGCTCCTGCTGGTCCCGCTGGTCCTCCCTCATGTTCTCGAGCCGGCCCAGCGCGTCGAGGAGCGAGGACGACACGTCGTAGTTGGCCATCAGCGCCATCTGCGGGATCACCTCGTAGTACAGTAGCAACAGCCGGCTCGCGGCTTCCCGTTGCAGCACGTTCTCCTCCTCGGGGATGGCCTTGTAGCATTTCGTGACCTCTTTCATGTCCGGTATCCTCTGGCAGAACTCGTCGACAAGCCGACGGGCCGCGGCTTCCCATATGGACTTGTTCGCGGCGCCGTCGGCCGCCTCCCGGTGCATCCGCAGGGCCTCCCTCAGCTTCTGCAGAGCCAGGATTAATATACGTGTGGCGAAGAAGGATATGAGGTTCGAGTCGCTCGATAAACTTCGAACCAAATCCTTCTGCTTCAGCGGCGCTGGGAGGATGTTGCCCAGGAGCACCCACGTCGGGGGGGGGATCCGGTGATACCTCGACCTGTTACCGAAATACCTGGGTATCGGCAGCTGGACCGTGTCGAAAATGAACGTCGCGTATCCGATCCACGTCATGGACAGCTTCGGTTCGAACGAAAAGGCACTGTTCGCCAGAAAGTAGCTGGCGGCGAGCTCCGGTGCCGCCGCGAAGATGGCCACAATCAGCTCGCTCTGCCTCAGACTCGACCACGGGCGCATCTTCTGGATAAACTCGTCCAGCACGAAGTTGGCCACGGGCACCTCATCCCTGTACTTGTCCAGCCAGCCGACCCTCTCGAGAGCAAAGTCGTCCGAGTCCTTCACGTCTTGCGTAATCGCGTCTCTGCCTTTGGCGTCTTTGGGGTACAGCCCGGTCCCCGTGTATAGAATCCCCGAGCCCGGGGTCGTGCACGCGTGAATGAGAAAACCGTGCACCGTGTCTTTGACCGACGGTCGACCTTCCGCTTCCTCATCGTGCCTGTAGCTGTAGAGACCCGCCAGGCGATCCAGGGTTTTGGTCCCGAACGCTCGGAATTTGGCCTCGCGGGCGACCTCGTCATCCATCAGGACGTGCTTCTTCAGCGTCTGCAGCATGTCGACGATCAAGTAAGCCGGATCCTCCTTGAGCAGGAACGTCAAATGCGAGACGACCTCCTTCTGCATCAGCAACTCCTTCTTCGCGTCCCCCGGCAGGAATTTCAGGCACGTCATGAAAAGCTTGATGGCATTCGTCCGGACCGAAGGCTTCGTGGGGTCCTCGGGTCCGCTGTCGGTCGAGTTCCGCACCTCGAGGTTCCGCGCGAAGGAGGCGAATGTGAAATCCCGCGCCCTGAACAGCCGTCTTGCCAGCGCACCGCCGTCGAGCGAGGCGACCTCGCGCAGGAGACGCAGCGTGGGCGAGATGATGAAGCCGCTCCCCTTGGACGCCGAGAGGTTCCTCGCTATGAGCTTCAGTTGCCTCTCTTGGAGGAGAGTCTGCGCAATGCCCGTGGCGTCGGGTAGCAGGTCTAGAGACCCCGAGATGATCTGGAGGAGCAGCGCGAGAACGGCGGGCACGGCGGCCGTGATGCTGTCGTTGTGGACCTGGGAGCCGAACGCCCAGGTCTCCATGAGGTCGGATAGATACACCGCATCTTCGCTCGCGATTCGGGGTCTTTCTGATTCGAGGTATTCCCTGAGTAGGGCGAGGCGTTGTTGGTTATTCTCGTTCGTGTCGGAGGCGAACTTATCTAGGAAGACTTTGAGGGATTGGATGCCTGCGAAGAAGAAGGTAGGTGGGCATTAGTTAGTTATACGATACCATACCATGTGAGATAGCATAGTAATAAGCACATCCTTGCAGACGGGATTGTTCGACCTACCATGCCTCGCTCGCTTCAGATCCTGGTCGAAAGATAGGAGCTGTCGCAATTGGCGACCCGTGTGAATCTCCTCGAATGTCGGCGTCTCGTGGACCAATCTTTGTCTCTTGCGGCCGCCGTTCGGACCATCGACGTCCCTGAGTTGCCGCTTGCTCATTCTAGAAGAACTGAATTTGTGCCGCCAGGTATATCTGTGATCTGAAGATGTGGCATGTCTTCGCAAAAATAGCAAAATATCCCCACCTAAGGGACGAGGCCGGACCTGCTGGGGAAAATGCGATTTAATGTAAGGAAAATAAAAAGATTCTGCCGGGATTGACCGCTTTCGATAAGACCCGATGTGAGTTAGTGTGAGGCGGGTAATAGTGGGTTCCTTATGCTGGTTGGTTATTGATTTTATTTTATTTTATTTTGTTTTGTTTTGTTTTGTTTTGTTTTTCTTTTTTAAAGGGGTTTATTCTGGTGGTCCTCCCCCTTAAATCCTCCACGATATCAGTGTTCGAGGCCATCAACGTCCGACAGTGACCAAGCTCAGGACTTTAATTAATGGTATTTCTTCGCCACTTAATACTTCTCATGAAAATGACCAAGAATCGTGACATTACTAGGGAATCACGGGAGAAAAAAAGAAGAAAAGAAAGAAAAAAAAGGTAACGCCTCATCCCAAGGACAGCTCCCTCCCCTTTTCATGCTACCGTGAATCCAAACCAGACACGAGTAAGAAATGTACCAGCTCTTCGCTTTCCTCGCGGTGTATGTCCGCATCTCTATTATTCTGCTATTATGAGCCCCTGATCAAGTAGATGTGAAGTTCCATCTTTGACGTGACGGACACCCCCGTATACTATCCTCCTGTAGTCACGATTACAATATCCCGTAAGTTGTCCTCACGGAGAGATCGCAAGTCAGATAAATACGCGGCCTCCTATAACATAGCCCCCTGTGAATACGGAGGCTGCGCCTGTTTAGAGGTGAACAGGTTAGCCGGCAATTTGGGAACCGGCGTCGGGGGCGCCGCGCGCTCAGCCCGCAACAGCTCGCGCGCCCGATCCGCCTCGCGCGTCCTCCCACCCGTCAGGCGGCGGATGCGCGTCCGCGTGCTCTGCGCAATCGGCTGGATCATGCTCTCCAGGGAAAACGAACTCTCGCCACTATCCGCGTTCGGCCTCTCGTCGTCGGCGTCCGAGAACACGTCCTCGGTATTGTATTCGTCATCGGACGTGAACTCGCTGATGTGAGGCTGGTAGGACGCCGGCGCCGAAGGCGAAGTTATGGACCTCGTGTGCAGTGGTGGCCGGGGTGCTGTCGTCGTCGTCGCTGCCGCTGCCGCTGCCGCCGCCGCCGCCGCCTGGAAGGCACCCGGCGTCATGGTGTTGGAGATGCTCGGCTCCCTGGAAAAGGGGGGCCTGTCGGTGAATCCGTTCTGGAACGTCGCGTTCTCCGAGACTTGGTGGAGGATGGGGAGAATCTGCTCGTCGTATAGCTGCGGCCCCGACTCGTACGTGTCTGGTGAGAACTCGGTCACGGTCCTCGACGACCGGCCTTCGCTCGGCGGTGGGCTGACGCCTAGATCGTCGAAGAAGTCGTCCAGACTGTCTAGCTTATTCACAATGTCGCCCATGATACCTCCGTTCCCCCGACCCTCATCCGACACCATCGTATCTGTCCGATCGGGCAGCATCTGGAAGTAGCCATACGTGAAGTCGTCGGCGTGGAACTCGACATCCGGCGTCGAGGAGACGTCGGCCATGGTCCCCTCGGCATTCTGGCACATGTAAAACGCGGCATGGATGTTGGCACGCGTCGAGTCCGTCTTCTTTGCAGGCATGGGAATGGCCCAGCCAGACGACTCCGGGATACCGAAGAGACTCTGCGTACGCTCGTATTCCTTTCGGATCGTCTTGGACGTCGACCGCGTCATGCTCATTCGCAGGTGCTGTTTGTCCATGGCACTCCCCGACATGGTCATGATGTTGTCCAACACCCGGAGTGCTTCCATACAGTACTCTGTCTGTAACAATCGTAGCAGCGGGGAGATGAGGTCGGAGCCATGGCCTGCCAACTCCGGTCTCCGCATATCGACCTCCGGGATGACCGTGCTGAGGATGCTCATGGTTTTGATCTTCACCCACGGAGTCGAATTCGTGAGGAGACCCATCAGAAACACGATCATGTTGAACTCGAGTCTGGGGAGGAAACTGTCTCGCAAGGCGGAGAAGAGATGCCCCTGGAACTCGCCCGTCTCCCCTCTGTACTTCAGAGCGGCGTAATCCCCGAGGACTTCTGCAATGCTGTCGTAACCTCGAGCCTCCGCCACGGCGCAGAGAATCTCTGCCGCATGTAGGGCTTTGTCGCCCGGCATTTCCTGCTCCATCTCGTGCAATAGACGGGGGAAATGGGCCAGCACGGCGAAGAACAGTCGGCTATCATCTCCGACAAGACCGTCGTTTGGCAATTGGACCACTTTGTTGATAATGCCGAGCGCCGACTCCATGCAGCGGGAGGATCGCAGCCCCTTATAGAGCAGAGCTTGTAAACCGTCGAAAGGGCCCTCCCACCGCGAAGGTTGTCCGTCGGAGAGGAGCCTGCGCACGCTCGGGGACTGGAAATCCAACATCGACAAGAACACGTCGAGCATGTTGACGGCCTCCAAGAACTCCAGTTCGTTAATGGATTCAAGACAGGCGCACGTGGTCCAGAAGAGTTGCGGGAAATCGGTGAGGTTCTCCGCGTCGAGCTTGATAATGAGTGTCTTGAGAGTCGTCAAGATCTCCATGGAAAACGTTTGGATCTCCGAGTCCTCGTCCGCGATCGTGTTCGACAACCGAGCCAACATGTCGCCCAGCATGAACTGGTCCAGCGACGTGAGCACGCAGCGGAAGATCTGGAACGAACGGCACGCAAGATGCCGAACGGGGCAGGACGTTGCCCAGGTCAACGACAACCGTCCCCATTGCTCCTTGATGCCGGGATATGTCATCGAAAACGTCTTTACCACCTCGCTCGTTAGATATTCCATGCTTGCCGGAACCTTGTTGTCGTGATCGTCGCCGTCAACACCTTTGCTGCCGTTGTCGCCGCCTGCTTTGCCGTTGCCGTTATTATCTTCGTAACCCCATACAACCGACTTGTCATGTCGGCGAATCAGGTCGATCAAGTTTTCGATCGACTTTCTTGCTGCCGCCGGCGTCTGCTCGTCGAGCCGCGAGATAACAAGCTCGTGAACGAGATGAACAAGCATCTCCCGAGCCTGTTCCTGAACCAATGGTGTATAATGGTCCCACAGAACGGCGACGACGTGGAGGAGGAGGGGCACGTTCTCGGGAGCCAGTTGAACGGGGGAAACCATGAGGTCGACCAAGAGAATAAGAGACAGTTGGCCCAGGGAGAAGCCGGCCTGCTTCGTCCCGATCGGCCGGGCTTCGCTGAGATCTGCGCAGTATGGCAGCTGGACGATGTCGGGTGGCGGCGGTACGACCTCTCTCTTCTCGTTCGGCACCATGGCCTTGGGAGTTATCTGCATCAGCAGAAACTCCACCACCTTGATCCCAGGCGCGCTCGTGGTACTCGCAAGGAAGACCACGATCTGCCTGGCGTACTCCACGAAGCTCTGCTCCCGACGTTCGAGGCATAGGGAGATGATGAAATCGAGGATAAGCCGAACGTTGCCAGGATACGGGCCCGTGGCGAGAGCTTGCCAAAGTGCTTGGACCTCGTTATGGAGCGCCGCGCTCGACTGGATGGTGATCTCTAGCAAGTTGGCTAGAAGCACGTACGACTGCGCAGTAGGACCTCCGTTCGGATCCACCTTCAGCTCTATCGACTGGATCCACGGGAGGATAATGGCGACGACGTTCCGTTGAGAAGCGGGCTGGAGGTTCTTGAAGTAGAGCGTAAACTCGGAGAAGATGTGGAAGGCCAGCTCCGTGTGCTGCTTGGCCAGCCGCTTGGATATCTCAAACTGCGCGTTCTTGTATACCGCCTTGGTCTTGTCCGAGATGCTAATATCGAAGTCCTGAATCCTGGAGCTTCGGGCTGGCTGTTGTCGCTCCTCGAGTGCCCTCAAGACCCGCGCCGATTTCGACCGTATTTCGCTGCTGTCGTTCCCCAAGGTGAAAAGGCACAGGCTTAGGAGCCTCCAGAACGGGGATGGGTAGTCGGGATAACCCAGGAGCACCTGGCTCACCACGGCAAAGTAGCTCTCGCGCAGCTTGGGGGCCTCCGACAGGTAGCACCGAGCGATGCACCCCTGTTCGAGAAGATACGGATACTCCCGGTTATGCACGATCAGATTCTGCAAGGCCCGACGGCCGATGAGGTTCATGCGGTTGCTGTCGGAGTTGAATATCGCCTCGATCCAGGCAAGCAACCTCCGCAGGTCGAACTGCAAGGTGGCACCGCTCTCGGTCGTGATACTCATGGGACCGCCGCACAGCGCCGCCATGGCACTGAGGGCCGCGGTCCGGAGATTACGCTTTTCAATCTCCATGGCAGCCGTAACCGTGCCCCGCTCGCCATGAGATTGCTGGCTGATCAGGGACTGTCTCATGGTATCTTCCCTGACCCGAATCTGGTTTTGGTTGGGGGAGAAGCCACACCAGTCTTCCATGAGGGAGAAAGCGGACTTCCGGGACTCGAAGGACATCCACCTCGACGGGTCTTCCGTCCGGTTGATCCCCTCAAATAGCTCTTCCATCAAGCCGCAGTAATGGCGCCGCAGCTTCTGGAACTCCCAGTCCAGTTGGACTTCCTCGTCCATGAGGAAGAGTTTGAGATCCCGAGTATACGAGACGAGATTGCCCAGGATCCACTCATCCTTGTAGACCTCCGGCTCCTTGAGGAAATGCGACGTCAACTTGTAGATGTGCGTGATCTCGGTCCGAAGCAGGTCCATCTTGCGGTTCCGGCGCGGGTTGCTGTTGGCACGTTGATGAATCCTTGCACGGGCCTCGTCGTTGCAGCGAGACGCTTGACCCGCGAGCTCCTCCAACAGAGGACGGTAAATGTGCATGTTGATCGAGCCCATGGCCAGCACGACAGCTTCGCGGACGGAAGCAGACGACGCCGACAGGAGGGGAATAAGGTACTTGAAGAGGAGCCGGGCCGAAACAACCGTCTCGGTGCTGCCCGACTTGGACGTCCTGCCACCGTGCGGCGTCTGCGAGGCCTGGACCGGGGTGGTGATTTGAGTCCCCGTGTCGGTCAGGGTTGTACAGGCAAAGATGAGATACAACTTCCACTGCTCTATTAGGACTTCTGGCTGTGCCGTCGGGGCGCGGCCACTCATCCGTCCACCGCCCGAATCGCTGCCGTAATAGAGCCCTCTGGAGGGTTCGGAGAGGACGGTTATGCTCTTGTACATCTGGAGTATCCGATTGCATATCAGGTCACGAGCAATAGTGACCGTGAACGGGCACTTCTCGTAGGTAATCCGAATGAGGTTGGGGAAGAGCTTGAACCAAAGGGTCGTGTCGTACGACACGTCGCTCGTGCAAAGCTCGAGGAGCGCTCCCCGGTTGTTGCTGTTTTGCATTCCGCGCTGGAGTCTGCTCCTCTCGGCAACCGAGAGATGTTCATCCTTAAAGCTCATCACCTGCATTGAGTCGTTTTCCAAGACGTCGATCACTCTCAACCCGTCCTTTTCTTCGTTCTTTGTCTTGCCGAGTGCCTCGTCAAAGTCTCTGATGAGCCGGAGCACGGTGATGGCGAAGTAGCGCACCCGGCGAGACTGGGAGCAGAGGAAGAATAGACCGTGAGCTTCAGCCTGGTCGACCTCAGCCCAGACGCTAGACAAATCGAGCTTCGTGCCCCTCATGTTGCTCGCCTCGCCTTCTTCTGCTGCAGCGTCTCTGGTCCTCTGCTTGATCTCCTCGATCCAAATTCGCAGCAGCTCGATATATAGCCGCAGCGTGCTTTCGATGTGACCCGTGCCCAGCATACCCCCATCGGACATGGTCGAATACCGATCGTCAAAGTTGAAGATGAAGCGGGCGAACCCCGTAGTGACTTGCTGCGCATGAGATTGGCGGGCGATGGCTTTCAACGATCGGGCCGACGACTGAGCGATATTACCTTGGACATGGGCCGTACCAGTGCAGAGCAGGTTGATCAATGAGTTGAAAGGTATGTCGGGAGAGAGACAGCGAGGAAGCGCCTGGACGGCAACATGCAGCAGCTCGTAGAACTGTTGCTTCGAATCGTTCGGTGTTTGGTGATCATCGCGCCGCGAGAAGTTGAACGTCTCCGTCATGGGCGTCTTGGGCGGCCCCGGGCTGCTAAACTTCTCATCGAGAGCTGCCTGGCCCCCGAAGGTGTTGTCGCATAGGATGGTAATCTTTCCGAGGACTTCGCAGAAGCGATGATAGTACTCGCGAGTCCCGTCGCTGAGGAGGCCCGTCACGAACGGACGCGACTGCTCCTCGGACTCGAAAATGGGCAGAGCAGGGGTGAGCAGAGGGACGTTCCGCGGCGAGGCAACGGTGGTGGGTGACATGGGCGCACGTTCTGTGTTCCAATTGGGAGCGTACGAGACGGGGAACGGCGGACGGCCCTGAACGCCTTGTTCCAAATCCGAAATGATCATCATGAATGCTCGGATACCCACGACAATACGGTCAGGATCCAGTTGCTCTACCTTGGATTCCCTGTTGGACATGAAGAGGTCGGCGTGGATGAGGGGGAAGACGATGTTCTTGAAGCAATACTCGGGATATTTGAAGCCGATGAGGCGGATAATTTGAAGAAGCGGATCAACAACGGCCGCATCCGATGCGACCAAGATGCGCCTAGTTGGCGGTAGAACGATCTTCATCACATCGTCAAGCTTCCGCGCGGCGTTGGCAGGGCTGTCGCTGGTGCGGTAAAGGTAAGTCCACACAAGCCTAGAGATGACCTGGAGGCAAAGTGGTCTGGTATATCGATCTTTGATCTTGGTCTGCAAGGGCAAGATGAGCTGCATCCATTGCGAGCTGAACGAGTCGGGTGTCGAGACGCAGAGAATGGTTACCGCAAGGGGAAAGGCAAAACTCCAGTGTCGCGGCTTCAGGGACATCTGCGCAGGACGTGATCCCAGCGCGGCGAGGGCCTCTGGCCACTTCGGGTGGGAGAGCTCTTGAACGCTCGCCTTGGCCGCAATAGGGAGCAGAAGGACATCGATGACTTGGCAAAAGGCCGTTTTGACCTTCTGCCCATGCGATCTGTTGAATAGCCGTCCGAGGGCCACAAGAAAGTCGCAGGATTGCTCCCACGCCTCCGTGGGCGCTAGCTTCAGCTTGAGATGCTTCATTCCCCCGAGCACCAACTCGATTTTGCCCTCGATGTCGCGGCCCGCTGGGGCGATGGAGCTTTTCGCCGCCAATTCCTGCAAGGACCGGTCGATGTCGGTCAGGAATTTATCGGCGACGGACTTGAAGTTGATGCCGCTCATGACGCCCAGCAGCTGCGCGAATAGGTTCCAGTTGGCAAGCTTGAGTGGGCTGAACATGAGCTGTTCGGTATCGGCAACTTTGAGTTGCCCAAAGATGATGCCTTCCAGCTTTTCTTCCATTTCCACTGTCAAAAGGGGAAGAGTGGTCTGGCGAATGACCTCGAGCAATACGCGGCAGAGGATGTATATGGAAACGGTGGATCGGCGCTCGGCGTGTGCCACGAACTCTTGTTTGGCCGCCAAGGACATCCCGGGACTCGCTACAGGATTGTCGTGGTTGGGTGCGGCGGAAGCGGACTGAATGGGCTCTGTGTTCCTCCGTTGTAGAGGGCCTGGGAGGGTTGCTTTGGACTGTTGGAGCTGGCTTCGGGCTTCATTGGCGGCGTCGCTTTTACTTTTTCTCCAGAGCATCATCGAGTCGATCAGAGGTTTCGGTCGAGGCCGCGCAATGTGGCCGAGGGCCGCAATAATCTGGTCGAAGGCCGGATCCACGCCAATACCACATATTTGCTCGACTTGAGGTTCCGGGTCGAACGGCACGGTAATGCAATCGTTGAGCTTTTCCTCGGCTTGGGCAATAAACTAAACTGAAGCGTTAGCATCTGCATAAATTGGTAGGAAAAGCGCCGGGAGGGGGGGGAGGGGGGGGGGGGGGGGGGGGGGGGGGGGGGGGGGGGGGGGGGGGGGGACGCACCTGGGTGAAAAGCACATGCAGCGCATATTCTCCCACTGTCTTCTGCTGCTCGTCCTTGTGATGTTTGGACGAGTGGGTGTGATGATGCGCACCCTCGCGCCTCGCCATGCTATGCATGCGTTCGATTCTTCTTTGGGTAGCCGAATGGGGTGTAGAGTCTAGGGGCAGAGGTGCTCTCTCGGAAACATTGGTGCCCGGGCCGGCTACGACGGTTGCGCCCGACAGTGAAGTCGAGGGCCGAGAGGAGGCAGGGGTGTCAGCTTCGAGTCGTGCCACAGCATGAATATCTGGTCGGTCGGCCGCAAAAGCAGCACCAGCCGCAGCGATCATCTGCGGGCTGAGGGGACTAGAGGATGCGCTGGCAAGGCTCCCATTGCGGGAATGCTGGATACCATGGACAATGGAGGTTTTGCGATGGTGGCCGTAGGAAACGCTCTTGGGATCGACGACTCTCTCGATAACGACGCCGCTGAATGGCTGGCGCGACTGGGAGCCGAGCCCCCGCGGGGAGGCTAACGAGGAGGAAGAGGAGTTGGCAGTGGCATTCGAGGAAATGGAGGACACGCCGCAGATTTTCTCAAGGGACGATTCGCGCGAGTGGGCAACGGAACGGACGGAGCGAATGGAGGGTGGTACCGGTTGGTCCAACGCGCCGGGCCTCAGGGTGCGGTCCCAGTCGGCCTCGAACGTTTCTTCTTCGTCCTCCTCGTCGAGGGTGGTGACGGACCGTGGAGAGAACTTGAGCGGATCCGAGAGATGGTCGGGCAGTGTCTGGGACGGGGCTACTATGCAAGCAGAAAAAGAATATTTTGTCAGTCAAGGTCAAGGCCACTTTCTTTCCCCTTGCCGGTCGGTCGATGGGGGATGCGGTGCTACGAAGGAGGAAGCGACAGCGGAACCATGCAAGCCTATATCCCAAAGTCCCTACGTCATCCGGGACAGCGAGCGAGTCGAGAGAGACGGCAAGACGGAGACGTGAAACGCGGGGGGGTGCAATGGAGGGAACGAGGTAAATGAACTGACCCATTGTCGCGTTGGACCGAATGCCATAGTTTGTCCTACGACATGCGAGATGCGAGAAATCGCTACCGCCCAGCAACCGGCAGTAAGCGATACCAGATAGGCGCCTACTTCGTCGATTGTTTCGTTTGTTGTAATAGATTGAAGATGGAGAGGGATGCAGGCGTTGATCCAACGGGTTGTGGTTGGCAAGACACGAGGTGACGTTTAGTCAGGGTATTTTTAACAAATTAGCCAAGGTACCGGCGCTCCTAAACAGACTGAGTGTGAAACGGATCGTTTTAGGCTTAGGCGGAGCACGCGACAGGCCAATCAGGAAGAAGGACGCAAACTGGGGGTGACGTCCCCTGTACCCCTATTCAAGGGTCCATCCAGTGTTGCGGCTGCAAGTCCGTACGCTGCACTGACTCCAGACGCGTATCTGTACTACGCAGTATGTAATTACGGAGTGAGTACGCATACGGATATTAAACAATATACTTTTTAAGGTACTTCGTAATGGCAGGCGAGAAACTGAGAGGTTCAGGTGCCAGCCCGCTCACCGACCTCTCCTCGATGTATTCGTGTAAGGTGGGGAGATTGACCAATTTCAGCTGGAAAGTTAGCAAGGCTCTGCTGTGCATTTGCTTTTTCTTCTGCTTTTTTCTTTTCTTCTTTCCAGGGAATAAATAAGAATGATTTCTACGGTACTTGGACGTTTCCTGGGTAGGTACTTATATACACGTGTGGAGCTTAACAGCTAAACCCCATTTCAGAAACTCATACAAATTTTCATTTATTGTTTTCTTTTTCTTCGGCGACCGCGGGTGCATTTGTTCAATGGCGCAGTTCCAGCAGCAAGGCGGATAGGTTTCTCTGAGAGTCGCTCCTCCTGACGGGAATGCCTTGTTCTGCATTGATCTGACTTTAGTATGGGATTGCCCTGTCTATTATTGATCGAACGATTAACTGTTGATAGCGCCGCGTATCTGTTGACGGGATCAACCTGTCGAAAGGACAGATTGTTGCCTCGAACACATTACTTTGACATGATGACTGGTCTTTGATTGACTTTCTTTCTTTTCTTTCCGTTTTTCCAATGGGGAAACATTCCGTTCCAGTCCTCCGTATCCCCAACGGAATCGGAAGATACCTCTTCGATCGGAAGTCAAGGCACCCCACCGCCCATGGGATCCTACCTACGATAAACTAGACTCGTATTCGGATACCGAAGGCCAACGGTCTACGCTAAGAGCACTAGAGACACGTATTTCGCAAGCCCTGATACCTAACCCTATAGGAATAAATATGCGATCGTGGGGTCGCCACTGTGCCCTTGTGGCCTTGTCCGCTTGAGCCTGTCCCGCCTCGCCGTTCCAAGTATATAAAGTACGACGCAGTAAAATCTGACGTTAGGACTAGAATCGGTCACAGCTTGCCGAACTCGTCCGATTCTTCGCCGAATGCTAAATGCCGGTAAAATCAAAGAAAATAAAAAGAAGAGTAAACAGCAGAGGAGATCACAGATCCTGACGGCCACCTTCGATGGCCAGGGTCCGTAACGGGCCGGAGGCGGAGTCCTTTCCCGTGCCGGCCCCCACCTTTTAGGCGTCTTCTTCACTTGCCCCCCACCATGTGGATGCGTGCGGTTCCCAACTCAAGTCACCCGCATGTGCAGCTGTGGGGGGCGGGACATGAATGGCGAGGTCGCTGAGAGTGAGAGGGAGCCTTGTCAAAATGACCCCTTTTCTACTATTTTGTATTATTATTTTTGAGACCTTTATTTTACACTACATATGAACACCTGTCCTCTTGGCGTCAATTTCATCATTATCGGTCTTTCTTGCATCTGCGTTCCCCTGCTCTTCCCTTTTTTTCCGTTTTTTTTTTTCCCTTTTCCTTTTCCGCTACGCACTTACCTTGCCCGGCTCTCCTGAACGAATAGTTGTCGTCGTTACCTACGTTGTACGTGCTAAGCTCGGGGCGTGCTTCGTACGGTACGAAGTACCTATGTACATCCATCTCGTCTAATCTGTCTCGGACTCGGTATTCCGTCTTCTCTCTCCCATCTGGACTTCCGAAGCGGGGCACTCAGGGCAGGGTATGGGAGAATACCGAGAGGAGATTCTAGAAGCTCGGAACACGATACGCACAACACACACACACACACACACACCCGTGCTCTGTGCTTATTTAATTTCCCCAACCACCAACTTCGTACGTGCTCCGTGCTCCGTACACTCCCCCACATGCTAGCCAATCCTAACTCAGTGCAAGTACTCCGTACACTCCTTCCTCTGCCAGTCGGTGTGCCTACCGGAGGGATCCTTCAAAATTGTTTCTCGACCCATACCTGGTCCCCAAACTTTTTTTTACTTTTACTTTTTTGTTTGTCTTACTTTTTCTTTTGTTCCGTTCGAGCCTCTCTACCCCCTTATCTTCCACCTGCCTTCCTACTTGGCGAATTGGTCGACTTGATCTTGACCATTTAGGCCTTTCAACTCTACGAGGTACGAGTCCTTTTCGTTGTCCACACTCCTTCAACGCCTAAGGTACCAACCGGGTTCAGATGAACATTTATTCCCGCTTACGGAGTAGTTGGCGTTGATTGGACCCCGTTCCAACTAATAAACGTGATTTAGGTTCCGCCTCCGCCCCCCCCCCCCCTCAGCCTACCCCCATCCTCCGCATCGGATATACTCGTGACTCGTGCATCAAGCTCACCGGCTTCCGAATCGGCATTTGGGCATTTGGCTATCTGGGTGTCTGGGGATTTTGGCACATCTTCCTCCTACCTTCCGACAAATTTTCATCTTCTGCCTCAGCAACTCGTGTTACGTCTTCTCAACACCATTTTCGTACTGGCAGCCTCGCGGTGATTTCGTTGCCTTGCAAAGCGCGTTTTCGTTCGTGCACAATATTTTTTTGCCCCCTCACTTTCCGCGATCGACTGAAATAGAAGACGCAAACGAGAGACAACCGGCGACATGGCGCAACTGGACACGCTGGACATCGTTGTCCTTTCCCTCATCCTTTTGGGGACGGTGGCGTACTTGAGCAAGGGCAAGCTCTGGGCTGTTGAAAAGGACCCCTACGCCAATGGCTTCGGTTCCGCCAATGGCACCACCAAGGCCGGAAAGACGAGGAATATCGTAGAGAAGATGGAGGAGTCGGGAAAGAACTGTGTCATCTTCTATGGCTCGCAAACCGGCACTGCCGAAGATTACGCGTCGAGACTCGCCAAGGAAGGCAAGAGCAGGTTTGGATTGGAGACCATGACCGCCGATCTCGAGGAGTACGACTTTGAGGATCTCGACAGCTTCCCTAGCGACAAGATCGCCATGTTCGTCCTCGCCACCTACGGTGAGGGTGAGCCGACCGATAACGCCGTCGAGTTCTTCGAGTTCATCACCGGCGAGGGTGTGTCCTTCTCCCAGGGCAACGACCCTCCCCTGGGCAACCTCAACTACGTCGCCTTCGGCCTCGGTAACAACACCTACGAGCACTACAATTCCGTCGTTCGTGACGTGAACAAGGCTCTCCAGAGCCTCGGAGCCAACCGCATCGGTGATGCCGGCGAAGGTGACGACGGTGCCGGCACCATGGAGGAGGACTTCCTGTCCTGGAAGGAGCCCATGTGGGCCGCCCTGGCCGAGAAGATGGGCCTGGAGGAACGCGAAGCCGTCTACGAGCCTATTTTCGAGATCGTCGAACGCGACGGTCTGACCCGCGATTCTCCCGAGGTCTACCTTGGTGAGCCCAACAAGATGCACCTCGAAGGCGAGGCCAAGGGTCCCTTCAATGCCCACAACCCCTACATCGCGCCCATCGCCGAGTCCAAGGAGCTCTTCAACGTCAAGGACCGGAACTGCCTGCACATGGAAGTCGACATCAGTGCATCCAACCTCTCGTACCAGACCGGCGACCACATCGCCATTTGGCCCACCAACTCCGGCGACGAGGTGGATCGCTTCTTGGACATCATCGGCCTCAAGGAGAAGAGGCACGCCGTCATCAGCGTCAAGGCTCTGGAGCCGACCGCCAAGGTTCCCTTCCCGACCCCGACCACATACGACGCCATCGTCCGGTATCATCTCGAGATCTGCGCTCCGGTGTCGCGCCAGTTCGTCGCCTCGCTGGCCGCGTTCGCCCCGTCGGAGGCTGCCAAGGCAGAGATCACCAAGCTGGGTGGCGACAAGGACTATTTCCACGCCAAGACGGGTGCTCACCTTCTCAACATCGCCCGGTTTTTGGAGTCGGTCAGCGGCGGCGAGAGGTGGCCCACCATCCCCTTCTCCGCCATGATTGAAGGCCTCAACAAGCTACAGCCCCGTTACTACTCCATCTCGTCATCGTCCCTCGTGCAGCCGCAGAAGATCTCCATCACCGCTGTTGTCGACAATCAGCAGCTCCCCGGCCGGAATGACCCGTTCCGTGGCGTCGCCACCAACTACCTCTACGCTCTCAAGCAGAAGCAGAACGGCGACCCGAACCCGGAGGTGTACGGCCATACGTACGAGATCATGGGCCCGAGGAACAAGTACGACGGCATCCACGTTCCCGTTCATGTCCGTCACTCCAACTTCAAGCTTCCTTCGGACCCGTCGAGGCCCGTCATCATGGTGGGACCGGGCACTGGTGTTGCGCCCTTCAGGGGCTTCTTGCAAGAGAGGGCCAAGCAGGCGCAAGATGGTATTGACGTCGGTCGCACAATCCTCTTCTATGGTTGCCGGAAGTCGACCGAAGACTTTGTCTACCGGTCTGAATTCGAGGTATGTTGTTGTTGCCTGCTACCTTTACATGCTTTCTTTTCTTTTCTTTTTCTTCTTTTCTTTTCCGTCAGGAGTGACTAACCACGTCGGACCATTAGGAATACAAGAAGGCCATGGGCGACAAGTTCGAGCTCATCACGGCCTTCTCCCGCGAGGGCAAGAACAAGGTTTATGTCCAGCACCGCCTCAAGGAGAGGGCCACGGAGATCAACGAGCTGCTTGAGAAGAAGGCCTACTTCTACGTTTGCGGTGATGCCGCTAATATGGCGCGTGAAGTCAACGCTTTCCTCGGACAAATCATTGCCGAGAAACGTGGCTTGTCAGAGGCCAAGGGCGAGGAGATTGTCAAGAACATGAGGGCTTCCAACCAGTACCAGGTACGTCCCAACAAGTCGCATATATGCCTCCTTTTCTTCTTCCCCGGCTAATCTTTACTTTCTCTTTTTTTGCAGGAGGATGTCTGGTCTTAAAAGGCGACTTCGTCTCGGAACACATCGATGAATGGGAATTGGAGAAAGAAAGAAAAGAAACACAAAAAGCGCGGCGCTCATGGCATCCGGGCGGGATCACTGGCAAGGCAGCAGAGATTTAGGGTGCTACTCGCATCGGCTGCTTTCTGTCAGGATTCTTTGCCATGGTCGGGTTTAGGTCTACGTTCTTGTTTTGCATTGAGGACAAACAGCGAGCCAGCTTGTAGAGACGAGCGAGTCTGACAGGCCAGCCTCACCTCCCAACATGGGGCTTCTTTATTCGCATTTTTGTTATGCGTTCAAGAACTCTTGGTGTATGATCTGGTCAGCAGATGGATTCATCACTGGGTCGATTTGGTTATAAACGGCATGTATGTCTCCTTTTTTCCCGTGTTGCACTTCTAGATATGACTGAATTTACACACAATATCCTTCACTTGAAGACTCTGGAGATGGGAATCGGGAGACATGCCGTCAACTATACGCATAGTTCTGGACTGAGCGTGGCTTCTTTGATGATCGTGTGGCCACGTTTGGGTCATGGACGATTTCATTTACACTTGCTCTGTACGGAACACCTGCTTGCTACCCTGGAAGGCTATCCCGCATATCCAGCATCTTCAGTCAAAGTAGAAGCACGCACACCCTTCACCTTTTTTCCTGAACGAGCCCAGAATCCACCAATACGTTGTTTTTTATTATGCGCATCGTCGGTCTAGTGAGCCGACGTTGCAACGTGGTGCAACGTGGTAATTAGTATCTCACCGCTGACATGACTCGGGAAGTTTCCCTGCAATGGCACGTACTTGGCACTTTTCGCGATCCACTCCTCCGGCCGTCTCTCGGTCTTCTCTCGCCATTCGCTTACGCTGAGTCACAAGTGAATCCTCTTCGGCTGCCTGAGATCCGGGGCCCCATATACAGTGTAACTGTCTAACGCAGAGACAGATCGAGATGGGATGCGAGTAATTCTGTGACAGGGATACCTTTGAAAGGTGTCTTGTCTTGCCTTGTCTCTGGTCTTGTCTTGTCTTGATACCCACGCGACGAGGTATCACGGCACGGCCCATCTTGATCACTGCTCCACTCAAACGTCTCTTTCTGCACACCGAAGCGGGCTGGACTCGATGGATCCTACGAAAGCGCAGAGAGCCAAGACGAAGTCGGAAAGTGGGCGTTTATGATGTGATCGGCATGCGTTAGCTTGCTGGATGAAGAGCATCGTGCCGAAACCAGACACCATGACTTGCGAGGACGGGCTTCGTACGGTAGTAGGTATAAGATCCTTGGTATATAGGTATGTACGTCTTAGAGAGACTCTTACATCGTGCCATGCATATGTATCGACAAATATTTCTCTATTGGGTTCGTCATCTTTCTCTCGCTCTTGTCGGATGCAGCAGAAGGATTTATTTGTAGCCGCTTGTTTCACCACGATCGAAGAAAAGCGGGACGCGGGGAAGAAGAAGAAGAAAAATGCTGAGGGCTGAGGCCCCCTGGCATGAAGAACTATCCATGATTGGCCCGCTCCGTTCAGCTTTCTTTCTTTCTCCTCCTCCGTCTTCTGTTCTTCCCTTCCCTTCTTGGCGAACACTACCTGTTCGGTCTATTCGGTGACAGTGTACCCAGGTAGTTAAGCCCCGGTACAGTTGCTTTCCAGAATACTGTCCTGCACAGCTGTAGCAGTCATATATTCTCCCAACAACCAGGCGCACGGGTGGTAGCAGGCCCAGAAGCACCAAGGCGGAGAGACCGGTGCAGTTGGGTTTGCAAGATGCCATCCACTATACGTTATAGCCAAGTTTGCCCGTCTTTTGCTGCAAAATTAGAGAGGCTACCCACCATCAGGATATTGCCTAGGGGGGTGCGGGACTGGAATTATCAGATCGGATCGATTCCTGGCTCGGCTTGGACGGGAAAGGGTACGATGACCTAAGGTAGGGGAGGGAGGCCATCAAATCACGGAGTACGGTGGCTTTTGCGGCACACGTCTCCCGTTCGCCCTACCCTCTTTCCATAAGGTACGCCTGGTTGTTTGAAAGGTGAGAAGTGAGGACATGTGTCATTGGGCGACTTTTTCAAGTGGCCCGGGAATCATTGGTGTGATCCGCACTTACAAAGTACACTTGCAACCCTTTTTCAAAGTACGGAGTGATATCCGTACTGCGGAATGCAAGCGGGCTGGCTCATGGAGCAATCGGCTTGCATAATCACCAGCTGCGTCTTCACTTAGTTCAGTCTCTACAGAGTTACATGCGAAGTACATACTAGCATCTGGTCTGGACTTAGATACAGTAAACTGGGGCCATGGCAAATGGGCGATGTCTGCAGCGAGAGGTTTCTCGCGATACTTCGCACCAAATAGGAACGACATATCTATCCGTGCCTTGTGTGGTCATCCAAGGTGCTACAGCCTACACGGCAGTTTAAATTATATGCCAGAGAAATCCGCGACCTGAATCAACCCCTGGGATGGTGGTAGAAAGGCTCTGTCAACTTTCAGTCACTTACCAGCTTCTGTCAGTCCGTTCTTTTCTCCCCTCGTGTCTTCCCTTCCCATACCGACTGCAAGAAGTGACAAGACAACATCTCACCAGGCCAAGAGGCCATGACGAAGTCTACCAGATGCTCTGATACTCTCATCTCAGCCAGATCCATCTTTTTTGGCAAGTCAGATGCAATGCTTGGTCTTCTTCAATTGGAGTGCCTACATCCGCGCACAGTCGATTCTGGCCCGAACATTGACTCTCTTCTCCCACCCCTCTGGGTCTCCACCATAACGGGTTCTGCATGAGTAGGATAAGGGGCCACATAGCAATAAAGATGGCTTCGAGTCCCAGACATCCGGACTGGCTACTAACAGGCCAAATTACCTGCTTGGCCGTCACCTCTGTGGACTACAGTCTGGATGCAAGAGTGGATAACCATTCCTGATCAAGGCTACAAGTGCATCTTCTTGATGCATGTCGTCAAGTCTCCCTCGATATGGCAAGAAAACAGGAGAAACGAGGAAAAAGAAAGACACTGACTAAAGTTTCCTGCTTGATACCAAGGTACTGGACGCTATACCGTGGCCTTACTGAAGAAGCCGCCGCCTATTATCTTAAAGGCGTAGATTCCTATCCTATGTCTTGGGAGGACTACTGGTCCGCTGGAGATAGGGCCACTCTATGACACCCGACACTCCCCCTGGCTGACGGCACCGTGTTGCTGCTACTACTACTACTGTTGCATGATCTGCTGACACTACACTCTTCTGTCCTTTTGGCGAGCGCAGACGTCACAACCCGAAGCTGTGGTCCTCCGGCATCCACAGGATACTTGCATCCTGGACTAGACGAACAGAGACGAGCTTATAACCCAACGAAGGCGATATATAGCTATTACGCGAGAAAGCCAGCTCCAGAAAAAATATCGGGAAAGATTCCATTTCCATTACGTTTTTCAGGGGCCTATAAGACAGCAGGTCTCTGGTTGTTCGAAGCCAGGTTCATGCACACCTTCTTTCCTGAACCCCTGGCATTGCTCCCCTCGGTACGTAAAAGAATGGAATGGACAACACCTCGAGGACTGACTTCTGTTGCAGCTTCCATCATCATTAAGAGAAGCGTAGCCTCTCGCTTCCCTGTATTGACTGCTGAAGTGGGCATCTGCCTCGACATCGAAGCCAGGGCTCCCTCCTCAACGTCAAGCAGTTGGTCCTCCGTTCATTCCACTCTTGTCTTTCTGCTCTAATGGCTTACTGTCTATGCAAGGAAGGTTTGGTCGTCTTGTCACCAAAAGAATCCGCAGGAAGGCATGAGGAAGTCTAATGGGCTATATTACTTCGCATATTCTATCCCATTCAAGCAGAACCAAGGAGAGAAGGGGTCTGAACTGAATAGGGGTTGACATAGAAGCATCATTACGCCAAACTTCCGTTCGTCTCAAGATATCAAGGTACAGCCCGCTGCCCACTTGCCCTTTGTGGTGTACACTGAAATGGCTGAGGGTACATCTATTGCTAAATATACCTTACCTGCCTTACCTACGGTACGTTAGGCTAAGGTAGGTAGGCACACACAGTGGACAAAGGTTGCCTAGGTCTGCTCTAAGGACCAGAAGGAGAAGGAGAAACCCAGGTGAGTGTTCATCTCAGCAAGATGTAGCAGTCACAGACATACTACCTTACCTGTTCTTACGTACCTTACCCACGGGTCACTGCTGCACAAGATCTTCCTTCTTCTAGAATCTAATACTATGAGTCTAGTGTACTTGCCTGCCTAGGATAAGAGTTACAGGAAGGCGCTATTCATAGAGTCATCCTACCTTATCCAGGAGGTAAAGGTGACTTTCGACAGATTACTATCACAAGCAACTATCCCAGAAAAGATCTTCACCAAGAGGTTCATGGTATGTAATGTGTTGAGCCTAGTACTAATAGTATTGGGAAGTAATAATGAGCAAAGGGAGGTAGGGACATCCCACACAAGCACTCGCTCACCAATTACCTTTTGCCAAAACCTACTTCTACTAAGGTACTCTCTACTGTGCTGGACTATTTGCTTGTATGGTCCTCTCCTCGTATGCTTTCTCCTTTCTCCCTTTCCACTCTCTCACTAACATCACTTTACTGTTCCAAGCAAGAAGTTCGAATGTTCTGTCTCTAGACTTAACTTCCACCGGCCTCGCATTCTTACCAGTTATTTCCCTGTACCTTATCTCTATCCCGCGGCAGGAGCTTCTCGGAGTCCAGGAAGTCTGCTGAGCCTTACCTTGAGGCAAGTCCACTTTCCTTGGGCTGATTTGGAAACAGCGAGTGGCCGAGGGTCATCCTTCTTGTTCTTGTTCTTCGTCTTCGTCTTCGTCTTCGTCTTCTTCTTCTTCTCCTCCTCCCCCAGCCATCCCCTGCTCTTCCATCTTCGCCCATACCATCACCAATCTTTTCTTCGTCCTCCACTCTTCCACATCAGTCTCTCTCCATCTGATTGCTCTACGATAGCTTCTTCTGTCTTTTCTTTTCTTACTCACCACTCGCTTTACCACAGAGACTTTGGGTGCAACATTTGCCATCGTCCAACTCAGCTTGACAAGCATCTGCATCAGGACCGCTGCCATCAGACGGCCTCAAGGTACGTGATAGGTGTCTATACGAATCGATTCTTTGATCATACGAGCCTCTGCTTCCCATATCCTTGTCTGTGTTCTTGATATTTCTCACGATTTCTTCCACCACCGATCCCGGTTGCATCACGCTCTAGACCCTGCGGTTTCCCCCAGTCCTGTACCCCTTGATCCACTTCATGGGCCTATGCCCGGGTCTTCTCAAGATGCAGGGTCCTTCGTGCTACCACGATTCCCAGACTCGATAAGCTAACCATCCATCATCCGACAGACTCTTCGAGCACTGTCATCTGTATTTAGACATCACCGAGCAATCGTTTCTCCAAGGTGAACAGCAACTTTTACCCCTGCCAACGCAAACCTGCCTCTCTACTCCGATACCTTTACCCACATGATGATTCAACGAAAGCTGACTCTTGACTGATAGCAGGACACGCGTGACCATGACTTATCAGACGAGTGCCATGGACCCCAAACATGCGGTCAATTACACCGGTCCTCACGCTCATCACTACGCCGAGAATATGGCCCCCGATCTGAACATCAACGGTGCCATCCATCAGTTCCAGGGCTTGACTCTTGGTCATGGCATGACCCCAGCTGGCAACGGCATGGGTCCCATGAATCCCGGACATGCTTATATGTTCCCTCAGTCTCAGGATGGCCCGTATGTTTTTGCTCCTATGCCTCCCGGCCCTATGGGCATGGACATGCTGGGCCATGCTGCTCATCCCTACTCCCATGCCGCTCCCTACCTCCCTGGGCATGGACACGTCGCTCCTTTCGTTCCCTACCCCATGGCGCAGCCATTCACCCCGGGACGCCCTGGTGGGACACTCCATGACCGCACCAACCGTGCTGTCCACAGCGAGGTCCCTGATCTTGACAACCGCCGTGGCTCGTATTCGACCACCGAATCTACTCCAGCCACGCCCTTCTATTCCACTTTTGCCAGGCATGAGCATGCTCCCCGCGTTGCCGTTCGCGACCGTTCCGCCTACACTACCCCGTCGCCCCAGCAGATGGGTACTGTGACTATGTATTCCGATCCCGGCGTCAAGCGTAACAACATCACCTCTCCTCTCGACCGCACTCTCGATGAGCTCCTTGCCCAGAGCCCCGCCATTCCCAAGGCCGTCCCTGCCGTGTTCACCCCTTCTTCTCAGATGAAGACGCTGGAGCAGAGTCTCGAGAACCGCATCCCCGGCAACCGCAACGTCTATATCCGTGGCCTCCATCCCACCACTGACGACGAGCTTCTCCTCAAGTTCGCTTCCCGATTCGGAGAAGTTGAGACATCCAAGGCCATCATCGACACGTCTACTGGTGCCTGCAAGGGGTGCGTCTCCCTACTATATTCGATTGGCAGATTTGCTGACGGGATTGCAGCTTTGGCTTTGCCAAGTTCTACAATGCTCGCGACTCGGACATGTGTATCCGTGGCTTCCATCGACTTGGCTACGAGGTTGGCTTCGCTCGTGTAAGTTCTTTTCTGGCAGATTCTCGAGGAAATCGCCGCCTTGCTCCCTTTCCCCGTCCTCCCCCAAGGGAGTCACTGACATGTGTGTAGGAATCCTTCAACTCCCGCCTGAAGGCCGAGGGCGACGAGGGTTCGACCAACTTGTACATTTCTAACCTTCCCAAGAATATTACCGAGGTGGTATGTCACGCCTACTTCTGACGAGAATTCTAATTACAGACACTGAGTGCCGTTGCAGGAGCTGGGAGCCATTTTCATGGGCTACACAATTGTGTCGAGCAAGATTCTTCGTGATAGTCTGGGCAACAGCCGTGGAGTTGGTTTCGCTCGGTAAGCCTGCGAGTCCTATATTGACTTGTGCAATCCAGTGTGCTCATCAAATGGCAGATTCGAGTCTCGGGAAATCTGCGAGGAAATTATCAGGGAGTTCAGCGGTGTCCAAGTGGGCAATGGTCCTGCAGGTTTGAGCATTCGCTTTGCCGACACTCCTTCCCAGAAAGAGTTGAAGCGGGTTACTGCTGAGCGTCGCCAGTTCCGGACCAACGAGTATAACATCGGTGCTTATGGCACCCCCCTTGTCGGACTTCAGCCCAACATGTTCAATCAGTCTATTTGGAAGCGAACGCTGTCCCAGCAGGTCCACGCGTGAGTCTCTTCAACTCGTTTTACACGCCCCCTTCTGTGAGGTCTCTCTTGGCTAATACGGATATCACCGAGCAGTTCCATCGCTCGGGGTTCCAATGGTATCAACCGTGGCAGTCGATCGACGAAGTCGGATAGTGCAGCTAGTGCTCTGGAAGAGTCGCAGTACTGCCCGTCCTGGCTCTTCTCAGATACCCACCGTAGAAACTAACTTGCTGTTTCCAGACGCACTACGGAAGCCGCTGCCGCTGCCGCTGCAGTCTCATCCGAGGATAGCGACGAGGGCGTCACAATCCATGCCGAATCGAACGCAGCCGCTGCGAGCACCCAGTCCTCCCCGTTGGTGAAAAAAGCTCAGAACTAGGTTTTGGGCAGAGTCATCATGTCGCCATGGTGTGGAAGGTTTTCAGCTATGGTTCGTTTGTGGGGCAGAAATATTGTTCCTTGTGTTGCACGGGTGTAAGGAAAGAAAAAAAAGTAAAGAAGAAAAAAAGAAGATGGGAGTCTTTGTGTGTCTAGTGTTGCAATCATGGTGGCATCGGTCTGATCACGGGAACATCTTAGGTTCTGAGATGCCTGGTACTTTTGGTGCGTTATGCTTACTTAGGTAATCTCCGTCGGTTCTTGTACGTTAGCATTATATGGACAGACCCGGATAAGGCAAGAAAAAGATAACGTTAATGTCTTTGACCAGAGGCTCTTTATCTTTATACCCTCGGGGTCCAACCCTCAGTGTTGCGAAGTACTAGTATAATAAGCCAGAGTCGAGTCTGAATCGTCATGAAACTGGTTCGGGACGCAGCACAGACGTTCATACTTCCAGCATCCGCCGAAGCTCAGAAGCAAGATACGACTCCTGCTTCGTCCTTTCAGCGTGGCAGGGATAGACGAGGGTATGGAGAGAAGAACACACACATAGCCAATTAATTTATGTATTGTGCAAGTTACTCTCGTGTGTTTTCACATAAACCGTGAGACGCTAATGCAAGTGTTATTGGGGGTCAGGGGATATCTCGCAGCAAAAAAAGTCAAGTGATGGGGTAAACAACAGGGAAGAGCCGAAGAGTACAAACTCGGCCACAGATCATCCGAGGTATACCATCGACGATTGCAGTCAGTCCCGTCCCCAAGGTATGTAGCCAATCATTCCAATCTCCTCCTTCTCCTCTCATGTTTCCCTCCTCTCCTATATGAGACGTGTACTTAGAGCATGCGTCGGATCTCGGTTTCGTTGGCGTACTTGTCGAGGCCCGAGTCCAGGTGCTGCCACCACTCGAAGAGCATGCTTTCGCAGATGAGTTTGAACCAGGGGGTGAACTTGAGAGAGGGGTCGTTGAAGAGGGCCTTGAGGTCGTCGGCGGAGACGTATTGGGTGGCCCTGACCTCGTTGAGGTTGATGTCCATGTCGACGTTGGTCTTGATGAAGAGGATGTAGTCGACTGCGGTAGAGAAAATAAACGGGTTAGAGACAGAGGAGTGAGTGTTCTGGGAGGGATTTTTTTTGAGTTGAGGTGGTGGGTTGAGATGGACATACTTTCGTGCTCGCCCCACTCCCCGTTGCTGGGAGCCTTGTAGTGGATGCGGGTGAGGAAGCGGAACTTGTCGAGGGGCACCTGGGCGGGGTCGATGCCGAGCTCGTGGTGGAGCTTGCGCTGGGCGGCGCGCTTGACGCCCTCGACGGAATCGGGCAGGTTGGAGCCGGTCTCGCCGGGGATGCTGAGCGGGTGGGAGCAGCAGGTGTTGGTCCACATGTCCGGGAAGGTGATCTTCTCGGTGGCGCGCTGCTGGAGGAGGAGGCGGTTCTGGTCGTCGAAGAGGAAGACGGAGAAGGCGCGGTGGAGGAGGCCCTTGTTGATGTTGGTCATGAGGTGGCCTGTTTTCGGGGTTTGGTTAGCTATGGGTTTGCTCGACATTCCGTCTTCCTTCTGTTTATTGTACTTCCAACTCGGAAGGGGGACGGGACAAGGGGCGCGAGTTTTTCTCACAAGTCTTCTTGCTGGCAGTTCCAATGGGGGTATCGTTATCGTCGGTGACGATGCAGACCTCGTCCATGAGCCGGATCTGCTCTGCATCATGGCCGGAAAGGGCTTCGGTGCTGGTGGTGTCGATGTCCGGGAAGAGGCGTAGGATGTTCTGGGCCGTGATGGGCTCGGCGGTGGTGGTGGTGGTGGTGGAGGACATGGTGGAAGCGGTGGAGGGAGAGCAGACAGATGGAAGAGAAGGACAAAATAAAAAAGGAATGAAGACCCGAACGACTTGGGGGTTTCCCTGGAATCGTCGTATGGGGAAAGGGACAAGGGACAGACAGGTGTTTGTATGCAGTTGAAGGTTAGTAGCAGATGGTTTGTGCGATTGATAAGAGGGACGTTTGAAAAAGGCGGGGGGGCGAAAGGGAAAGGGGGGTTCGATTTAATAATTTGGTTGAGAAAAAAGGGCGCTTAAGGAGAAAGGGGAGGGGGGTCACAAGCCCCGCGTTGCACCCCCTCCACCACCAATCCCAATTTTCGATCCCCCCTTTGACTCCACCCCTTTTTTTGCCCCTGGGACTCCTGTACGTACCTACCCCCACACGGAGAGTCCCTGAAAAAGGTGGGGCCCAGGGTGATCCCACCGGCATTGGCTGAACGGGCTTGGTTCAGACTCGGGACCCGGGGTCGGCGTGTTGCGGGAACCGATTCCCGTCGAGTATTACGTATTTATTGAATTCTTTATCATGAAGTTGTTGAGTCTACCTCGTATCCTTATCCGGTTTTGGGGGATGTATAGGGGAAAGAAATCCAGAGCGATAAAGTTCTGAGTCCTGACTTGGTATATCAACCAAGCACAACTTACAAGTACGTTTGTCCTGTTCTGCCACACGCTCAACGGGCAAATGGCTATGCTATAGTCTATTTAATAATACTAGTGTATATAATCCATGAGACATGTCTCGTCTGTCCGTGTTCAACTCGTTCATTTTGAAACAAGAATCTTGATCAAGGACCTGTTCCTCCGACCGAGATGTGTGAAATGTCGTCAATCATACATCGATGCTTTGATCATTTTTTTGTTTAGCCGGCCGCGTTTCGGGACTCTGCATCCCGAGCTGCATCGTGCCAGTTTGTTAAATATGCGAATGTGTACTCAACAGTGGCGACCCTGTGTTACTCTTTGGTTAGCAATCTGTCGTTGTGTGGAAGAAAAAAAAACCCCGGAAAATGAGGGAAGGGAACAAAAGGGAAGGGGGGGTTTTTTTTTTGAACACGTACACAGCAAGACCGATAGTGACGCCGAACCACAAGCCTTCCAGCTTCCACCCAAGCCCAAAAGCGGTACCGAAGGAAATGGGCAAGGCAACGCCATAGTAGCCGAAGAGATTGGCGTAACCACCCACGGCAGGGCGGCCGATACCCCGCAGCAGGGCGTGGGCGCCGGCGCAGAGGGCGTCAAAGACCTGCATGAGGCCGATGAGGGGCAGGGTGTCGGCCAGGATCGCGACGACGGCCGGGTCCCGGGTGAAGAGGAGAGGGATGTGGTAGCGGAGGGTGCTGTAGAGGGTCATGTTGATGAGGCCGACGACGGCAACCACAACAATGGTGACGCGGCCGGTGGTCCGGGCGGCGTCGACGAGACCGGCGCCGATGAGGTTGGCGATGCGGGTGGAGGCGGCGATGGAGACGGGGAAGGGGAACTGGTAGGTGACGGAGGCGATGGTGGCGACGACGCTCTGGGCGGCGAGGTAGGTGGGGCCGAAGCGGCTGGAGGCGAGGGTCAGGACCTCGAAGGCCATGTACTCGGCCTGCAGCATGACCATGCCGGGCAGGGCCAGGCGCAGCATGACGCCCCAGTTGGAGAAGGCGCGGCGGCTGAAACCGCCCCAGCACTGGCGGCCGTCGACGAAGCGGACGTAGAGGAAGAGGAGGACGGGGAGGAGGTTCTGGGACAGGGCGGAGGCGACGGGGGCGCCGATGAAGCCGTAGTCGAGGCGGAAGACGAAGAGCCAGGTGGCGAAGACGTTGAAGGGGGCGGCCACGAGGAGGACGCAGGTGGTGGCGCGGAAGAGGCCCTGGGCCTGGACGAAGCGCTTGCCGGCCTCGAAGCAGAGGAAGGCCGGGCCGGAGAAGATGAGGACGCGGAGGTAGCGGCCGGCCAGGCGGGCGGTCTCGGGCTCGGGGATGATGAGGTTGAGGACGGGCTCGGCGTGGTACCAGAGGACGGCGACGGGGAGGAAGCAGAGGAGGAGGAAGCAGGTCATGCGCTGCAGCTGCAGGCCGACTAGGTGGCGGTGGCCGGAGCCGTAGGCCTGGGCGCACAGGGTGTCGAGGGAGGTGGCGAGTCCCTGGAAGGGCGCGTAGCAGGTGATGGCGGCCGACATGGTGGCCAGGCTGACGGCGCCGAGCTCGAGGGTGCCGATGCGGCCGGCGGCGAAGACGGAGGCCACGTTGATGGAGTACTGCAGCAGGAAGGTGACCACCAGCGGGAGCGCGTACGAGACGATGGTCTTGGTCTCGCGCTGCCACGTGGTGCGGAGGGTGCCGGAGGCGAGGGCGGCTTGCCACTGGTCGTCGATGTCTCCATTATCATCACGACCGCCTCCTTCAGGAGAGCCATTACCCCCGAGAAGAGGCGTCGATTCGTCATCCGGGCTCTGCACCGTGATCTGTGGCGGCGGCTGGGGCGGGAAAGAAGCGTCCTCCTCCTCATCGCCGTGGTGTTGTTGCTCTCTGGTCCGAGAACCAAACAGACGGCGGGATACCCTGGCAAGCCATGACGAGGACGATTCTTCCGACCGAAGATGTCGGTGATGCTTGGGCGGGATGACCTGGCTGTCCCTGAGGAGGCTGCACTCGGCACTACGGCTCCGTTTCCGCTCGATCGGGGTGAGAAAGGGGGCTTCCTCGTCGGGTGAGGCCACCGAGCTCATGACGGGACGGGAGGTTCCGTAGGCCACACCGCTAGGGCGACGGTACATAATTGGATGGGGCCGGTCGATGGAGGCTTCGGAACGGGAGTCATTTCCATGGTCGTCGTCGTCGTTGTCGTCGTCCGAGGAGGAGGAGCAGGTGGCCAGGTCACGGGCCAAGAGTTCCTCGACGCGGGGGGTGCCAGTCCATGAAGATGACGCATGGGGAACTGTATCCCGGATTGACGTCGCCTTGGGAGGGATTGGGCGTCCCTGTTCTTCTGGCATCCTGAAGTGTGAAAGGAGAATCGCTGTATGGGATGATTTGGGGATGATCGAGGGGATGATCGAGGAGGCCTTCTGCGCTGTTGCTCTGGCTGGGGATAAATGTTCTGGCGGGTTCCAAAGAAAGCGAATTGGTTTCTTCAGGATAACAAGCCAGAACCCCGCGTTTCCTCCGCGTCTAGGTGGCGTCTTAAATTCTAGTCGGACCAGGCGCGGGATCTTTTGAGTCACCGTCTTTCTTCTCACCACCTCCTCGGACAAAAGGCGCAACGCAGCTGCAGGAGCTTGTCAGGACAGTCAGGTGCACATGATAGAATTAAGCGGGTATTTTTATAGTGAATATGTGAATATAGTTATGAATAGACAGTGAAAATGTTGAATGAGTTGTCTGTCTTGAAGAAGGAAAAGAATAAGGGAAATAATAATATAAGGAAGGAAATGCCACGAGACAACTTAATATGAGGGTTGTCGCTATAAGACGGCTATAAGTTAGGATGACGCTAAAAGGGCGTCGGTGTCTCGGTTTCCAACACAAGGTACTAAGGTACCTCAGGTAGGTAATTACTCCGGATTCCGAAAGTACTACGAAGTACTCGGCACGAAGTACTATATAGCCCCTGTTTAATTGTTCAAAGCGGTATGTTCGCAGTTTACCATTTTAGGAAAATTAAGAAGGTTCGAGGAATGTACCTGCACTAATAATAGCACCTATAATATAAATTTTCGACACTATTATACGATATCTCTAGGTCAAGCTAAAATCGATCTACACCTTAAAGCTTTACCTAAGTACGAGGCAGTTCCTAAGGTATTAAAATATTAAAGCTCTCAGTTACTATAATACTATATCGACTTTAACGTGAGTTAGAGCGTATAGATCTTATACGTTACAACGATGATATATAACCAAGTTCATACTAGTCCAAGAACCCAAGCCTAATTTACCTAGGTACGATATGACCGTTTCAGGGGCCTAACACAGCTATACACATATATACTGTATACACATACAAGTTTCCGAGTATTTGGAAGAAGATCTCCAACGGCACAGCACTGAGATTCGGTACTCCGATGAATACGGTACATCAGCTAGCTTAGCCTGTCATGGAAATCGACATCTTGATACCTTGGGAGTGAGCCGTCTATCGTAAAATTGCTCAAGGGCAAAGTCCATCCGCCCATCGCGCCTCAAGGCGGCCTCAACTCTGCAGCCTACGAGTTGTGCAACGAACATGTAATATACACCGTATCATTTTAACCTGCCCCCTTCCTTCAGCTGACCTTGGGTAAATACACCCTGTTGGGACCATATATTTTACTTGCTGTCCTCCCATTCCGGGTTCTATGCAAATGCGTGTTAATATTGTTTTGTTTTTGCTTGCCACGTCGGACGGCGACGTGGGAAGAAGAAAAATAAAAATAAAAAAGGGGGAGGGAAATGAAACATACCTTTCTCAGAATGACCAAGCCCTCCAGAGTGTTGTTCAGACTAATATACTCTTCGTCCTCCAGCTCGGCTCGCTCGCCGTACGCCAGCAGAACCGGCGTGCTCTGCGTCTGCCAACCCGTGATGCTCTTGGGCCGTCCCGCCTGGCCCACCACGTCCACCGCCTGACCCACGCGCACGTTGACCTTGAGCGGCTTGAGCTCCTCGTCCAGCGTCACCAGGAACCGCGGGTGCATCGCCGTCACCAGAAAGTACAGCAGGTAGTGGGAGTCCGACGTGATAAACTCCTTCGCGTCCAGCATCGCCACCAGCACCGTCAGCAGCCCCGCCGCCGACACCCGCGAGAGCACCTGCCGGTCCGTGTTGAACGGGTTCACCGACAGCGTCCCCTTGCCCATGTGCAGCAGGCCCTGCGCGATCCGCACCATGAACAGCGACTCCTGGTCCCGGTGGTAGAAGCTCGCCAGCTGCCGGAGCAGCTGCGCCAGCCGCGCGTTGTTCGTGCCCGCCCCCAGGAGCCCCATCGCGAAGATGGCGTTGATCGCCACGTCGTTGTCGTTGTCGTGGCTGTACCGCGAGAGCGTGTCGTACACCTTCATCTGCGGGTTGCTCGGGCTGATCAGCCCCATCGCCAGCGGCACCGCCCGCCGGATGTTGGCCTCGCCGTAGTGCATCAGGTGCCCAAAGTGCCGCAGCACCATCTCCTGCCCCACGTCCTCGCCCATCGCCACCAGCGCGATCCCCAGCACCGCGTACTCCTGGAGGAGCTCGTCGCTCTTGTGCTGCTCGTCCGGCTCCTCCACGTGCTCGTTGCAGATGTGCAGCAGCTCCTGGATCTTCAGCACCGCCCCGGTACCCGCCCACGCGCACATCTCCGCCAGCACCGCCGTCGGCCGCGCCATCGGGTGGTCGACCGCCTTGAGCGTCTCCAGAATCACGTCCACCTGCTCCTGCCGCCCGAAGAAGAGCAAGCCGAGCCCGAGGCCCAGGAACCGCGTCCACTTGGACGTCAGCTGCACCTTGCGCTCGTCGTCCAGCAGCGTCGTCACAATCGCCTCGCTGACGTCGGCGTTGGACGATCCCACGAAGATCAGCCCGCAGGCGAGCGCCGCCATGGCCGAGATGCGCATCTCCACCGACGAGTCGGTGACGATGGGGAGCAGGAGCTCCAGCAGCTCCAGCTTGTTCGACCCGGCATACGACAGCCCGAGGCCCATGAGGCAGGCCGTCGTGACCAGCGGGTGCGCATGCGGGTTCCGCAGCTTGTCCGCGTCGCCCAGCAGCGCCAGCGCCGGTTCCGAGTCGAGACGGACGCCGGCGTTCATGATGCCGATGGCAAGCATGGCGCCGGCCATGATCTCCGGCTCAGCTGCGTACGTGTACTTGTCGACCTTGTCCAGCCCGTTCTCCACGTCCCACATGAGGAGCGTGCCCAGGGAAGCCACCGTCGACATCATGCCGTCTCCCTTGGTCTTCCACACCCAGCTCTCCTTGTCGTTGTCGACGAGCATCATCTTGTCGTTGCCGAAACCGGCATTCACAAACGCGTTGACAAAGGCCGCCGCGAGGTTGTGCCGAGCCGAGTCCAGGTTCGTCATGCCCGCGACGCGGCTGTTCTCCAGGTGGCTCTTGTAGATGTCCTCGGTCGTCTTGGGCTCCAGGATGTTGAGCTCCTTGCCCAGGGATTTGAAATGCTCCGACAGCTTGATGTTGGAGAGGCAGTCCTGGAGTTCCGGGTCCTGCTCGAGAAGCTTTTCGTAGACGTCTTCCAGCACCATGCGCTGCCGGGCCGCCAGGAAGGCGATTTGCCGTCGCAGGACCACGTCATGGCTCGCCTCGATATCGCCCTTGACGAGATCGGCATCATTGAACCGGATGGCGATCACCGCCGCTTGCGTAAATTGCTCATACTCCATGTAGATGTCGTGAGCCGTCTTAAGGAAGAGCACATTCTCGGGGTACGTGAGCAGGTTGACCATGCTGACAAGGTAGAGGCAGACACGGGCGTAGGTGTTCTCGTCGACATAGTCCCCCAGTCGGTCGATGATTTCCAGCTCGCTCATCAGATCCACGGCGTCGGCCTCGGCGTTGCTTTTCAGGAACAAGGGGATGAGGATCAGCGCGAGGTCGACCAGGTCGGTGGTGTCCTCCTCTGCGTTTATCCGCTTCCCGTACACCTCGCCAATCTCCAAGGCCAGATGCCTCACGTATTCGTGGCCCCACGAGCTGATGTCTGACGACGGGGCGAGCAGGCGATATTTGAGCGTGTCTTGCCTGTCCTCGTCGGAAAACGTCATGCCGATCACGGACAGGACATCCGCAAGAGAAGTCTTGTCGTCCCCTTCCGGCCAGCTATCGTAGAGTTTCGTCATGGTCTCGTAGTGTGGCCTGAGGAACTTCAGCGGCTTCGGCACCGCCGTCATCGAGGATGTCGACGTCTTGATGAAATTCTTCATGGCTTCCAATGCCGGCTTATACAGCGATGCATCGGACTCCTAGATATGCACATTGGGGTCAGAATCAAAGGAACGAGAGCGCAGGCCTGTACGCATACATAGGGCGCTTGATCAAGGGAAAGAGCCAAAGAGCCAAAGAGCCAAAGTGAGAGAAGGGGGGGGGGGGGGGGATGGAAAAACACCAACCGTCAAGCGCTCGACGAGCATTTCAAGTTCGTTCTTGAGCTGCTGGTCCTCCTCACTAAGTTCCTCGGCCGCTGATAAAAGCAGGTTAGCCAACGTTGCCCTTGCATATACCTCCCCAGTCATCCCGCGCCGGCCTCTCTTACAATCGATAATCTTCTCATCCTCCTTCTTGCCGTTCACAAGAGATTTTTCCTTCTTGGGCTCGTCGACGGCCTTGCCTTTGCCCTTGTCGGCAGCCGTGGGCATGTCGTTGTCCTGCGCCATCGTGTCTGGCTGAGTGCTTGGCTGAAGGGGACGAGGGAGGGAACAGTCAAGCAACACCCGTCTTTTTTTTTTTTTTTTGTCGAGTATCCGGGTCACTCGATAGGAGAGTTTGCTATTCTCGTTGTATGAAATTTGGAGAGGCGTTGTCCGGGAGGGTCGTACGGATTGATTGTTGTGTTAATTGAGCAGAGAGGGAGAGAAGGAAGAGGCTTGATGACGGGATGGAGTCTTGCCGATGGTGGGAGCTTGGAACAACAGCAGAGCAGCTCTTTCTCCTGCGTTTACGTGAGCTTTGCCGCCTGGTAAGGTAGGTACCAGGTAGGCAGGTACGGACTACGAAGTACATACCTTTAGGTGTTGTTGCTCCGTACTTGGGCCGTGCATCGTGTGAGGACCAGTGAGGTCTCGGTATTCCGGATAGTACTCCACAGTGCTCATGCAAAAGTCACGTGCAAGCGATCTCATCTCTTATCTCTTATCAAACAAACCTCATTCTTATCGATAAGCATTCCATCCATCCCACCCCAACTTTTTGCGAATGACGGGCGCCCAACCCTGAGGGGTTCTCACTGCCAAAAAAAAAAAAAAAAGAACTTGAGAAATCTCACAAACAATAACTTCATCGAGAGACCTTACGGACATACCCATCATCCGGAGTTGTAATTGTGCGCTCAAGATGAAGTTAGATACGCGAGCTTTGCGCTATTTGGCGTCTGAGGATTGGAATGTTCTCACTGCTGTTCGTTCCTCCCCGCCTACTGACCAACCCCCTGCGATGCCCCTCCAAATATTCATTTGATTTATAGTCGACTTATTTACTGTGCTTGGTCACTAACCTCTGCGCAGGTAGAAAGGGCGAGCAAAGACCATGAAATCGTGCCTACGCAACTAATCGAACGGTTTTCTCGCGTCAAGGGCGGTGTCAGTGGCGTGCACAAATCCATCTCTGCGCTCGCCAAGGTCGGTCTCATCGCCAGGGTGAAGGAGGCGAAATACGACGGCTACCGCCTTACCTATGGCGGCCTGGACTACCTCGCCATGCACGCCTACTCCACACGCAAGGAGATCTACAGCGTCGGTAGTCGTATCGGAGTGGGGAAAGAGAGCGATATCATGATGGTAGCCGACCATAAGGGGGTCCAGAAGGTGCTGAAGATCCATCGGCTGGGTCGCATCTCGTTCCGGTCCGTCAAGACCAATCGAGACTACCTAAGGAATCGTCAGTCCGGTTCCTGGATGTATCTTTCTCGACTGGCGGCCATGAAGGAGTTCGCGTTCATGAAAGCGCTGCGGGAGGAGGACTTCCCGGTACCGGAGCCTATCGCGCAGTCTCGACACACCGTTCTCATGTCGTTCGTCGACGCCTTTCTTCTGCGTACTATTAACTCCGTACCCGATCCCGCGAGTCTCTATTCCGACCTCATCGACCTGATTCTCCGGCTCGCGAAGCACGGGCTGATTCACGGTGATTTCAACGAGTTCAACATTCTCATCAAGGAGGAAAGGTCCGTCACAACCAGCGACTCGGGCGAAGAAGACGAATCAATAGCCCTCGTCCCCATTGTCATCGACTTTCCACAAATGATCTCGATGGACCACCAGAATGCCGAGATGTACTTCGACCGGGACGTGAACTGCATTAAGCGTTTCTTCGAACGGAAGTTCGGCTTTGTGGGCACACAGCCTGGACCTTTCTTCAAGGACGCCAAGAAGACGGTGGGTAGGGATAATGTTCGGCGGCTCGATGCTGCGGCCGAAGCGTCAGGGTTCACAAAAAAGATGGCCAGGGATCTGGAGAAGGCGATTCGGGAACAAGAAGCGGCCAAGGAGAAGGGTGACGAGCAGTACAGTGACGAGGATGAGGATGGGAGTGAGGAAGGTGAGGAGGGTGAGGAGGGTGAGGAGGGTGAGGAGGATGGCGAGAATGACGAGGAAGACGCCGAGGCCGCAACCGAGAAAGACGAGATTGAGGAGGGAGAGGCGAGTGCGAGTCAAAAAGGAGGAGAGACAAGAGATCAGCAGGCCGAAGACCCAACAACAGCAGCAGCAACGAGTGGGAAGGATTCCTGCATTCAGGGACTATCCAAACTGTCCGTCGCCGATGGAACATAGACGGACATGGACGGTCATGGACCCTCTCAGGCAAGACACAATACAAAGCCAAGTGGACGAAACGCGCTAGGTGCATGCAGTTCTCCGACCTCAGCAGGGCAGAGGGCGTTGTTGATGCCCAAGCACTCAAAGCAACCCATCTGCAAACTTGGGAAGCTCAACTCTCGCGGGGCAAACTTTGGCCTATCGCAAGCAATGCTTTATTTTCGAAACAATCGACTGCCTAGTGTAGTTCGTCAGTGCTTCACCGACCACCGACTCCCTTCTTTCGAAGGAGCTTGGGTCTTTTCCGACGCTACGAGTTTATGACAGCCTCAAGCCTGAGACCCCTATCCGTACATTACTATTCGTTAAGAACCGCCGCTTTGAACAAGCAAGGATCCCATCAGTCTGACGACAAATCGCACCGTCACCTGACCGTCGTGCATTGAATGATGTTTAAGGGACTGACGGGATTTGCTGGGGTTCAGGCGGCTTCTGCAGCAAGCTGCCAGCACCGTGGGCGAGAATGCCGTGGATACGCGCGGGCGATCCTTGGCGGCATGTACTTTCGTATCTTCGTAGACTAACCGTTGTTGGAATTGGCAGCCTGCGGGGCTAACAACTTGGAAGCTAACACACAACACCCACACACCACACAACCCAGACACACCACGCATACTCTTGCGTCACGAGGGAGTGAAACTTTCGGCTCGTGTTGCTTCTATGGGAAGACCGACAGAGTGACAAAGCATCCCGAAGCCCAATATGAAAGAAGACCTCTATCGATGTACTGTCACGTGCATGCACCCGCGGATGCACAGCTGCTGCATTGACCGAAGCGGAGGAGTACTCTAAAGCAATATCTACCTACCTACCTACCTACCTACCTACCTACATAACTCTCCCTCTCCCGGCGACCGAGTACCCCCGAAAGCCTAATCATTGGATGCTGCGGGCTGTGTCCCGTTGGCCCCCGGGGCGAACACCACCCGCCCTGTCCAGGGTCACGCTCCCCGCCGTCTTCTCCACGCCGTTGTCCCACGTCCCACGTCCCACGTCCTACGCCGCCTCACTTGCCGCCGCGATACCGGCAGCCTGTCTCGTTTGTGTTTCCCAATGCCCTGTTCAGCTCCCCAGTTCTTGGCCCACTCGTCGGATTGACCTCCCTGCAGTCATCCCGCGCCAGACTGTACGACGCACGATGCACGATGCACGGTGTCCGGTGTGTGCGGTGTACCTTTCGTCTCGCCTCCCGTCGCCTCGCGTCGCCTTGCCTGCCAGTTGCTTCTCTGTCTCATCCCATGTCTTCGGTTCTTTTCCTTTCCTTCTTTCTCTCCCCCACACCGTGTCCTGTTACCTCTTCGACCTTTTAGTGTGTGACTGAGCACATGGTGCCTACATAAGTGGCCGCTAGTTCTCTCATCTGCTGTTTCTTTTCCTCTCTTCTTCTTTCTCCCCTCCCCCTCCCCCCTTATCTTCACACTGGGAAAAACTTCATCGACCTTTTGTAGTCTAACAAGTCACACCCAAGTCTTTCTTGTGCCTCAAGCCCCGAGATTCGGGGGCAGTACTCTGGGCAAAAGAACGGGAAGACTGTTCTTTGTTGCTAAGCTAGTCTGCTGCTCGTCAGCCCCAGCCTTGAGCTTTTATATGCAAAGTCTTGTTGCTTCGAACTCCATCTCTCCATCGCACCAGTCTTTGTTTTGATCCCCCATCTGTGACACTCCAAAACTTTTACCCTCTTCAACCCGAGCCTGAGGTTCACACACACATACTCGCTCTCTCTCTCTCTCTCTCTCTCTCTCTCTCTCTCTCTCTCTTCAACGACTTACACCGTCCCGTACTGTGCTGTTCTACCTGGAAGGTATCGAAGCCTTGATGTCGGTTGAAACTCGCAGAAGCCTTCATTGTTGTCTGCACCACCCGTCCAGATTCATGTCTGTGTCGAGAACGCAACTTTCGAAAGGGCACACAGGAGATAATATACCCAGTAAGTGATAATCTCGTCACCTTTTCATGGCGAATTAGACAGTCTTTGGGATGTTTTTTTCAGCTCAACGTCCCGTTCCAATGCCTAGGTCCGCACTTACACACGGCCTAAACGCCCTGTCCTGCCCAGCATGGAGGATGCAGTAAGAAAACCCGACAACCTTTCCACGCTTCTTGACAAGAGGCGCCCGTCTCTGGTGCCGCCGAGTTGGGAAGATACCGTGCGAGTCATCGGCATGGCGGAGTGCAAGGAGGCCGGCTTGTCGCTGGCACATGCCTTTGCTGCGGATCACCTTAGCCAGTACCTCCTCGACGCCGACGACATGGCTGCTTACCCGCCCGAGCGGAAGTGGAAGCTTCACGTCGACATCATGACGTACATCACCGCCTCTCATTGTTGTGCCGGAATCGCCACCACCATCGGACCTGACCACGATTCCATCGCCCTATGGTAAGTGATATAGCCACCCCCGCCCCCCAATAACTGTCCCAAAAAGAATTTCATCTGACCGGAACTATGCAGGCTTCCTCCGGGGGGAGACATGGATGATTGGTGGACGTTTCTGAGAAGCGGCACGTGGCGTCTATACTACCAGTTCACGGCTCAGGGGAGACAGCGCTACTACGGCGAGTTTTTGCCCTTGCTGCACGACACCAAGCACGAGGTCATGGGCGAGCGTGACAACGATTGCTACTACCTCGTGTACATTGGGACCAAGCCGAACGCCCGCGGCAAGGGCTACGCGAGCAAGCTCATCCAGGACATGATCACGAGGGTATGATATACATGATGTTTGATATATGAGGATGCAGTACACCTCCCCTCTTGCGTCTTCCTCGCCCATGCCCTATTCGAAAGCGCACTCTACTAACACCCTGATGACCCATTGTCAGGCCGACGCGGAAAACCGTGCCATGTACCTCGAGTCGTGTTCCGAAGCCCACAACGCCTACTACGCCAAGTTCGGCTTCGAGTTCAAGAAAAACATCCACTTCGGCGGAGGCAGCACCCCCGTGACGCTCTCCATCATGGTCCGCGAGCCCCAACCGCCTCGGAATGTCGTGTACACCGCCGCCGTGAAGGTCCAGATTAACAGCGTCAACAAAGAGGGCGCTAGACTGGCTTGAAGGAGACGTCTTGCGGCTTTGGATCGCTCCGACTCTAGTTGGGTGTGATTCGGCTGCTTGGCTCTCGTTTTGTCATCCTGCTTGTGTGTCCCTGTTATCCAATGTGCTCTTCCCCCCTGAGATTGGCCCCCCCAAGAGACAGAGAAAGGAGGGACATGTCCGTGTGTTTCTCACCCACCGTCTTTACCTAGATCGTTGACATCACCTTGCTTCAACAAATTGCTTTTTGTTTGTTTCTGTGGTCCGAACACCATCTCGCCCAGAAGTCGGTCCTTACCTCTAGATACGCTTGCAAAAAAGGGGACCGACCACTCATTTAAATTGATATGTCCCGCATAGCAGAATTCTACCGAGCCTTTTCGTGCCATGTTTAGCAGATAACATGATTTCCATACGCCAGCCAGTATTCCCTCTCCCCAATTCGAACGAGCGACAGGGGTCAGCCAAGCCAACCAGCGGCACCACCGCCTTTCTTTCTTCCTTTCTTCCTTTTTTTGTTTCTTTTCTTCTTTTTTTTCTTCCATGTTAAACCCGACCCCAAATCAGTAGTCCAAAATCGCCCATGTCTCGTCGTCAATCGTGGTGTAGACCAGGCCCTGCGACAGGAGCTCATCCGCAGCACTGAGCACATCCCTCACGCTCATGCTCGCCGAACTCGCAACAACATTCAAGTGAACGCCTTCGTTCCCTCCCGGCGCGTTCAGGAGGAAATTATACATCCTCTGCGCCAGCGGCCCGCACCCGTTGAGCTTGCTCGGCTGACCACCACCAGCGGCCGCACCACCAGCACCACCAGCGCCGCCAGCGCCAGCACCGGCATTATACGCCGCCTGCCCACCGTCCACGAAGATGCCGTCTTCGCCACCCCCAGCGCCGCCCGGTGCCTTGGCCCCGCCGCCAATGGGCCCCCGCGTGGTATAAAGGTGGACGTAGGTACTCTCGAGCAGGTGGTAGTTGACCTCGTTGAAGTCGGTGACGGGGCGGAGGAAGTAGGCGCCGACGTTGCGCTTGCTGTTGAAGGACTTGAGGCGGCCCCATACCCGGACGTACTGGTCCAGCTCGATCCGGCCGCTGCCGTCCGCTACCTCGTCGTCTTTCTTGTCCGAGTCGGCCCACTTCTTGACTTCTATGATGCCTGTGCCGTCGTCGATCCGGTAGGTGATGTTGGTGGGTTGGGGGTTGATGGCGCGGACTTGGCCGACGAAGGTTATCTGTTTGCGAAAAACGAAACCTGCTGGTTAACGAGTGGTCTTGGCCCGTGGAAAGAAATACACAAGAGTGATTTGTTCAGGAGATAAGGGGGGGAGGGGTGAAACTGACTTGTGTGATGTTGACGCCGTCAATCCGAAAGTCGGCCCCAGGATATGGTTCCTCGGCGTCGATGATCTGCTTGATTGTAACGGGTCGTAGTGACTCATCTTGGTTGGACTGCCAACGGAGAGAGTGGGAAAGAAAAAGAAGGTCAGAAACCGTCATAAATGAGAGGGACACAGTATCGGACAGGAGTTCGGGGGGTCGTTATCTTACTCTTCCTCCGCCCTGGCTGCCTTGCTGCGAGCCACCGTAGACGAAGCCGCCCGAGTCCTCGGCTCCTTGGGCACCGTATGCCGGTTTTGTGTATCCTCCATATGCAGCTGTGGTTTCTCTTGTTCAGTGGGAGTTGCCAGAAATGGGGGTACAGGAGTCACATACACATTGTTGCGATGTACGACGACGAGTTGTGTCGAAAGTGGGATGTTGAAGGAAGATTGAGACGCGTCCAAGACGCGATCCATTTAGGCAGGGCGTAAATTGAAAATGACGACCCCTCATGGACGTCTCAGCTGGTGCCAGATGGTCCCTGTAGGAAGTGCGGGGGCCGGCCACACCGCTGCCTCTTCACCGAGCACCCGATCAAAGCGTCTGTCTCCGAGTTCGGTGTACGAAACTCGACAAAGATAAGAGACAACAATTCTCTGGGAAACCATTCGTTTGGGTTGGGTGCATAGGTAATTATAAAACCAAGGATTGCAGGCAGAGGGAGACTGCCTGCCTAAATGGGTTGGTACAGTACCTGCCATGCAATGCAATGCAATGCAATGTGCAAGGCCCTGATTCTTGATTTCGTCCGCTTACCAAGTGAACCCTTGGTTATCATCAGGGCGTCCGCTTCTACCAAGTACTGGGCAAAAGAAGGTTAAACGGTGTAGTCCCACGTTCGTACTCTCTACGGCGTTGTTCATACAGAGGAAATAATTTCGAGCTACCGAGGAAAGCCGATATTATGGGATCTCCCCTTGGCCTTAGCAAGGCCGCCCTAGCCCTCTCCTTCCAGACGGTCATCTTCCTCTCTCTGCCATCGAGCGTCTACGCCAGGCCGTCACCAGGGTGGCCGATGGTCATCAACACTTGGGGAGGCCCTTTCGTGAATGCCACTGATGCCGCCTACGAGGCCCTCCTAAGGAGGGACGTGTCCGCTCTAGATGCCGTCGAAATCGGCTGCACGGTATGCGAGGAGAACCAGTGCGACGGGTCAGTGGGCTTCGGCGGCTCGCCCGACGAAAACTGCGAGACCACGCTGGACGCCATGATCATGGACGGCGTCACCATGAAGTCCGGCGCCGTTGCTGGCCTGCGTCGCATTAAAAACGCCATCGGCGTCGCCCGTGCCGTCTTGGAGTACACCTCACACACCCTCCTCGCCGGCGACCTGGCCACCCAGTTCGCCATCGACAACGGTTTTCAGGAAGAGAACCTGACCACCGACGCCACCCTCGCCCGCTGCGCCACGTGGCGCGAGGGCAACAACTGCCAGCCCAACTACCGTCAGAACGTCTCCCCCGATGCCAGTGCCGGCTGTGGGCCTTACACGCCCCTCGCCCTCGACTCGTCTTCGCCGGACTACTTCGGCCTCATAGCGCCGGACGCCGCGCAGGCGAGCCACGACACCATCTCCCTGATGGCCATCGACGCCGCGGGCATCATGGCGGCCGGCACCTCCACCAACGGCGCCTCGTTCAAGGTCCCCGGCCGTGTGGGCGACGGGCCTATCACGGGGTCGGGGTCCTACGTCGACGGCGATGTCGGCGCCTGTGGCGCCACGGGCGACGGCGACATCATGATGCGCTTCCTGCCCTGTTACCAGGCTGTCGAGAACCTGCGGCGCGGGATGAACCCGGAGGAGGCCGCCTACGATGCCGTCCTGAGGATGGTGCGTAAGTATCCGGCCGTTGCGAGCGGGATCGTGGTCGTGGACAAGGACGGCGAACACGGAGCCGCTGCGTCGGGCTGGGGGGGCACGTTCACCTACGCTTTTCGGGGAGGGCTCATGAATGCTACCAACGTGGTGGGAGTGCCTAACATTTGTGTTCCTGACTCTCTCAAGACGCAGCCGTGATAAAGGAGAACAGACAAGGTAGAGAACGAGCACGAATTTGAAGTTGTGAAGTTGCAAGAACATATAGTTGCCCTCGTATCCCTCGGCGGTCATTACAAACTATTAGCTGGATTAATACACAGCGTAGAGTCGGCTTGATTCAAGCTCGATGATGAAGAGTGATGGTATTCACATTATTAGGTCGGTTGTGAACTACCTAAGGTAAGGTAGGTACCTTAAAAGACTCCCAGGTTCGTAGGTGTACACTACCTAAGGTATTGTGCGTGCATTGTGCTGCTGATCGTGGTGTTGGAGTGACAGGGACCGACTTTGAAGTATAGATACTCCCTCCCTAGTTTTCTATTGGTAATTTCTTATGTACATATACTCACCACTCCGCAATCGTTGTCTGGATAAGATGAAACGACCATCAAGACTTAGTCCTTCGCACAACGTCTCTCCCGACGCACGGACGCGACTTTGGTGCAGACCAGGTACAACTGTGTACATTCCCAATTCCCCTACAACACAACTTCCCTTCTGTTCTCAACACCGAACAACCATCCTGTCTACCCGTCCTGTCTACCCGTCCAGCGATCCAAGTTGTTCGGCTGTTCACACGACTTCACGATCTCCATGCTCGCCTTCGGATCACCCGACCGACGACCCATTCCCTCCGGAGATGTGAAACAAACTGGACGCGACGTCGAATGATTTAGCATTCGCGACATCGATCACTTAGCTCTACTCAACCTCTTCCATGCTTCATAGCGCCCAGCGCCGATTCGCCGACACAGCAACAAATAGCGCCTAGTATATAACGAGAATGCAGAGCCGGTGGACACACTTTCGGAACCTATTCTTTCTCAACGATGAAGAGATGGGGAAGAAAGACGACGACCACCAAGCTGCCCGACCCACGGCCTTGCTGCGCAACCCCCAGTGGCAGCCTACCGCCAAGGTGCCAACGCGTCGCGTCCTCCGCCGCTGGACGACTCTGATTCTCGTCGCCGCCGCCGTCTGGTTCTTCCTCAGCTATCTGACCTTCGACTTGGGCTTCGGCACCGGCCGGGATCCGTCTGCACGTTACTACGGCCAGAAGGGCTTGGGCATGGGCATGGCGCCAGAGCGCGACTACAACGGAGCCCTCAGGTTCCCCGAGCTCGCGGAGTCTCTGAACGCCATCCCCACTCAGAGGGGAACCTCGCACAGCAGGAACGTGCTGTTTTTCGCCGCCAGCCTCAAGAGCGCGTCCACCTTGCTGCCGTTTGCCTGCGCCATGGGCACGGAGCGCAAAAACTACGTCCACTTTGCGCTCATGAGCAGGGACGCGATCCGCTTGGAGGATCTGCAGCGGATCAACGGAATCGACGGCTCGTGCCAGGTCATGTTTCACGACGCGAGGCCGAATTACGCCGACGTCTCGGCCGACCCGCGGATGCAACGTGCGACCGCCAGGGCTCTCTTCCATATCAACACATTCATGCACCCGCAGGCCGTCATCGTGGACGGCACCGACCGGGAGGAACGCTGGTTTCGCGACGCGACGAGGCTGCAGTCCGAGTCCATGAGTCTGCCCCTGATCGAATTGCCCAGGGACGCGGCTGAGAGCTTGACCTGGTTGACTAAATTGGATAGTTACTCTCTTGCCGCCTGGGACAAGATCAAAATCGACATTCTAATTCAAGCGCCGCCGAAAGGTTCAGGTTCGTTGTTGAGGCTACTCCAATCTCTCAACGCCGCCGACTTCCCTCCTTCGACCATCCCCCATCTGACCATCCAGCTACCGTTCGAAGTGGAGGCGGAAACGCAAGTGTTTTTGCAGAAATTCCGCTGGCCGCCACCCCGTCTGGTAGAAGGCCGGAGCGGTGTGCAGATGCTGTCTCTGCGACACCGCATCGCACGCCACCGAATGACCGAGGAGGAGAGTGCCGTCAGGTTCCTCGAGTCGTTTTGGCCGCAGTCTCCTAGATTCTCCCACATTCTAGTCCTCTCGCCTCAAGCGGAGCTGACTCCTCAATTCTTCCCTTGTACGCAGCCATCATCCACCCACTGAACATTTTTGGGTATCTTTTGCATGTCTAAACTACCGTTGGCTCACTCCTTCTCATAGATCTCAAGTTCGCGTTGCTCGAGTACCGATATTCCCAGACCGCCTTGCTAGAGGACTGGGATGAGAGGCTGCTGGGCATTAGCATGACTGTTCCTCGTACGTACATCAACGGCTCCGAGGACTTCCTCGCCCCACCCGAACCAACCGATCCCGAGCACAAAAAGGGGCTTGGGACTTCTTTCTTGTGGCAGGCTCCCCACAGCGACGCCATTCTCTTCATGGGCGATAAGTGGATCGAACTCCACGGACTCGTATCGAGAGTCCTGGAGCAGCAGCGCGACACAGAATCGCCCGCCCTTCTATCGGACAAGTCGGTTAGCAAACACTACCCCGCCTGGCTGGAGCAAGCGCTCCGTCTTTCCCGAGCACGGGGTTATTTCACACTGTATCCGAGCCCCATCACGGCGAGCACTGCTGCGACGGTACATAGAGATCTGTTCCAGCCTCCTGAGGAGTATGTCAAGGATCTCGAGCAGGAACGAAAAGACCGTGTAGTGACCCAGGCGGATCACCATGTGCTGGCCGGCCCCCTCGTGAACGTCCTCGACACCCTGCCCAGCCGCGGCAACTTGCCACCGCTCTCGAGCATCCCGCTGCTGCATTGGGACGGCACGGCCACAGGTCTCGGCGATTTGGATGATGCGGCTAGGCAGTACACTGCTAAATGGCGTCGCGAAGTCGGCGGATGCAGTGAAGAAGAGGCCGACAGGGCATCGGTTCATCTGACGGCGAAGGATCTCTTCTGTGAGAAGAACGATGAGGCGAATGTGCTATAAATGCTTTATGTTTCATGAATGGACAGATTGCGCTGCCGTCTGTGCTTTGTATGTATGGCCAATTCTTTTTCCTTTCTCTTTCGGATACCCTTGGGCTGTTTTTGAAGCGCCCATCACCGTTACGCAGACATATCAAAACTGGGACATGGGAACAACAAAATAAATCAAACATCCTCATGATACGGGCCTGAAGAACGGGAAGCTGAAATTTCCACGTTGGTATAGGCTAGATAGGTAGGGTAATGGTACTTAGTCATGGGGTGCTTCCATGTGCGCCGATCTTGGCGATGATTAGGAGGACGATGCACGTCCCCACGATGCTCATTGCCACGATGGTCAAGACCTAGCCGGTGAGAATGAAAGAGTTAGTGGACTTGCAGAAGAAGAGGACAGGATAGGGGTAATAAGACAAAAATCGAAGATGAAGGGAGATGATAATACGCACCAGCTGCGTCCTCCACCCCGTCTGGACAATGGCGGCTTTCCTGCCATATTTGTTTACGGTTTCTTGACACACAAAGCGTCAAGCGTCAGCGATGCTTCGTCTCGATCAATCGGACCCTGCAGGGCGTCAAAAACACCCTGTGCGGAATAGAACCAGAACCAGACTCAAGACTTACTGACGTAGTTCCCAACTCCGAGGAACAAGCAACAAACAGAGAGGGCCCAGAAGGTAGCGCCTAATGGCCTGGCCATCCGAAGCTCAAGCTCGCTTGGCTGGTTTTTGAGATGGAAGGAGAGAACAATGGCAACTGATACGACCGACATGTAGATGGAGAGGCGGAGATAGGACAAGAAAGCTATAGTCGCATATTGTGTGAGCAAAGATGGCAACAGGTAGAATGGGCGGGATGAGAGCAGCCATTTCGAGTCGCCCACGCTCATGGGATTTGCTGGCTCACTCCATGGAGACAACCCAGGGAGAGACACAACGCCTGGCCCTTGTTGTAGGCGGGAAAAGACTGAGTGAAGGGAGATGCCGAGGATAGGACGAACAAGGCTTGGGGGCACAATGGTCGCGCGCATCGCTCGTTTCGTTCTCGAAGAGGAGGGACCCAAAGGGCCAGGTCCAGAATCTTGTCGGCGGTAGCCTAGGTGATGTGTCAAAAAGACGGAGGACAAGATATAAAGTGCTGAATACACGGGTGAGGTTCGCGGACGAGAGTGTAAGAAATACATCGCAAGGCTCATCACTCACCCCGGCTGGTCGACAGAGACAGGTCTGCATAGAGTCGATGATTGGAAAGGCAGGCAACTTGTCGCCGGGGCTGCAGTTAGATCTTCATCGTCAATATGGCCGTCGGCCATGATTGACCCCTGAAGCCGCGGCTCGCGGGCTCTGTTGGAATAGGAAACCCCCGGCAGACCCTGTGCTAGACTAGAACATAAACGCCTGATCAATCAACGGGCCTGCGATTGAAGTGACCGTGGTCCTGTAGATGATCTTGCGGTGTATTACGGGTAAAGCTCACAGGACGGGCATAGCAGAATTGGTAGAAGGACGCCAGGCAAACGCGGATAACTTCTTGTTGGTATATACGGTGTACCTCAGTGAGGTTACAGTTATGAACATTGCGTAATGCTACAGACAACCTGGGAGGTCGGTCAGTTACAAGTTGACAAGTCCCAGCGCTAAGAAAGTACCTACAGGTACGGAGTTAAGATACCTAGGTACCTTAGGATGTACATCAGCAACGGCGTACCTCAGGACATTGCGCTGTGCTTCAAACTTTGTACTAGGTACCTTACTCTGGATAAGGTAGGTAATGTAAAAAATATGGAATCAAGGTACATTGCGTTTTGCCACCTCGGTCATGCTATATGAAGGTAACGTCTGACCCGTTGTGTCCAAGAAAATAGACCAAGAGAAAAAGCACGAAGCATTACGGAGTACTTCTAAGGAAGCGTAAGGTACCTTAAGGTTCGAGCAGTTTCTACGGTACTTGCTCTTAGCCGGCATGGGTGTGGTTGACAGACGGGAAGAGACCTTGTCCAGGTTTGCCTCGGCACTGATAAGTTTATCGATACGCCTTATCGGACCTAGATCCCCACAGCCAGGTATCAGATGCCAATGCAAACCAATCCTCGACCATCACAAGGCTCATTTCCAGCCGCCCCCCACTAAAACCACACCCCCGGCTGCGGCTACTATCCACTAATTTATCCCCTGCTCCAGTCCTCCAGTCTGGTCTCTATCCCGACCTATTCCTCAACGCAACTTCCGACATCGAAACTGAACTTCATCTCGACTCTCCCCTGAACCCACTTTAACCACACTTCAAAACGAAAGCTATTCATATTCAACTTTAGTACTTGCGCCTTCTTTCTTTATTCAAAATAATTACATTATTGACCAACCACAGCGACAGCACCTCCGTCACGCCTCTCCCGAGCCGTGACCTCTTCATCCGCGACAAGACCACTGAGCAACCAATCGACCGACCGACTGAACTCCCTGCTCCGTGGACCAACCATCCATCCATCGATGGCGCCGCAAAAAGCAGTCTCTCTTCCCGTAATACCCCTCGCACGCGGTACTGTCCTTCTTCCCGGCATTACCCAGCGCATCCCCGTCTCTGCCTCCCGCCCCGACATCCCAGCTCTTCTCGCCAACGTCTACACTCGCGCCGCATCGGCTGGCCCCAACGAGCGCGTCGACAATGTCCCCATAGCCTGCGTCCCCGTCGCCTCGCCCTTCGTTGGCACCAACGGCCAGCTGCTCATCAACAACGGCGAGCCCATAGACGAGTCCCAGATTAAGCACGTAGACCCGGCTACCGCGACCAAGGCCGACCTCTACAACTATGGCGTCGCCGCTCGTATCACCGGCATCGAAGGCCGCGGTACTGCCGAGTTTGCCCTACGCGTCGAGGGCGTTTCGAGGGTCCGTGTCGAGAAGATCACCCAGGAGCGTCCGTATTTCGAGGCGAAAGTGAAGCACTTCCCTGAACAAGGTGCGTACATGATATGTTTACGGCCTTCTGGCCCTGTCAGATCCGTTTTCTTGATTTGATCCCCTCCCCTTGTCGTTTACCAGTACTGATACCAAAGGGGGTGTTTTTCTCCTCTGCGGACACATAGTCGCGATGGATCAGCAGGTCCAAGAACTGTTCTCGCTTCTCAAGCTCCGGTCCCGCGAACTGGTACTCGCCCTGCGCGTTTCGTCCCTCCTTCCCGTGCCCCGCTCCGCCGAGAATCCCGGAATCTCTCCCCTCCTCATCCGACGACTCGAGACGTTCATCATGAAAAAGGAAGTTCAGGATGCGAGTTCTCTCGCCGACTTCATGGCCAACCTCGTTGAGGCATCCTATGAACAGAAACTCGAGGTCCTCGCTGCTCTTGACGTCAAAGTCCGCCTCGCGAAGGTCATTGAGCTGCTAGATCGGCAAGTCGGGGGAATCAGGAACAACTTCAAAATCACGTCCATCACGACCGTACCTATCCAAGTGCTGGATAAGCTGCCACAATTCAGGCAACGGTCTCGTCCCAATGGCGTCCCCTTGCCCGCCAACGGCTTTTTCCCACCCGGCGCCTCCAACGGTATGGGCGCCGAACAGGACGACGACCAGGAGCCGAACGAGCTAGACGAGCTGCGCAAGAAGATCGACGCTGCCAGGCTCCCTCCAGAAGCTGCCAAGCTGGCGGACAGGGAGCTTCGGCGGCTCAAGAAGGTGATGCCAGGGAATCAGGAATACCAGGTCACGAGGACCTGGCTCGACGTTCTCGCGGAAATCCCCTGGTCCGCGGTGACCGAGGACCGCCTGGGACCCGATACACTGGTCAGGGCCCGGAAGCAGCTAGACCAAGACCATTACGGCTTGGACAAGGTCAAGAAGAGACTCGTGGAGTACCTTGCGGTTCTGAGGCTCAAGCAATCCGTCAACGACGAAGTCGACGAGCAGATCAAGAAGGTTGAGGAGGAAGCTGCCGCTACCCCAGACGCCCACGAAAACGAAGCCGCCGAAGACTCCCCTGTCTCCCCTGATCAGCGGACATCGGCGGGCGACAAGTCCAATTCCCTTGTCAAGTTAGAGGCCCTCAAGTCTCGTCGCATGACCGACAAGTCACCCATCATGCTCCTTGTGGGTCCACCAGGCGTCGGAAAGACAAGTCTGGCCAAGTCAATAGCAACCGCGCTCGGCAGGAAGTTTCACAGGATTTCCCTGGGCGGTGTGCGAGACGAAGCCGAGATTCGCGGCCATCGCCGAACCTACGTAGCTGCTATGCCCGGGCTGATTGTGCAGGGCCTGCGGAAGGTCGGGGTGGCGAATCCGGTCTTCCTCCTGGACGAGATTGACAAGCTGGGCATGTCCAACATGCACGGTGATCCGTCGGCGGCCATGCTCGAGGTGTTGGACCCGGAGCAGAACAGCACGTTCACCGACCACTACGTCAGCATGCCCATCGACCTGAGCAAAGTCCTCTTCATTGCGACGGCCAATAGTCTCGATACCATCCCGGCGCCGCTTCTAGATCGCATGGAGACCATCTACCTACCAGGTTACACCACACTTGAGAAACGACACATTGCCATGCAGCACCTCGTGCCCAAGCAGGTCCGGGTCAACGGCCTCTCCGAGGACCAGATCACCTTCAGCCCGGAAGTCGTGTCCAAGATCATCGAGTCTTACACGCGGGAGTCGGGGGTCCGGAACCTGGAACGCGAGATAGGTTCCGTCTGCCGTGCCAAGGCGGTCGAGTTCGCCGAGGCCAAAGATGGCGGACAACTCGAGTCGTACAGGCCGCAGTTGACGGTGGACGACGTTGAAGCGATCCTGGGCATCGAGAAGTTCGAGGAAGAAATCGCCGAGAAGACCAGCCGTCCGGGTATAGTCACCGGCTTGGTCGCCTACAGCTCTGGTGGGAACGGGAGCATCCTCTTCATTGAAGTGGCCGACATGCCCGGCGACGGCCGTCTGCAGCTTACCGGGAAGCTGGGCGACGTGCTCAAGGAGAGCGTTGAGGTGGCTCTCACTTGGGTCAAAGCCCACGCCTTCGAGCTCGGCTTGACTTCGGAACCTTCCGTCAACATCATGAAGGACCGGAGCATCCACGTACATTGCCCGTCTGGTTCGATTCCCAAGGATGGTCCTAGCAGCGGTATCGCCCAGGCTATCGCTTTGATTTCTCTCTTTTCTGGCAAGCCTGTGCCCCCTACTATGGCCATGACCGTAAGTTTTGATTTCTCTCCCATTTCTCTCCCGTGAACATCCCCCGCGTTGCATATCCGGTTTCTTTTGTCTAACGTGACATTATCTAGGGCGAAATTTCTCTCCGTGGTCGGGTCACTGCTGTTGGTGGCATTAAGGAGAAGCTCATCGGCGCCATGCGGGCAGGAGTCAAAACTGTGCTGCTGCCGGCGCAAAATCGCAAGGACGTCAGGGACCTTCCCCAGGAGGTTAAGGACGGGCTTGAGATCCTCCACGTCAGGTATGCATATATTGTCCCCGACGCTTATTCTCACATCTCAACCCCTTCTGCCCCCACTCGGGCGCCCCTTTAGCCGTTGTTACTGACATTCGTTGTCTCCCTCGCCATCTAGTCACATCTGGGAGGCCGTCCGGCTCGTCTGGCCCGATTCACAGTGGCCAGGCCTGGAACATTATGTGGCGATCGAAAGTCGCCTATGAGAGAACGTCACAGGCGCTTTTGCCCTTGTCTCTTTTTCAAAGCCCGTGGTTCCCAGTATTGGCAATTTGAAAAAGTCAATAACAGGCAGATACGGAAGAAGTTGTAGGGGCGGCGTTTAGTTGCCAAGCATCTCGTCAGGCAGTGTCATTTTCTTCTTTTTGCCTCTGTCAACTAGAACAAGGCGCTTCCATTTGAATGGCGTCGAGATGTTGTGGTCAAGGATTAGTCTCTTCTTCCTGCACTCCATCCCTGTGTACGTAATTGTCTTATATCATCGGCACATATGTTTTCAGCGGCAGTCTGTCAAACTCGACCAATCCCTGGCTTCACAATCCAACCAAGTCTCTAAGTCTCTGTTGTTCCGTCATAATAATAATCCCGAGACGCACTCCGTAGTGATTCCCTGACTTGACCCATCACTCACTCTGTTTTCTTGTGGGTTTACTCATGGTGACTGGTTATCTGCAAAGGTCCTGGTTATCCGACTCCGCCCCCCTTCGGACCACTGACATCGAAACGATCGGTCAAACCCCCAGACGACGATCGCTGGAGGGGCTATAAAGGACGTGTTATATGGCCGCATAATCAAGGCGTTTGGGCGGAGAGAGCAAAGGTGTGAGATCCTGACTGTGGTATTCCCCGGGCCGTTTACGCGCGAGGCCATGCCAGAAGACCGCCGCGAGTCCTGGGGAATATCCGTCCTCGGGTGCTAGTTGCATCAGTGTCATTCTGTCAAAGGACAGGATGCCTTGCCTCGTGCGGTCCGCCGGGGCGAGATCCCTGGGCAACCAGGGCAGTGAAAACACGTCAAGTCTGAAAAGTGTCACTAGAGTGCTCCTCCAATATATCTAGTGATGCAAGCTGTGCGTCGAAGCCCACCATCAGTTCGAAGGAAGCAGTGGGCAATGACATCATTTCTGTTACAGATAGTGAGGGAGATGGGCGGGAAAAGAAAAAGAAAAGAAAAAGAGGGGAAAAAAAAGAAGAGACGAAAAGGAAAGAAGGTAATAGGGGGGCCAAGGGCGATCTGGGTGGCGGTGGCTGTCTGTATCCCGCTATGTGCCCACCGGAATTGCTCCGTCCCTCAGCACATATGTACGGAGGTATCTACCGGTACACGTGTACTTCGTGGGCCCGAGACCGGGTACCCCTGAAGATTTGTCGGGGAGGTCAATATCACTAACACATCCAAGGTGACGGTGCTAATGTATATACTTTGCATTGCATAATAAGCAACGCGGAGCCTTTGGATATATCTCCTGAAAAGGGCTTTTTTCTTGAAAAGATTTTTAATAATAAGCTTTCCTATTGCAGATTCTATACATTCACTGCAACCTCTGTCTAAATATATATGTATGTATGTATATATCTGCATGGGAAGTTGGTCATTCACGCGCGTGGGTTGCCTTGCGCTTCTTAGTGCTTGTTGCTCTGTTACTCGTTGCTGGTTGCCTGGAATGACTCTTAGTACGAAGTATTTCTCGAGTGTGACTAACAAAGGCTGCTGTCATCCGAAATGGGAAATCTTCAGGATGGATCCATCTGGATTGACCTGCTCGTAAAAGGAGGTCTTTCTTTTCTTCTTCCTTTTCTCCCTATTTATCCTTACTACGTATATCGACAGAGAGAAGGTAAAAAATAAAATAAAAATAAAAAAAGCGAGGACAAATTTGAGGTTTGCCCTGGCAGGTGTACGGGGAGGGTAGTATCCGTACTTCGTTCGCGGCGGATGGACGTCGCAAGCCTTGCCTTCTAAGTACCTGGTAGTAATTAGCGCGAATTGTTCGGCGTCGCCTCCGTAAGGTTAAGGTAATGAGCTCATGTCACTCATGTCACCGCGTGGTGGGTACATACATAAGTTGTTCTAATGTACCCAAGGTAGACGTCTGACCCTTGCCCCTGAAAATCTCCACGCACCCCGGCCATGAAAGTGGGATTTCATGTGGGATGCTCACAGGGACTGACAGGGATTGGGGGAGGGTCGGCTGCAAAGAAAGAAAAGGTGCAGCGTCGCGATCAGCGCAATCTGCAAACCTCTTTCGTCTCATCTATTTTCTTTTTCGTCATCTGAAGGTTTTTGGCAGGGCCGTGCGCAGGTTCCCCCCTCTTTTCCTTGATTTTCTCTACCTACCTTCTTCGGGAACTCGATTCATCGCATTGCCGTTCTCCGGAATTGCAGGCAAGCAATCACGCCTGCGCCTACCTATCATGTGTAGTGATAACCGCCTCGCTTTCCCGCATACACCAAACCAGATATGAGACGTCACTGACATGTACTTGCTACGTTATTTTGGCCTTGGAGAGTGCCCTGAAGGGACGATATACATGGTACCTACACACAGTACCTAGGCTCCGCCTTCGTGGCCTCATATTGGTGGTCCGTGACCGTCTGCACCCAATTCGTTGGGACTTGAACCGTGCAACCAGATTAATTCCATGGTGGACCGTTAGCTACATACTTTGAGCAAAATGGGACTCGGTAAAACAAGCGAATCCGAAAGGAACGGGACGAGGTTGGGTCATCTTTTAGTCCTTCCGTGTCCGAAGTCGGCCACATTGAAATTCTCCGGGATCAATATTCAATTTCGCATAATATAAGACAAAGCTCGTGGATCTGGCTAAGGACACATCGAGGCCCGTGACATTCGAATGAGGCTTGGAATCATGGAGTTGCTTGGATCGAATAATACTTCGCAGTGGGTATGGGTGCCACTGCCTATCTAGTACTAAGACTTTACCAAGTGAGAAAGTAAATAAAGAAAAGGCTGACGTACTTCCTACGTTGTACGGAGGACGGGAACGTACGAAGTATTACACGTACAACATCGCCAAAATACTGCGCCATTGTGGGAGGTGGAGCCCTGACCCTGTCGGAACCACGCGTGACTCTGGCACGCAATCAACCGATCATCTGGGCGGGAGTTGCGTTCCCCTTGTGCTTGACGGCGGGGGGCTTTTTACTTTTTTATTCCCACTTCAATTACCAATCATCTCCGTCATATTCCACATTATTATGCCTTCTTACGTGAATTTCTTACTGGGCTCTGTACGAAGTACTAGTTTCCAAGCTCCACGTGATCGCAAAGGCCAGCTGTTTCATCAGAACCAGTTCCGCCGCAGTTCATATATGCCTGTATTGCTGCGAATCTACATATCTCCACACGCCACAAGGATGACAGATGGCCGTCTCCGTACGACTTTCTCCGTACGACACGGGACCTACCGAGTAGGCAAGGTAGGTAAATAATAGGCACTCAATATAGGTGTCATTGGATACCTCCTTCCTGTCCGTTCGTTGTATCCCTAGTCCTACTAGCGCTATGGACTGTCGTCGCTCTTGGGCCTTGCTTGTTGAAGTGCCGAAGCCTCGTACTCGTACGGTCAAAATTACAGGGAGTTAGCGTCCCAAGCTGTTGTCGCGGACAGATTGAGGTCTGATGGGTTCCACGAATGTAGTAACGACTCGGCCGAATGATCGTGTCGCAAATTCAGGTGAGGTGGGGTCACGGGACTCGCGAGTACTTACGTCGTGCACTTGATTGTCCGTCACCGCACGAAATGATGCTTTACAAAGTATTTCGTGTTCGACGTCGACTCACTTCCAATTTATGGCACTTCAATACGGATAATAACAACAATTTGCATACTTCCGCATGGTAGGGTTGTGACACCTCTCGTTGGGCAAGGAACGGTTGGTTCGGGCCTATATACTCAGTAGTATAAGCATAGAAGGTGGAACGAACCAGAATGACCTGGAAGGCCCGCAACGGTCGGGTTGTGGTAACTTCTCCGTAGGTAAGGTAGTTAGAGAGGGGCTGTGGCGGGTGTCAACATCCGCTACGGAGTAAAAAAGTCACCCTTCCTTGGCACGGATACCCTGTACTCCGCACTCCGTCTGAACACCAGTAATTACCTACAGGTTGCCTGCTTGCATATGCCCGGCCGGGCACACGTGTCGGGTATGTAACAGTGAAAGTCACGCCGGGTCCTTTTGTCGTGCATTTAACGCATAACAATCGTCTCAAGACCTCCGATGATGGCTTCACACCTCAGAACGCATAGGACGATACTTGGTCTTACATACTCGCTAGGGACGCTGCAAGAGGGAGACACTCGATGGATAGGTATGTATTTAGTTAGTGGGTAAATGATTGAACCACTCGGAGAGCTCACCGAGTCGTTCTTCGACACCACACCATAGCCCTCAAGGTGGCCTAAGCTCTTTTTTTTCTTTTTCTATTCTAATAACAAAGAGGGGAAAAAAGGAGAAGGAGAAAAAGAAACTTGTCGTCTTTTTTTGACTTTTTCTTCGACTCCCAAGTAGAGCAGGAGAGTGGGGAACTTTTGTTGTCCCAGTTGCGGGCGTTCCATTCGTTATCAGTCGATGGACGCCCGCACCATGATACTTCGTACGTACAATGTCTGCAATATCCAATCCAACTCCATCAGCTAGTCATCGAGTAATTATTACCTAGTTCCCACACAGACGTGGCGTCGTGGCAGTGTTCGATTTCCCGTCTGTATGTACAACGTACATTCCATTTTCCCCACGCGTCGGAGACTAAAGAGAAGAGCCCAAAGCGCACAAGTGCTGTCCTTTAATTACCAAGTCACCGGCGTCGTCTGGTTGTCCCTTGTTCGGCCCATTCCTTCTCCGAGTATGATCGACCCTAGCCGTCGGCCCCGCACTCGGTCTCAGGGGAAGACTTCGAGAATCTACGTTGTACTCCGTAGAAGCTCCGCAATTAGACCGCAAAAATTCCCGTTTCTGTCTATTCCTACCTATGACAGCTAACGCTTAAACTCCGCATGCGAAGAGCCACCCCAGTTCGACGCCAATGCATCCTATCCTACATGTACTGGGACAACTCGTCGACGGACGGGTAGGAGAGCAGCATATGGCATGGGCATCCTCGGCAAACCCTATCGGAGTTATTTGAGTAATATCAACAGCGCCCGCAGGCCTACAAATGTCACAGCCGCCTAAGTATCTTCCCAAACTACGGATACCTATGTATACAACGTACAACATACAGATGAGGAGCCAGACGCATGGTCGCTATTCTGCACTGGCAATCGGGGCGCCGGATGAGAGATTCCATCGATCGTCCCCCCAAGTATACTGGGCCCTTTCTTCTTCATTTTTACCCTTCCACTGCCAGACGAGAAGGGAAGCCGAGTCAATATTAATTGGCACGATATACATACGCCCGGAAGCTCCGAGTTCGATGCGATAAATATCCCAATACCAGGCGTCAGTAGGTGGTGGTGGCCAGTCTGGGTTTAATGAGATTAATGAGATGCTTCGGCTGAATTGTTAGTGCGAGCAGTATTGATGCACAGAGGCACAGAGGGACCAACCCGTGATGTGTACTTCGTACAACTACAACGCACGCACTATCCGAATTGTCCACTTTTCAATCCCATGCGCATCCTCGTGACGGTGGCGCCGGTAGCGAGATCTCCAACGTGACTCTTCCTTTACTTGAAAGATGGGCAGGGCGGATTTCTTAAACGGGCCAAGCACTTTACGAAAGTACGTACTGGGCAACCTTCGAAGCCGAGTCCTTGCCAGGTCCCACCCTACAGATCCCGCGGTTCATCTGACTTTGGTTAGCGCGGCCCGTTTCTGGCACTGCTGCCCCAATCCCGGGGTCCGGGCTAGCCTGCCAATGTGGGTACTGTGTGCGTGCAAGGACCGGGGGTAATTGGCTACCTTCTATATGCTGGCCAGCCAGATGCCTCTGCGTCACTCCATTGAGTACTCCACTCCATTATGCTTCGGAGCTGCAGAACGTGCCGTGCGACAAAATGGGGAAAGCTGGACAGTAGCCGCCGGCACTCTCCGTCACCACCAGGATCTCTTTCCTGTACCGGAGCCATCCCCAGAAGGTCCAGAAGACGAGCGAGTCGGAGGCACTAACGCGAGCGGCAATAACGGTCTGGATCTATGTATTATGTACGAAGTATTAATCGTACTTTCGTACACGCCATGCACCTTCGAAAGAGACGCCTCATCGGCAACGCAGAACTTTCAACGTGGGTCTTGGGGGCCAAGACGTCAACTTTGAGTGTCCCATGAAGACAGCGATAGGACTAACTTCAGAGACTGAGTAGTAGGTATTGCACTGTGTACTTTGTCCTATATAACTATACATAACACCTATTACCGAGTACCGGTCTTCCGCCACCCTATTCGGTCTTTAGGGTCTTCTTAAACTCTTTCTAGATTAGATAATCCACTATATCTCTACTACCCGGAATAGGTGGGTTTCCTAGTATCTTAATATATATAGATGTAATCCAAAGAAGCAGTATAAGCTACGCTATATAATTACCTTAGCCCGTTATTAAAGCTATCACTACTAACCCCCTAGCCGTGACTATAATATCTACTCTACTACCGCTACTAATTAGTCGGCAGCTATTACTACAACTCCTAACTACTTTATAGCCGGGACTATAGCAGTTATTATAATCTTACCTAAAACTAACTACCCGGCATCTATTAATTTAAGGAGGGTGGCTCGAGCCAAGGCTTTACAGGCTAAGGCATTAATAGCGGCGGTATATAATATAGATTATGATACGGGTAGTATCAAGGAATAATACCTTAGAATAGAACCGGCACTTATTTATATAGAAGAAGATTTAGCCCGGACAGATTAAGTCCCGTCGGGCCCTAATTACGTGGCCTGACTCTATTAATCTTAATAACGTTAGTAAGCGTCTCGGAGTCGATATATTTCTCCCCCGGATTATTACTTTCTTCGGAGCCTTCTATTACTTCTACTTCTTCCGGGCAGTAATACACTCTAACCCCTGTTTAATTGTGTATAAAGTACTTGTGGATTCCGAATAAACCAATAGTATCGCGATAACGAGCAGAGTAGAATATAACTAGATATATCAAAAGTGGAGATTTTATATGTAAAATACAGGGGTTTAGATATACTAAACCAGGGACACTCAGTATCTTGTCAAACCACTATATCGTTCCTTAACCAAACTTTCCTAAATAGAAAGGTTTTGAATATACCCTTTAACACAATTAAACAGGGGGTGTATAGTAGGTAGTTCCGTCTACTCCTAGGCTAAGGGGGCCCTTTTTATTAGGGTGATAATATTCCGACTATGTCAACCGGATAATTCGACTATAGTACAGGTGTTAACACCTGCCATAACTGATAACTAAGCCGTCCGCGCTAAATTGATCCTATGTCTATAACGCCTGTAACGCCTAATTGCAGACAGAGGTTATTCGTCGGTTTAAAGAGTAACAATAATAATAACAATAGCTATAAAGCTGTAAATATCGTAAATAGCAAAAACGGCATTTTCGCATTAATTAATTGACTAGTCTACTGCTGCTGTAGCTCTCGTTGTAGCCGCTTAATCGCTCTATCCGTACTAGACTAACCACATGTCCTATCGGAAGCGTTTAGTATACGATTCTCTGCCTGTGGTATTCCCCGACGACCTCTTCCACGTCCTATTCCCCGTGTTCCTCGCGGGCGCCCGCGACCACGGCCACGGCTTCGGCCATAAAAGGGATTAATTAAAGATTGCGACCGTAGGATTAATTAGGCGTTATAGGCGTTATGGGTGTAGGATTAATTTGGCGCTGCCGGCTTACTTGTTAGTTATGGCAGGTGCTAACACGTACACTATAGTCGGATTATCCGGTTAATATAGTCGGAATATCCTAACCCTTTTATTAATATAGATTATATAATAAAAAGATTACTATAGAGCTGTTTGACTATATTATCGGTATCTGCTAGTAATAGGTACAGCTTCCTCTTAATCCTGCGATTCTTTATAACTTCGGGGTTACCTTATTTCGTAATTCTACGCGAGTTGTGGCTATACAGTTCTCGTACTAGTACTTTCTCTTAAATCGATGGTAGGTACTGACATCCTTTACCTGGGTAGTGCTCCCTGCTAAAAAGACCGTGAGCCAAAATACAGTGGTACCTACTGCGTACTTCGTATTTGGGCGAAGTAAGGCACTGGTACACAGGCAAGTGGCCAAGGGCACGGGCAGGGATTGGAGAGACGCGACTGGCTCGGGTCATCCCATCCATTTGATGAAGGAAAAACTTCAGTTCCATCTCCCAAGAAATCCCACTGCCCCGCTCCAGCAACGGCGATATCCCAAGAGGGCTGCGGCATCCTGGCGCAATGCATCCAGCAGCGGGCGCCCGGAGCATCGAATCTCATGGGGTCACATTGCTGCGTTACATTGCATATGGACTTGCCAGCGCCCGGTCCTCAGACGCAGTCCTAGCCCTCCTTCCCCAAAGTAATCGTAATTACATTGTACGACCCTCTGCCTAGCCAAGCCAGAAGAATGTCGCCAGCCTCTCTCGCGGGAAAAGCGCAACGTAAGATGGAGCAGTTCGGACTCGTCTTGGGGGACCGGGCACTGCATGAAAGCGGCGTGATAAAGTGAAACGAGGGTTGTTCCTCCATTAGCCGCTGACCTCCTTGCTCTGTCTTCAGGAGGCTCGGCTTCGACGAAGAGAATCGCAGTTTGATGACTCGCGGCGGCCAATTCGAGTATCTGGACCTGAACACGGATATAGTCACTCCCGAGCGATCCGGCAATCCCCTCATCCTGCCACGGCATAGCTCGGACATTTTCAATACGCCTTTGTCCTTGACTCTGTCGAGGTTAGATGCAGCTCCCGATGTCCCCCATCCCCACCTCCAGACAACCTTGAACACTGCAGCAAGCCAGAAGAAAGCCAGCAATCCATCAGAAGTACCGTACCTAAGGCACTCACTGCACACTGACATTCAGGCCCCAGCGTAGTAATCAGCACAGTCAAGTCATTCCCAAGAGAATTTGGCTTGCGGATAATTAGTAAGACATGTCTCAATGTCTCTTTGCACGTTGGATCCATCTGACTGGGCTGCTCAACGTACAGTATGTACGAAGTACTTGGCATAACTCTGCAGGCCTGTGAGCAGGGGGCTGGGAAGGAGGCTTGAAAAAAAGAAGGGTGAAAAAAAGAAAAGAAAAGCAACGACTTTAACGGCATGGCGCCCCCCTGCTACCGACCGGTAAGCAGCTTGGCTTCTTTTTTCCTTCTTGGAACATCAAGAATCAAGATCGCCCTAAATTATGCAAACCCGAACGCCTAGTTATTTCGTCTACCGGCTGCTGATCACCGCCTATCACCCACCCACCCTTGCATCTGCATCCCGCACGCTATGCCTTCTGGTATGGTATCCCACCTACAACGTACACCACGAAAGTACGAAGTACAAGTATTTACATGGATATATCTCTTCCTGATACCGGTTCGACCACCTACATACCTACCCAGGGCACTATGTGCCGCAGTGGGAACTGCGAACTAGCCTAGGCAATCAATAGCTAATCTTACCTTCATATCTCATATGCTTATGTACATACATATGTAGCCAAGGTCTAGGGTGGTTGGCATAAGTCCACGTGCTCTACTATTATTAACATATTATTCGCAGATACATTACATACGCATTTGTACACAGATACCATGATACCTAGGTATCTGCTTCATATGGTAAGGTACTTGATACATACAACTGTACTGCCCCCAACCCGATGGGAAGATTTGATCGTACACCATATCCCCGCTCCCTTTCCCCAAGAACAACAGTACCTTTTGGTAAGTAAGTACTCCGTGTTATGCATATAATATCTTGTTATGGTCGGCTTTGTGCCGCTATACTCTCTTTCCCGTCTATCGGCGTAGGTACCTAACCCTGGACAATCATCAGCCCTCTCAACCCCCATGCGGCCCTCTTCTTTGACCCCCTCCCCCCCAGTTCGTAGCTCCACAGCGAGGTGCTAGGGCGCCCCGATGCACTTGTCATTTCCCTGGCTCCCCACTCCCGTCCTTCCATGGTATGTACAGTAGTACCGTAGTATAGTAGATACGTACCTACCTATGTAGTACCTAGGTACCTACCTACAGTGAGACACCTAACTATTAGGTACCTAGGTAGTGCACCGGGTCTTCCTCTCTCCGGGCGGTGTTGCCCCTCTCTCCACTTGCCCACTTGGAATAAACGGTACATAAGGTAGGTAGCAAACTCGGTAGCAATTTAGGTAACTGCCAGCCTGCCATCTGCTACCGGTTCCGACTACTCGAGACAAGGCCCGGACCCCTCCATTCCCAGAAGTGAAGCTCCTAGGGCTACAGCATCCATACGTATCCACCTGAGCCACCCCCTCCTTTCGGTTCCCGCAGTCATTTGGCATGTTGAGCCCTCCCGAGCGCGGGAGTTTTTTCTCATCACTCACTCACAACTGTCCGACGAACTACTTTGTACTTTGTATAATCGAAGGAGCCGAGCTGCCGCCATCGCGTGTCATCAGCTCACCCTGCATCACCCGTACTCCGTACGAAGATTTGATCCTCAAGTCTCATCCAGCTTTGCGCTTTGCCCTCGCCTAGTCCATCTGGCGATGCCTACCGGGGCGGGGGGCTATGCTGCGGAAGTAAAAGGGTCCCGAGAAATAGTGGTGCCGAAGGATGGACTCGGCCAGCAATAATCTCCCGGCAGTAAGGTAGGCGTCGGTTTTTATTTTTATTTTTATTCCCCGTCCCTCGCTACCTAATTAGACCGCCGAGAAAAGATAGTCGAAAACCTAAGGTACCGAAGGTATACAGTTATACGCAGCGTATATGTCTTAGACGATGGCGGTGATGTCAACCTAAGATACCTTATCGGGCATTGCGGAGTACTTGGAACCTTTCCCAGAAGGTTGAACATGCGACAAAAGGCGCTCTGCAAGACTGCAAGTAGTAATTTTTTTCTTTTCTTTTGTTCCTTTTTTCCCCTTTTTTCCCTTTTTTCCTTTGCTTGTTCCCTGACGGGTCACTGGGACGTTCATTTTGGGGAGAGGGGCTGTCCGCTCCCTGCTACGTTGGGGTACTCCGTACTTTGTGGCGTATCTACCTCCCTTGTCCCTGAACACCCAGATGCACGGAAAATTGGCGTTATTGGGTCGTCGGTCTGAGAGGCGCACGTCCAGGGCCATCATGATGGCATAGTCCCTCCACTCTTGATTAGAGAGCGCCATGCCACCTCCCATCGTGACCGGGGTCTTCCCTGGTGCCCTGTGCTTTGTCGACTACACAGATCAACCCTGAGGGAACCCCTGCTTCGTCTCAATTGGCTTACCCGTCCCCCCTCCCCCCCATCTGCTCCGGTAGTCCAGCACCGAGTCGCACAAAAACCGACCGGGAGCCACCGATCAACTCTCATCCAAATCAGCTTCTAGACCTTCCAACTTGCATCTTCAACTCCTTTTGGCCGACTAATACGATAAGAAGGAGCGAATTCCGAGAGGAAAAGAGACGCGTCCACTCCGGACATCTCACCCTGACCTGCACTCTTGCCTGAGCTTCCAACCTTGAGAGCTCCGTGAGCTCCGTCTGCCCTTTTCCCTTGGCCGCCATTTCACTTCACCTGGCGCAACATCACCGACGAAAGACCAACGAGCACCGCTGCATGCTGTACCGCCGGCACTCCGATTATCATTGCGCGGGTATTGTTACCGTGCAACATCTCTACTGTCTTCTTCTCTTCTTCAGCTGGACCTAGACTCCAGCTTTCCCGCGTCATCCCAGCTGCCTCTCGAAGCCTACCGAGTCCCCGGCTCTCGACTGCGCCTGTCGCTCCTGCTAAGAGCTCTCTCATCTTTCAGACACGTCGCGCATTCCTGCGAACGGCGTCTTTGCTACTCAGTCGCTGTACCTAGAAGCATCCGGACCAGCCTCACCATTCACGTCCTGCACTGTCGTTTCCATCAGTCGATTGGCACGTCCCACGTGACGAACCCACGAATCTAACGACTCCCCGAGTTAATCGTTCCTAAACCCGCGCGACTTTCTTCTAAGCCATGCAAGTTCCTCCATCCAGGACAAAGTAATAACATTTGCGAGGCATCCGAAGGTTGTCTCCGCGACGCAACACAAGCCGCCGTCGACACGACGCCGGGACCTCAAAAGGCCTGCCAGGTGGTCGGTCTTCAGAGTGCTTCAGAGTGCACATCATCGATGCCAGCTAATAGCAGAGGCTGTGATACGTCGCCTATTTCACGCGGCCCGTGCCGAGGCATATTAGACCTGGCGTACTTGGCCTCCGACCTGACCTGGGCCGAGAAACGAGCAAAACCCGGGCCCCTTCCTCGATCCATAGCAGCAGCATATCCCTCGCCGCCCATGTCAGACTCGCCTCCTTCTTTCAAGCCCCACGCGACGCAAGACGCTGGGGATCGAGACAGACAACAGAGGAACTACCCAACCGCCGCCGGCCCGCAAGATGCCTACTGGGTGGGGTCCACAACATTGACACAGGGTCCCATGCAAGGAGGACAGCCGCCGATGCAGCCGCCAATGCAGCCGCCAATGCAACCGCCCCATGCGCAACCGTACATGCCCGAGACGTCTGAAAGGATGACGCACGCCTATCCTCGAGCAGACGATGCTGCTGCGCCAGGAAGCATCAGCACGTTTCCATCGCACATGACGGGGCAACAACATATGCAGCAGCGGCCGTTTTCATACCCGGCCATGCCGGGCCCGTTGCCTCCCCCTCCTACGCCAGGCTATCCGGCTCCCACGCCATCATCGCAATCGACCACCGAAGATACTCCGCCCATTGCCTCTCCGAAATCCCAAAGGAAGCCGAAAGGGCATGTTGCGTCAGCATGTGTGCCCTGTAAGAAGGCCCATCTCAGGTGAGTCCCCGCCCAGGTGCTGCAATCTTAGGGCATGCCCTGCAATATACGTGACCTCAAGTGGCTAATACATTATTTAGATGTGACGGTATGCGTTGTTTTTCCCTTTTCCCTTTTTCCTTTTTTTTTCTTTTTCTTTTTCCTAGTTTCTCTTCTCTTCCTGTCAACATCCCTCAACCCTTCCCCCAACGTATGCATTTTCCGCTGCACTGCTATGCAGAGCATCTCGTTGCAGGATGCTTCAGAAAACCATCCTACCACACAACACCAACACAGTCGAGTTGAATTTGCACGGGGGTTTCCCATCGGGGCGGTACGACAGCATTTGACGACGACATCAGGAAGAAGGCAAAGACCAGGAGAAAAACAGAGGGGGGAGAGACTGGTTCGAACGGTCATCTTAGAGGCGCCAGTGGCGTGTCAACGGTGTCGTGGCGACTGGCTTTCGATACTGTGGCTGGTCGCCTTTTGCAACCGTGCTCGACTAGCACAAGTGGGGGAACTTGGCCAAACAATGGCACCTCAACTGGGTTCCTTGGAGCGAAAAGTGATGGCGTTCCACGGTGTTGGTTCCGGTCGAAGCTACCGATAGCCCACTCCAGATTGGGCGGGGCATGCGGCGATTTGACTAGGCGCTAAGAATGCTTTGTGGGGATTGATTCCCTTGCGGATTGGACGCTCCGAGAGACAAAGTGTCCTAGTAGCGTTAGGGGGATGGGAGCAAGTGCCCCGATTCTTTGTCGCAACTCACCATGATGACCATGATGATATTATATGCACCTTATAGAGCCACATGCTGACTGGAAACCTCGATACAGCTCGACGCCCGTGTTCTCGATGCACAAGTAACGGAAAGGAAGACGCATGCATTGACGTGCAACACAAGAAACGCGGCCGGCCGCGGTTACGAGACGACCGAGAAAGCCGGCTAGGTCCAGCCAATTATCCCCAAGATGCTGGTGGAGTGAGAAGGCCTCTCAGCCTGTATTCTTCGGGCGGGCCAGTTACAGGGTACGATGACCCCATCCGACGTAGTCAGACACATGGAGTTCTAAAATCTCAAAAAAGGGAACCAATCGCGCCTAGGTATCTTGAACGAGCCGCCTCGACCGATGCGAATATCTACGTGCCGTCGCCGGTCCCGACCCTGGCACCGGAGCCAGTGGCTTTCCTCAGTCCCGACCTGCATATCGTCAAGGTGTCTCCCACCTTCATCGACGCACTCGGTGTCGCCAATATACGGGGCAGGAATCTGTTCGACATCGTCACGTCGGCAGATAGGGCGAAGATTCAGAGACATCAGCAGTCGATGCAAGAAGACCGCGCCAGGAACGATCCGATGTACTTGCCCCCGATTTTCGGAAAGCAGGAAGAAGAGCGAGTGCTGGATACGCTGCGGTTCGACGCAGATGAACTGTCACGAATCCAGATGGATCGCCGTGATGTCCTCGTCTTTGCGGGTCCGGAAGGACAGCCGAGGTCTTTCAGCGTGCGCATGGGGACAGCCAAACGGGATTCGATCTACTTTGTCGCTGTCCTCTTACAGCTGCCCGTAGGCTTTCCCTATCCCACCCCGTCCCCCCAGGGAAGAGAGGCAAGCTACCCCTCGTACACCCCGCTGCCGCTTCCTCATCAGCAACACCAGCAGCACCAACCGCATCCGAAGCAGCAATATCATCTCTCCTACGGTCAGCCTACGCCCTTGTCTGCCAATTTCGACATGAATAGGCAAAGATTTGGGGAAAGCGCATTGGCGCCGCGGCCGAGTCCCGGGCACCCCCCCCACATGACGGCCGGTCCGAGTCCAGGGCTGAGCCCGGGCCCCAGTCCTGTATTTAGCACAGGCGGTATGTCCGGCCCGTATGGTGCGTCTCCCGGCCGGCCGGATTTTGTCTCGGGGCCTTCGTCTAGTCAGGGACCTCGCAACGACCTATTATCGAACGCACGGCCGCCACCACCACACCACCCTTCGTATCAGCTTCCTCCGATTCGATCTCCACCACAACATGGCATGCCCCAGTCGGAGCCTCCTGCCAGGAGGGAGGAGCGGTCTGGTCGGGTCGACATAGAAGGCTTAATCGAAAAGCCGAAATAGGTCCTGCGCCCATAGCAACGGCTCCTTCTGTGCCAGCGCTCCTCCCTCATGCAGTTCCCACGGTTCGTTTCTGAGGATTTTCGAGTCTCATTCCAGCGCCCAGCACACTTTGTGTTTTTAAGTCAGGTGTCAAGTCTTCTTTTTCTGTGCTCGGGTCCTTTATCCTTTTCAAAGATACCACCTGTACAACCAACGCTTTGTCTGTTTGTCTCGCTTTCTCATATATATACCTATATTAAGCTGCATTTCTACGTTTTTGTTGATATTTCTTTCTCTTCTTTTTTCCTCTTCTTTTTTTCTCTTCTTCTTTTTGTCTTCTTCTTTTTGTCTTTCCTTTCGCTTGCTCTCGTCTTTAATATCGGCGATCTGGAAGGCTGGCGTACTCTCGCAACATGTTTAAAAATGTCGTTTTTAACCGTTGTTTTACTTTATGTTGGCTTATGGCTGCTGAAGATATGACTGCAGATGGCGAAGATGTAGGATACGGCGGAATGAGATGGTCATGTTTGGTTCCGGTTGGTTGGTTTGAGTTTCTTTGGTGCGGGAGGAACTGTCGAATGGAGGACGTTGATAAGGGGTCATGGTGGAAACTTGCAGGTTTCATGGTTCGAACGAACCGCCATAGCATAGTGGCTGGGACCCAATATACTCTAATACCTATCCCTCAGGAGGTTCGCGTGCATTAAGATGACGCTATTCGTCTCACCGGCTGCTACTCCGTATGGAGGGACACGTCGAAGTAAAAGTCAGGTCTGACGCCGGAGGGAGACGGTTTGGCTGTCAACGTGTCTGCATGTCGGGCCGGCTTAGCTGGTGTTCGAAGGAGGTCTCCTCATCTCGGCTGGTCGGATGAATTGGCACCTGTCAGAGATAAAAAGTGCGATGTGCCGAGTCCGAGCAATAATGCTTGGATGCCGCGAGTATAAGTACACGTACATACGAATAGGTAAAAGCAGTTGGGGGAAGTTGGGTGGTGTGCGGGTTTAAAGACTGGTGGGACAAGGGGCATAATATTCGCGAGGGCTGCGACAGAGATAAACTGGGCAGGGGCTGGTAAGCGGCCTGACCTCTGACAGCAGATACCTATCTGCGCTTGTCCTGCGGGTGAGATCTACTCCGTACATGAAAGCAAGATGCTAGCCCTGGGCTACCCAGCTCCATGTCACTTGTTCTCTCTCGCCTCGTGCTGTGCGGCGTGCGCTCTGTCGCTAATTAAGGAGGGGTCATTGGTGTCGGGGTACGCATCAACATCAAACTACGAATATGTACGCCGTAGGAGTCCGCGTCAGATATTTGTTGGACTCTCGGCTTTTATCTCCATACAGCCGTCCATTAATGTTAAGTTGTTAAGCTGTGGCCCCGAGTCGCTTAGCAACCACTACTCGAAGGAGTATTGATTCACGGCTGTTTCGGGCCGTCTCTTGAAAGAATTCAAGGCGCTCACTGTGTCTACCTATTGTCATATGTAAGTGTCGTTAAAAGTTTACACTGAACCCAGCCATCTGGTAACGTTACCCGGCGGTCGGGGGGTGGAGAAGTGCACAGGGCAAGCAAATCGATCGTCTTCCGTGCCACCGGCCTAAGGGAAAGAAATCTCCGAGTGGGAGAGGAGGATACCGGATTTAATACCCGAGTCCAATCCAGAGTAACGGCATTTTACCTAGTTGCGATCGTGGGAAAAATGGGCTGGAAAGAGTTGAGAAACCGAAGCAATCGTCCGTATTGTTCCATTCCTTCGATTTGGGCGGTCAAACGACATATGTAAGAGGACGGACGATATTACAAGAGACCTGTGAAGGAACATCTGCCTCTCTAAGGTACGTACCTTTTTTGAAGGTGGCTTGCCATACCTTTGGCCTTAGGTAAGGTACCTTAGGTAGGTACTTCGCCAAAAGATGACAAGAACAGTCACACGTGACCACGCGACGTGAGAGATCATAGCCAACCAGCTGGGAATTATGGACCACTCGCGTGAACTCCCTGAACTTCCCAACCCCCATGCCAAGCTGGCCTTGCCAAAGCGTTCATCTCATTCTCATCTCATTCAGCGGTACCTACACCAGCAGTTTGAACAGAACTGGGTCATGGTAGATTGAATCCATCGAGTGTCACGTCACCTGAATGACACCAGCTTCTTGAAACCGAGACTCGGCGAAACTGCAAGGTTACGAGGAGTGTGAGAGAGCAAGCCGGTGATCCTCTCATTAAGGTAGGCCAAAGGCCACGGGGGCATCTGCTTGGTTTTTTATTTTCATCCCTTCTCTTGAAAACAGAAGGGAGCAAAAGAAAGATGGCCACCGAGCCAATGGATGTCGATGCACCGACTGGCCTTAAACGCAAAGCCGATGGTGAACCCGCCGAGTCTCGTGCGCCTCGTAGGATCAGGGTTAGTCCAATATTTATCGCCCACCCCCGCTTCTTTAATGCTTACTATCCGGCACGAACCTCTGACTCGGTAACATTAACACTTGCAGGCCTTGGATCCGGATGTTGTAAACAGAATTGCGGCTGGAGAGATTATAGTTGCCCCCGTTCACGCCCTGAAAGAGCTGATGGAGAATGCCGTGGATGCAGGCTCGACTTCAGTTGAGGTCCTTGTCAAGGAAGGGGGCCTCAAACTCCTACAAATCACCGACAACGGCTGTGGCATCCGTGTAAGTCCTCTGCCATTTTACGCTACTGTCCTGTCTCACTGACACCACCCCCTTTTCATCTCGCAGAAAGAGGATCTTGCTATACTGTGTGAACGCCACACAACATCCAAAATCACATCGTTCGAGGACTTGACGTCCATCTCGACCTACGGCTTCCGTGGCGAGGCCCTTGCAAGCATCAGCCATATTGCTCATCTTTCTGTCACCACCAAGACAGCCGACTCGGATGTGGCATGGCGGGCTCACTTCCTGGACGGCAAACTCGTGCCGGCAAAACCGGGACAGTCACCGGCCCCAAAGGCCACCGCCGGCAGGAATGGTACCCAAATCTGCGTCGAAGACCTCTTCTTTAACGTCCCTACGCGAAGGCGTGCGTTTCGGTACCCTTCGGATGAATACAACAAAATCATCGACATGGTCGGCCGCTATGCCGTCCATTGCGAGGGCGTCGCCTTCTCCTGCAAGAAACACGGGGATCCGGGTACGGGCCTCTCCATCCAGGCCAGCGCCAAGACTGTGGACCGCATCCGCCAAATCCACGGCGCCAACGTGACGAATGAGTTGCTGGAGTTTTCGACTTCCGAGGATCGCTGGGGGTTCCAGGCTGACGGCTTCGCGACCAATGCCAACTACCACGTCAAGAAAACTACGCTTCTGCTATTTATTAATCACCGCTGCGTCGAATCGACCCATATCAAGAAGGCCATTGAGCAGGTTTACGCTGCTGTCCTCCCCAAGAACGGACGCCCTTTCGTCTACCTCAACCTGAACATTGACCCAGCCAGAGTCGACGTCAATGTCCATCCCACGAAACGGGAAGTGCATTTTCTCAACGAGGACGAGATCATTCAATCCATCTGTGAGCACATTCGCTCCAAGCTGGCCGAGGTTGATACGAGCCGAACGTTCTTAACGCAGATGGTATTACCTGGAATGCAATGGGAAGATAAAGACGGTGCAGGTGCAGGTACTGGTGCAGATGAGGCCGAGAGAAGTCCGGCACCGGATGCGTCGGCTAAGAAGCGACCCCGAAGGAATTCCAATAACCTCGTTCGAACCGATACGTCCCTTCGTAAGATCACGAGCATGTTCCCGACAGCAGCAGCATCAGCATCAGCAGCACCAGCAGCACCAGCAGGCGAGGGCAGCGATAGAACCCCTGCTCCGGAGCTGGACGAGGATGTGCTCGCCATGCCCGAGGACGTCCAATACGAGACTGTGGATCGGGAGCCGACTCCGTGCCGGCTGACAAGTATCAAGGAGCTCCGGGCCGAAGTACGAGAGGACATCCACCACGACCTGACGGAGGCGTTTGCGGGGCACACGTTCGTCGGCGTCGTGGACGAGCAGCGGAGGTTGGCCGCCATCCAGGGTGGTGTGAAGCTTTACTTGGTAGATTACGGGTTCGCTTGTTTCGAATACTGCTACCAGGTCGGGCTGACGGACTTTGGAAACTTTGGTGCCATTCGATTCAACCCGACCTTGGACCTCAGGGAGCTGCTGCGCATAGCAGCAACACGTGAAAAGGAGGTGATCGAATCGCCCGGGGAGGATTTTGAGGTGGATGTACTTGTTGAACGGGTGGCGAGCCAGCTGGTTGAGCGTCGCGAGATGTTGCTCGAGTATTTCTCGCTTGAGATCACACCGACAGGCGATCTCGTGAGCATCCCGCTTCTGATCAAGGGATACACGCCGCCTGTGGTCAAACTTCCCAAGTTTCTTTTACGGCTTGGTCCGTACGTCGACTGGATGGATGAAAAGGCATGCTTTGAAACCTTCCTGAGGGAGCTGGCTTCTTTTTACGTCCCGGAGACACTACCCCCAAGTATCCCTTCTGGCGGCGAGGCGGAGGAGGGGAGTGCAGAGGCAAAAGAAGGGGAATGGGAAGGGGAAGGGGAAGGGGAAGACTTGAGCCGAGACGGGCCCATGTACCAGGAACTGTCCAGGCGGCGCAAGAACGTCCGCTGGGCTATCGAGCACATCTTCTTTCCGGCGTTTAAATCCAGACTGTTGGCCACGAAGGCACTCATGAAGGGAGGCATCTTGGAGGTGGCGGATTTGAAAGGATTATATCGGGTATTTGAACGGTGTTGAGATGGCGTTGACATTGGCGACGCTTACTATACCTACTTAGCTTAGCTGGGTAGGGTGAATACCAAGAGTTCGACAAACAATATTAACTACCTTAACTTTGCTTGCCACGACCGACATACTTATAGGCACATTTAACTCAGGCAGATTGTGGAAGAAGAAAGTCCCTCAGGCTTCCGACCGATTGGGAGAGCTCCGAGAGGACGTGCGGGTAAAAGTGGATCCTCCCGTAACTAGGTAATGTAAGTACCTAGGTACCTTATGGTGTGTGCTTGTACCCATACGATGCGTTGTACTTACCAATACTGTACCTACTTCGTAGCTCCCGGTGTGGGCTCCAATCGGTCGCTCCGCAGCTTCCAGCTCACTGAATTTTAAGCGGTCGGTCACGACAATTTTTTCCGCCCTTGAATGTGAAAAAAAGAAAGGAAACTCTAATGTCAAAATAATTTAACACTTTCCCACGATAAGCGATTTTAAAACGAGAGCCAACGAGTACAACAAAGACAATCGATTCCTGCCTATTTCAGGCAATAAGATGGGGAAAACACGCCGCAACCGCGCCCGGCCCAGCCGCAAAGACCCCATCCAGAAGACGGTCAAGCCACCCTCGGATCCCGAGCTGGCAGCACTGCGTGAGAAGTCCATCCTCCCCGTCATCCGCGACCTGCAGAGCTCGGATCCCAAGGCGCGCACGGCTGCCGCGTCCGCCGTGGCCAATCTTGTGGAGGATGCTCGGTGTCGCAAGCTGTTGCTGCGCGAGCGGGTCGTCCACATCGTCCTTTGCGAGACGTTGACGGACTCGGCGCTCGAGAGCCGGGCCGCCGGGTGGGAGATCCTGCGCGTGCTGGCCGAGGAGGAGGAGGCTGATTTCTGCATCCATTTGTATCGGCAGGATGTGCTGACTGCGCTCGACTTTGCGGCCAAGTCTGTGAGTTTTGGACACCGTCCCCATGCTTCTCAATTTCATTCCATTATTTTTTTTGGACTCTCGTACCACGAGCTCTACCAAGTGTCCGTTCACACTCATTTACCGACTAACTCCCCGTCAGGCATTGGAATCACTGGCCTCTAAGGAGGGGAAGCTCACCAAAGCCGAGCTCAAAGTTGTCTGGAACATTATCGGCTCACTCGTCGCCCTCACCTCCACGCTATCTGAAGCCGATGATGAGATTTTAGAGACTGTCGTCGGTCGCGAGTACATCCTTACATTGCTATTAACTGTGATCGCCAGCTCCGAATCACCAGCCAGCATCCGGCTCGACGCTCTTTCGTGCCTCATGACCCTCGCGGAGGACAACCGCCCGGTGGTAGAGCTTGTTATCGCCGACCAGGATCCTAAGCCATTTACGGCACTGCTTCAGCTACAAGACAGCCGGGGCGTCGGTCGCGTCCTTGTCTGCGGCGTGCTACACAACGTCTTCTCGGCCATGAAGTGGTGTGAAGGCAGCCCAGGGAGCAGGCAATTGTCCGATGCGACTCTCGTGAGGACACTCTCGGAAGAGCTTCAAGTCACGGTGTCAGACGGGGATAAGGGCAGTGACGAGTTACCGGAGAACAGTCAATGGTCCAAACAGACCGAGGTTTTGCAGCTGGCTCTCGAGATCCTGGCATCCATCGGAACCACGCTTCAGGAGTCGATGGCGAACAGTCATGCAAGAGACGAAGAAGAATGGGGAGGCATTGAAGACGACGATGCTATGGACGAGGACAAGGATGCAGGCGACGACGACACAAAGGATGAGGAAGCGGATGACTCCAAGGTCGAGGACGAGATGGATGAGGATGATATCGCCGATATCCAGGCAGACATGGCTATGGTCACCGGTGCAGATGACGATGAAGACGAGTCTTCATCAGAAGATCTCTCGACCCTCCGGGAACTTGTCCAAAGAGCCATACCGGAGATCATTCGCATGATAAACCTGTCGGCACAGAAGGCAGAGTACGTGCCGCTGCAGGCACCGGCACTCTCCGCGCTCAACAACATGGCATGGTCTGTCAGTTGCTTCGACTTCTCCGTGGACGAGAACGCCTCGATCCTGAAGGTCTGGGAACCAGCAGGAAGGTCGATCTGGGAGAACGTCGTCGGCGCAGTCCTGGCTTCCAACACGGCCGACGTCGAATTGGCCTCCACGGTTACGAGCCTGGCCTGGGCTGTATCACGCACCCTCCCGGGAGGCCGGCTCCAACTCGAGGGGGGCGAGCACAATAAGTTCATCTCCCTATATCATGCGGCGAGGAAATTGGACCAGAAGGCCCAGAAGGCCCAGAAGGGCAGCAGCACCGACGGTCAAGGACAGAATGCCCCGACCAAGGATGGGGACGAGGAAGATCCGTTCCAAGGCCTGGGCGTGAAGTGCATCGGTGTGCTGGGTCAGCTCGCGCTCCATCCGGCGCCTGTGTCCCTGAACAGAGAGGTCGGGGTCTTCTTGCTGACCCTGCTCTCGGGTCTTCCGGAAACTCCCGTGGCGGACGTTGTCGAGGTATTGAATCAGTTATTCGACATCTACGGGGACGAGGAGTACGCTCAGGACAAGGAGGTTTTCTGGAAAGATAATTTCCTGGAGCATTTAGAGCAGGCACTGCCGCAGGTGAAGGCGGCGGTCAAGAAGGTCGACAAGAGGACTAACTTGGAACTGCGGTCTCGTGGCGACGAGGCCGTGTTGAATCTTGGGAGGTTTATCCAGTACAAAAAGAAACACAAGCCTTGAAGTCAGAATTTGGACGGGATAGTAGAGGTTTTAATCGGTTGTGCAAGCCAACATACCCAACATGCGGGAAACCTGGCAGGCACCTCCTCCATAGGTACTATGTATTGATGGCTCTGCTGGCGGGGGCCATGCGATGGCGCGTGGTCGCCGTGATGGGCAACCCAGCGACGAATCAGTATGGAACTGGATCGGTTGGAGGAGCAGAGCTCTAGTCTAAATTGGCCAGTCAGGCTTTTGATAGCGAATGATGAATCGTTGTGCAACAAAACTCACATAACACCGTTTACTCCCCAGCCTTATCCGTAATTCCCAGATAAAATAAGCCCCGCAGAATCAGAGTAAAAAACTAAGGCCATGATTGTGATCTATCCCCGCATCTCTCCGCCGGTGGCACCAAGTGGTGGGAAACGGGTCTCCAGTTGGGGAACGAGACAAAGTTGCTGTTCCGGTTCTGTGTTCCGTGCTCCGTGTTCCGTGCGTGAGGAGGCGGAGGACCATCAGCCTATCGGCTTCATCTTTTTCTTCTTCTTCCCCTCACCGCTGGACCTCCCTTTCTGGAATTGCCGCCAGCTATCAATACGTTGGTCGCGCGTGGCCTCCCAGTCCTGTTCGTGCTGTCGTTTCCGCTTGCGTTGATCCAGCTCCTCGTCCTGCTTCCGCTGCTCGCGGCCCTCCTCCTGCAGCTGGCCCTTGAGCTGCCGCCTGCGCCGGTGCTCGTTGTCGACGAGGACTTCGCGCGTCTTCTCGCGCCACTTCTTCGCGAACTCGGGCGCCTTGAGCTCCTCGCTGTCGACGGTCCACTTGTTCTCGCGGATCAGCAGCATGCGGGCGTCGGCGATGGCCTCGTCTAGGCGTTCTCGGTGTTTTTCGTCCATGAGCTCCAGCTGGGCCTTCTTCAGCCTGTCGAAGGCTTCGGGCGCTTTCGGGTTCTTGGTTTTGTCCGGATGGATGAGGAGGGATTTCTTGCGGTAGCAGAGCTTGATGTCGGATTCCGGGACGCCGGGCTGTAGGTCGAGAACGGCATAGGCGTCTAATCGGAAGGCCTTGAGAATGCGCTCAATCTCGGCATCCTACATTGAGAGTGCATCAGTGATGGGGGTGTCGTTTCGAAGGCGATCGCGACGCCGCTCACCTTATCGAACTCCTTGGCCTCCGATTCCAGAGCGTCAAGCGCTTCCAACTCGTCTTTGACGTCCGGATTAGCCATTTCGGATTTAGATCTTCCTTCCTGTCTATGTGTTTCTTTCTCTTCGTCTTTTAGTTGGCGCAGAAGGGTATCTGGTGTCGTGAGATTCAGGAGAATTCAGGGTGAAAGGAGATGCGAGGTTTTGCGATCACAAATGTCTGGTTGTCTTGAAGCTTGTTCGGTGACCACACATATTGCCTCGTACACAGGTATCAGCTCGCCGTACCTTGAATGGTGGGACCAAGTACGTACGTAGTACATAGGTACCCACCTTTGAGAGATTAGATAAGATAATAGATAAGAGATAAGATAATCTGATAAGGAGTTTCCTGGTGCTACCCTGCACCGCCCGATTTTTTTCCCAGATGGCAGTGGCAGACTGGACATGTTCATGTCCTTGGTGAATTCCATTTTGCGATCACGTTTCGCAAGGGCCAACAAAGAAAGCTCTCGGAGTTTGGGGACTCGCCTGCCTTTCCATTAGCGATCATACCCCAGAGTTCTCTTTTAACTTTCAACATGGCCCCTCGTGAAGTCTCGCCCACCCCGTCTGACGCGGGTGTCGACATTGGCGACTCTCTGTTCGGTCAAGGTTGGGGCACAGGCACAGACAATGGAGGCGCAGGAAAAGATGCGGACGTTGATATGGATCAGATCCTGAACGGGGCTGACGACGATGACGACGACGGTGATGAAGCCTTCATTGCGCTGCAGCAAGCTGCATCGTTCAGGAAAGCTTCCAATCTCAAGGGCAAATCGGTCAAGAAAGGAGGCGGCTTCCAGGCAATGGGTACAGTCTCCCCGGGTCATGCAATGTCCCGCTTGTTTCGTGCACATTGACTTACGAAAAACTACAGGTCTAAACTCGAATCTCCTTCGTGCCATTACGCGGAAAGGCTTCTCGGTCCCGACACCCATCCAGCGGAAGACCATCCCCCTTATCATGGACCGCAGAGATGTGGTAGGCATGGCTAGGACGGGATCCGGAAAGACGGCCGCCTTCGTCGTTCCCATGATTGAGCGGCTCAAGGCACATAGCGCCAAGTTCGGTGCCCGAGCCCTTATTCTATCACCGTCCCGCGAGCTGGCCATTCAGACATTACGCGTCGTGAAGGATTTCAACAAGGGCACCGACCTCAAGGCCGTTCTCCTTGTGGGTGGTGACAGTATGGAGGAGCAGTTCGGCCTGCTATCAGCAAACCCGGATATCATCATCGCCACGCCAGGCCGTTTCTTGCATCTGAAAGTGGAGATGTCTCTGAACCTTTCGTCCATTCAATATGTGGTCTTCGACGAGGCGGACCGGCTGTTCGAGATGGGATTCGCGGCCCAGCTCACCGAGATCCTTCATGCGCTACCTCCTTCAAGGCAGAGCCTCCTCTTTTCCGCAACCTTGCCGTCGTCTCTTGTCGAATTCGCGCGAGCCGGTCTACAGGACCCGACACTCGTGCGGTTAGACGCTGAGACAAAAGTGTCACCGGACCTCGAGAGTGCCTTCTTCTCGGTGAAGGGGGATGAGAAGGAGGCGGCTCTACTTTACATCTTGCACCAGGTGATCAAGATGCCACTAGGAACACCCGACGGCGTGCCGCTGGACGTGAAGCCATCTAAGAAGCGAAAGCGGGGCAAGGACGGCTCGACTGGCAAGGGCAAGCCTACGGAGCACTCGACGATTGTCTTCGCGGCCACTAAGCACCACGTCGAATACCTCGCAGGGCTATTGCGGCAGGCCGGATTTGCCGTCTCGTACGTGTACGGCTCATTGGATCAAGAAGCACGGAGAATCAACACCGAGAACTTCCGCCAGGGAAGGGCGAATGTTCTTGTTGTCACGGACGTCGCCGCACGAGGTATTGATATCCCCGTGCTAGCCAACGTCATCAACTACGACTTCCCGCCCCAGCCCAAGGTGTTCGTCCATCGCGTCGGGCGAACAGCACGAGCTGGGCAGAGGGGCTGGGCCTACAGCATTGTACGAGAGCTCGACACGCCCTATCTCCTCGATCTGCAACTCTTCCTCGGACGCAAGTTCGTCGTCGGACAAGAGAGCGCGGACCCTTCCTTTGCGGAGGACATTGTAGTGGGCGCCCTTCCTCACGAGGGGCTCGAGATCCAAATGGAGTGGCTGGCCAAGACGCTAGGGGAGAGTGCCGACATCGCGGCCATCCGCGACGTCTCCGTCAAGGCAGAAAAGCTCTACTTGAAGACACGTCACTCGGCGTCTAGCCAGAGTGCCAAGCGCGCTCGGGAGATAGTTGCTTCCAATGGGTGGACGCAACGCCACCCGCTGTTCGGCAAGGTTAACAACGACCAAGAGCAAGCACGAGCCGCTCTCTTGGCCAAGATCAGTGGATACAAACCACAAGAAACCATTTTCGAGATTGGCCGGGGCGGCAAGGGGTCGAACAACGAGGCGGCGGAGATGATGAAGCAGTTGCGGAAGAGAATTGTGCCGCACAGAGGAAACAAGAAGGAGGAAGACGACAAAGCGAACCACGAGGATGATGATGTCGACTCGGAAGATGCCGATGAGGTCGAACATGGCAGTGCGAACAACGGGCGTGCCGGATCAGATGCCGCAGCGGGCCAATGGTTGGATGACGGTGATGATGGTGGTGATGGTGATGATCACGACGATGATCACGACGACGACGACGACGACAACGACGGCTTGGAGGTCACGGTATCGAATCCATCAGACAAGAAGAAGGGCGAAGATGCATGGCGCGACTCGGAGGTGTTCATGTCGTACACGCCACGGACCATCAACGCGGCGGAGGAGCGCGGATACGGAGTGCAGTCCGGCGCGCAGGGCTCGAGCTTCGTGGAGCAAGCGCGCGACGCGGCCATGGACTTCAACAACGACGACGCGGCCAAGGGGTCCGGGGAGCCGGCGAAGAAGGGCATGCGGTGGGACAAGAAGCAGAACAAGTACGTGGCGCGGGCCAACGACGAGGACGGGTCCAAGGGGGCCAAGTACATCCGGGGCGAGAGCGGGACGAAGATCGCGGCGAGCTTCCAGAGCGGGCGGTTCGAGAAGTGGCGCAGGGCGAACCGGCTGGGCAAGCTGCGGGTCGGGGAGATGGAGAAGTCGAACGCGCCGCAGCTGCCGACGGGCCCGCGGTACAAGCACAAGCAGGAGAAGGCGCCGAAGGAGGCGGACAAGTACCGGGACGACTACGAGGTGCGGAAGAAGCGGATCGCGGAGGCGAAGGAGAAGCGGGTCGGCAAGTACAAGGACGGGGCCGGCAGCCGGAAGGAAATCAAGGGGGCGAACGACATTCGGAAGGCGAGGGTAGAGAAGGAGAAGCGGAGGGCGAAGAATGCAAGGCCATCGCGGAAGTGAGTAGCCAAGACAAAAAGCAGAGGTGATGATAGAAGACACCTCGGAAATAAAATTGAAATATAACAAAAAGAAATGGGCTCGAGGCTACTCGGGGGCGCATCAGTTTGCTATTCAGACCACATTATTTTCATAAAAGTAAAACAATGTCTTACTCGTCTTGTGGCTTTCCAGTCTCGCTTGCCTTTGTTGTCTTGGACTTTGTCTCGGGGATTGGGTTTTTGTTCCAATATCGGCCTAGTCGACTTCCCTTATCATCACGATGCAGCTGACATGCGTCGAGTTGTCGGGGGGTACCTAGGAAAGGGGTCTCCCGGAGTACGGTGTACGTACACGTACCGATACCGTAGGGAGTGCCCGATACGGACCGATCTTTCCTCCATTCGGTTAGCGGTTAGTACCCACCGGCTTTGCACAACGGCTTAGTGCAAAGCCGGACCGGTGACTACCTTATTTCGTCATCGGGCTTGTTCACCACGCTAAAGTACGTACGTTGTACCTGGACTGTCTGGACAGTCTCTTTAGGTACACTAAATTTGCTACCAACCTCTCTGTCTCTCTGTCTCTGCCACCACCGCCACCAAACCCATCCCATGATATATGTATCCAGAGTACAATTGTACTCCTCCGTACCCATGCAGTAGCTCCCGTATAATGAGACAATGGACTCACCAAGAACTTTAGCTGGAGTTTACGGATAAGACAAAGTAGAAGTACTGCCCTTGACGTGCCGTAACTCGGCTTCTAACGTCCTCGAGTACCTTATTATTAACGCGACCTGGTCAACCACCAAGTTTTACCATCAACTCAAAATTCTCTCCCCATTATTATTAACACTTTACTTGTTGGGTTCTACCTAGTATTGATTGTTACTTGTTACCCACCTGGGTTATTCATTAACTTCTAATTGTCTTTTATTCCGAATCTGAAAGATTCTCGGAGTTTGTGACTTCTAGTGTGCAGAGAGAACTTGGCTTCCGACACCCGCTTGCCTCTACTTACTTACCATGAGTCGAGGCCGAGCAGGAAGGGAAATGTCCACCGGAGAAGATGGAGGGGCGGATTCCCCGTTTTCAGCCACCGGCTCGAATCCAGCCGTTGCAGCTACAGAGAACACGCTACTGTTATACCCCGACTCGTCGTCTGCTGCTCGTTCAAGTTGGTCTCGTCGTCAGTCTGCCAGGGAAGCCGAAGCCGGCCTACGGCATGAGGACGATGAAGAGGGGGGGGAGGGGCTGGAGGGCGAGGAGATAGATCCGAATGAGTTTGACATCCTCCTCTCCAAGTCCGTCCCCACGAGCGGCGGCTTCCTCGAGCCTGCGGTCACCGAGACGCCCATGTTACGCGGGCCCCGTCGTCGCCGTCTGAGTTCCATTTCCGCCCGACGTCGTTCCAGCACCTCCCTCATACCGGGTCATCGCCCGAGCATCCTCAGGCCTACGACCGAAGGCGACGAATCTCCGTCTTCTTCTTCTACGTCCATCTCAAGGCGCCTGTCGCGCGAGCTCTCCGAGGGAACCATCTATTCCGGCTCCACTGCCCGGGAAGGCGCCCAGGTCGATGAGCGATACCCCCTCCTTGCGCCCTGCGATAGCGGCAGCAGCTTCGCCCTGGCCGAAACCACCCCGGAAAGCCCTTACCTGATCGATATAAGCCACTCCCGCTTCTGGCTCATCTTTACCGATATTCTCCTCAGCTTCTTCATCTCCTGCTTCGACAGCACCATCATGGCCTCCTCTCATCCCGTCATCACCTCGTACTTCAATGCTTCCAACAGCGCCGCCTGGCTCTCGACCGCCTTTCTCCTCACCTCCACTGCTTTCCAGCCTTTGCTGGGTCGTATTTCCGATTCCCTGGGCCGAAAACCCCCTTACATGTTTACTAAAGTCATTTTTGCTGTTAGTACCCTATGGTGTGCTTGTGCGGGGAGCATGACGAGCTTCATCCTAGCGAGGGCGGTTTGCGGAATCGGTGCTGGCGGGATGATGACCTTGGGAGGCATCATCATGAGTGACATTGTCCCCATCGAGTGAGTCGCCTCCTTTTTTTCTCTTTTTTTCTCTTTTCTTTTTATTTTCTTCTTCTTCTTTTCTTCTTCGAAAAGACATTTGGGTGTTTGCTAGGGGCTGACGTAGATGGTTCTCTCAACTCGTCCCCCCTTGTTTTCACAGACAGAGAGGCGCATATCAGGGATACATGAACATTATATACGGTGCTGGCTCTGCTCTAGGCGCAGCACTGGGAGGTGCCATGGCCGACCACCTCGGCTGGCGATGGGAGTTCGGCGTCCAGGTGATCCCGTTGATCCTTCTCTGCTTCATAGCCCACGTTGCCATACCAGACGATCTGGGCCTCGAGACGAAGAAGGAGTCTTTCATGGAAGCCATGAAAACCTTTGACATTAGGGGTTCAGTCTTACTCACAGTCTCCATCACCTTTTTCATCTTGGGCTTGGTGAGTCCTCGGGCGTCAGGAAATCGAGAGTGGGTGTTTCTGATATACTGATACGATCTTCTCTTCGTTCTCTCAGAATCTAGGTGGCAATGTCCTACCATGTGCGTTTATTTTATTGACCGTCTTCCCCCATGCGACGAAGAAACAGAATTCCGTGCTGATCCAGCAGAATAGGGTCTCACCCTTTTGTCATCGCCTCCCTCGTCATATTCGCCGTCTGCTTTCCTTCTTTTCTTCACAGCCAGTCCCTGGCGGAGCGTCCCATCATGCCTCTCTATCTCATTACCCAGGCTCCTCGAGCAAACCTGATATTTGGCAACTTCATCGCCTCTATATTATCAAATGCCGTCCTCTTCAACATGTGAGTATCACTCCTCCCCCTCCTCTTCCCCCCTTTTCTATTTGGATGACTTGTTCGCATTAAGGTAACTTACGCCGGACTCTTCGACTCGCGTCTTCTTCTAGTCCGCTCTTCTTCCAGGCCGTCCTCCTCACCTCCCCTACAACCTCGGGCCTCAACCTCGTTCTTCCCACCCTCGTCTCCTCCGTGGCCGGCACAGCAACCGGGTTCCTGATGGCCTACACTCGCCGTCTCAAATGGCCCAGCATGTCCGGCGCCACTCTCATCTTCATCGGAACCACCATCCTCTCCTTCCTCCGCCGCGGGTGGCCAGACCCGCTCTACCTCCTCGTCCTCTGCCCATCCTCCATCGGCCAAGGTTTCCAGTTCCCGGGTACCTTCATGGCCGTGCTCGCCACGTCGGAACAGCGCGAGCAGGCCGTGGTGACGTCGACCCTCATAGCCTGGCGCGGCCTGGGCAACATCCTCGGCGTGGCCGCCAGCAGCCTCGTCGTGCAGAACGCCCTGACCGTCTACCTGCAGCGCTTCGTCCAGGGCCCGCTCCGGGACGAGGTCATTGAACTCGTGCGTGAGAGCGTCGAGGCCGTGGCCCGCCTGGAGCAGCCGTATCGCGACCAGGTCGTCATGAGCTACGAATCTGCTTTGCGCATTACTTTTACCTGCTGCGCCGTGCTTGCGTTCATCTCGGTGTGCCTGTTGTTGCCCATTCGTCTGCCCAGGTTGGGGCAACGCCAGTAGGTAAAACGAACCATCTCTGTCCAGATTGATCTGGGATGAACGGATATGAACGGTAGCCTTTTCTTTTTTTTTCTTTTCTGTTTTTCAGCTACATGCATGGTTGGATATCAGATACCCGGCGGGAAAGCAAAGGAGGGAAAGATCCAACACTTTCGAGTACTTTGTTCCCAAATGAATATAAATGAATATCAATACAACATACAAACAATAGCTTTGTTATGCTCGCTTCAACGGCACCATTGCCGATGTCGCTCCCTCTGCTGCCCTCTCTGCGCATGTAGGCAAGATGGTCGAATTTTACACACCGTGGATATCCTCCAATCCAATTCCCCCTTTTCTCTGCCGTTCAAGCCGACACAGCGACCACGAAGGAAGGCTGAACCCCCCTTCGAATTAACCGGTTACACCCCCCCCCCCGATGACAATCTATTTATTTCTACACAGCACTGCCACCCAGGAGGAGGAAGATTATGGGTGCCCTCAATGGACGCCATTCACCCCATCCATTCTGAACGCGTCGTGCTCCTCCTTGGTGCGGCGGTACATCTCCTGCGCCTCCCTCTCCCGCCGGCTGACGAACCCGACCTCCTCCCGCAGCGCCTCCAGACGCCGGGCAATGGCGACTTCCTCCGAGATCGCCAACGTCTTGAACCCGCTAAGCGCCTTGTTCGCCTTCTCAAGCGCTTCGGCCGCGGAGCCGATCTTCTCCTTGAGCATTTTCTGTCGCTTCTGGTAGCCACCCAGGTGCAGCGCGAGTTTCTTTTCCAGTTTGGCACCCTCCTCTGCCGAGGCGATGATGGATTCTTGGACAGCCTAATAAGGGAAAACAGTGTCAGCGCGATTGGCACGTACTGGAAAAGGAGGGGGGGAGGGGGGGGGGAATTGGGTTATGTTTGGCGGTGGGCATGTTAGGGGGAATACGTACGTCAAACGCAGCTCGCATCGTGGCCTCTTCCTGACGGGGATTGTCGCCGTAGCAGCCAAGACCGAGACGCAGCGAGTCGCGGCCACGCCCCTCGAAATACGCCTGGATCTGCTCCAGTTTCGGGATACTTTTAGTCTCTACGAGGATTTGGAGACGGGCATCGTCAAGATCGCTGTCGCTGATGGTAGCCAACGGGGGAACGCCCACGCCCCCCTTGAGCTTGGATCCCGGAAGCGGGAATTTCGCGGCGTCGTTGGCGACCAGGGCTGCCGCCTCTTTGGCAATAAGCACCCGGGCCTCGTCCTGGACCTGGCTGGCGGCGGCGAGCATAGCAGCGACGTCCACCGTCGCAGGGCGAGGCAGCTCCTTCTGCATGACTTGCGTCCGCCTCCTCCGCTCCAGCGCCTCTTGGACCTGGCGAAGCTCCCTCTCGCGGCGATCCCGTTCGCCGGCATCCTCGACCTCGACTTCCTCGCCGTTCGTCGTCTCCTGCTGCTCTTCGGGGAGCTCGAGCTCCCACTCGGTGTCCTTGGGCTTGGGGAGAGACCCGAGGCCCTTCTTGACCTGGTCGCGCAGGGTCAGCTCCCTCATCTTGAGGTCTCGCGGTGTTGCTGATGCGAGCGGCGGCGCGCCATCTGCCGCGTTCAGAGCGAAACTGTCTCGAGGCGTCCGGAAGGGAGTCTGTCCGGTCCTGCCCGGCGTCGCCCCGATGCCCCCTCCTTCTTGGCCGGGTCGGAGCGGAGTCGCCATGGGGTTCGGAGTAGCAACCACCTGCCTGCGGGGAGCGATGCCGTCGAAGCCAGTGGTCCCGGCGCCCTCGTGAAGAGGCGTGTTTTCGCCCCCCAGAAGAGATGACTGCGTGTTGGTTAGGGCGCGGATATTCCTGATTTCGTTGGCGATGTGGTCCTCTTGCGGAGGGGCACGAGGCGTGCGGATCGGCGCGCTGCTGTGATGTAGAGTCGAGTATTCGCTAACAAGGCCCCGTGTAGCATCGTTCTCGCTTTGCCGAGCGACGGTGCTCGCCTTTTCCCCCATCATCCCCATCTTGACAATCGCCTCAAGCTCGGCATCGCTGACCTGGGGTGTTGGGAGGTTCAACGGTCGTCTCTTGCTGCTCTGCTCGGCTTCTCTGATTTTCTGCATCTGGCCGGCTTTGATAGCCGCCTGAATGGAAGCCGACGGCGCGTCCTTGTCCTTTTTCCTCCTCTTGCTGTCGCCGTCCTCGTCGCCGTCGCCCTTTCGCTTGCTCGCTAGGTGTTGTTTCCGGGGATCGAGGGCCTCTCGTTGCTTCTCATTGCGGACTTGTTCCTCGGCAGTGTCGTAGAACCCGAGCGTGGGCTTCTTCTCAAAGGGAATGTCGGCGTTGTAGTCCATCTGGCCCTTCTTGCGCGTGACGATCTTGATGTTGATGCCGGCCGTCTTCAGCTCGCGGCGCTTCTGCAGGGCAGCGAGACGACGGGACTCCTCCTGCTGGCGTTCCCGGGCTTTCCTCTTGGCTTTCTTTCCCTGTGTATTGGCAAGACGCGCGCGCGCTTCGCTCAGCATTTCCTTTTCGTCCTCGTCCAGGTCGATGGTGTCGGGTCGCGCGGGCTTGGTTTCGGGATCGGGGTCGACCTCTCCCGGCCGTAGGCGACGAACGTCATCGGCGCTGGGTGCCTGTGTTTCACCGCCCTCGGGGCCGGTCAGTCCGAGACTGCTGGCCTCGCGAGCCTCGGCTTCGTCGAGGAGTTTCTGGTAGCGCTCCAGACACTGATTCGCGGTACGGCCGACGATGGGGGCGATGGTGCGCCATTGCGTCGGCATCAGCTTGGCGAGGTGCAGCAGCTTCTCGTCCTCCTCTTTGCTCCATTCGATCTTCTTGATGCTGGGGTCGAGCCATTCGTTCCATCGCGCTTTGCACTGCTTGGGGGTTTTACGGGCCAGAAGGGACGAGACGCGTGCCCACTGGTTCAGCCCATATTTGGACACGGAGGCCTTGAGGATTTCATCCTCAATGTTGGTCCACACGCCTCCTTTTACGACGGGCATTGTGGTGGTGTCCGAACGTGACTGTGGTTTGGTCCAGGTTGGCGTTGGACGGCTGTCCTTCTGTTGTTTCGGGAGCGAGGTCAGAGCTGGAGAACTGGAGACAGAAATCGAAGACATCGTTGTTACGATTTGATAAGCTCCTGGGCACGCCAAGAGTTCTGTGATTAGATAATACAACTTCGTTGTAGTGCTGACTCAGCTTGCTTAGCCTACCAGTTCTATCGTACCGTAACGTTGCGGACGTTGGGAATAAATGTCCGAGCTCCGATGTCCGACGGCATGGTGGGGTTGCATCATGAACAGGATCCAATAGCAAAAAGAGGTGCTCCAGGTCTGTACGATTGAAGTCCATGATGTCAGGCCTGCGTCGGTCGAGGTACTTTACTCCGCACATTGTACACTTACATAATTCATGGCGGCAGCGCGGTACCTACGGTACCTAAGGTACCTAGGTAGGTAATTAATAAGACATACCTTAGACATTGTAGCATACCATGTTTGTACCTGGTAATATATGGTCATGGTGCGCGACGCGTTTGTCGGGACGGCTACTGTGAATGCACTTCTGAATCCACGCTTCCGCTCCAGGGATGCATAGGCATTGGCATGGGCGTGGGGCCTCTCGGACTTTGCTTGGTTGGTCATCACTTTCAGACTGAGGGTCCGAGGAGGATTCCACTTCGCCCACCTCCGCCCGGCATGCCTTCGTCTTATCTAAAGGTATCTATCTTATTTTATCTTGGTTTAAACCTCCTCCATGATCCAATCTCCCGCGACAGTGCCATTGCAGGTCCTTGACACTCGATGACGCCCACGACCTTTATTACTTTGCCCTTGATCTGACCCAGTCGCGGTTGGGTAGGTTGGTTAGTAGATCTCACCTTGCCTAACCTTGAAGTTTCGCCCAATCCATTGTTCGGCCGCTCTTTAGAAGCAAGGGAGGGGTATGGCCTGCATTCAACGGATTCATCCACGATAACCCCCCAATCCAAGCCTCCCGATTTGAGGTTATCGGAGGAAGATTCACCCACACAGGTCCAAGACACGTTCTCCAGCCGAGATTCCCTGGCGACCATTGAAGGGGGAAACCCAAGAGAAAAAAAGAAGAAAAAAGGGAAGAGAAGGAAAAAACCGCCCGGAAATTCAACTCTTCTCTGCACTTGTAAAGGAAGAGAATCACAACCACCGCCATGTCTATTGCGAAGGACCCGCCCACTGGGGCTCTCAGTGTTGGGCCTGCGGGCGACCCCGTCGAAGCCGAAACTGCCCAGCTCCTCGACAGCAGTGACCAAGACCGCAGCGCTGAGGCACCAAAAAACGCCTGGGCGGGAGCGAAAGACTTTGAGGGTCTCCGATGGTGGCAGATGCCTTCTGTGAGCAGCGGACCACTGTTTGGGGGGAGGGGGGCGGGGGACTCTCCCCCATGCGTTCAACTGCTGACCTTGCTTGCGTGCATATAGGTTAAATGGATCTTGGGCCCGTTCTTTCTGTTCAGTCTCGCGTTTGGCGGCGTCCTCGTGCCTAGACTCAATCTGTGAGTTACCGACGGCCGATCTTGCGCAGTCGCACTCTAACGCCGGACGTGTGTATAGGACCCTAGATCTGATATGCCGGAAACACTTCGCCGACCAGAACCTTGTTAATCCGGATTTTATATATGCGCCGATTATCCTGGGCGCGGACAACCCGCAATGCTACATACCCGAAATCAAGAAGACCGTGTCCATGTTTACCATGGCCATGAATCTGATGATTGGCATCATGTCCGCCATTACGGCCCCTAGGCTCGGGCAGCTGTCCGATAGATATGGGAGGACCAAGTTCCTGGCGTTGGCTTCGTGTGGTGGCTGCGTTGCCGAGTTTATCATCATCCTCTGCGCGAAGTACCCCGATGCGATACACTACAACTGGCTGCTCGTTGCCTCGTTCTTCGACGGCCTGACCGGCTCCTTTACCACCGGAAATATCCTCACTTACTCGTACACCAGTGACTGCACGCCGCCATCGAAGCGCGCCGTTTCTATCGGCTATATGCAGGCCTGTCTTTTCACCGGTTTGGCGTTTGGCCCCCTCCTGGCGAGCTACTTCGTCGCATTTACCGGCAGCCTGCTGTCCATCTTCTACGTCACCTTGGGCTGCCACATCTTCTTCGTGCTGTTTGTGGGATTCGTTGTGCCCGAGTCCCTGATCAAAAAGCGCCAGCTGCGTGCTCGGGAGCGTCATGCCCGGGAAGTGGCAGCCGCCTCGGCCAGTGGGTCCTGGCTCTCCTCCGTTCGCAGGGTGAACGTGCTGGCCCCTCTCAAAGCTCTCTACCCGACCGGTTCCGGAACGTCGATGCCACTGCGGACGAATCTATTGGCGCTGGCAGTCATCGAAATGATCCTTTTCGGCTCCGCTATGAGCGCCGCTACGGTCATTCTCCTGTATTGCGAGTCGGATTACACGTGGGGCTGGGGCACGGTCGAGAGTTCGCGCTTCATCTCCATTCTTTCTTTAGTCAGGGTCGTCGTCCTGCTCGCCCTCCTGCCGGCCATCAACTACTTCTTTCGCACAAGGCCAGCGGCTCGTCGCGCGCGAAAGACCGGCAGCACCGGCATTGTCGAGGCCAACGAGGGTGCGGATGGACTGGATTGTTGGTTGCTGCGGCTGGCCCTCCTGTCCGACATCGTGGGCTCGCTTGGCTATCTGTTCTCTCGGACAGCGACCCTCTTTGTCATCTCCGGAATGGTGACTGCGCTTGGTGGTCTTGGGAGTGCCACGATCCAGGCAGCCGTGACGAAACATGTTCCCCCTGACCGAGTCGGGCAAGTTCTGGGCGCAATCGGCGTGCTACACTGCTTGTCGAGGATATTGGGACCCATCGCCTTCAACAGCCTGTATGCTGCTACTGTCGGAAAATTCGATCAGGCCATTTTTGTGCTACTGGCCGCGTTGTTTGGTGTGGCATTCCTTGCCAGCTTGATGATTAAGCCACATGGTGAGTACAGGCACTTCTCATGATCGCGTCGGAGTCGGATAGTCTGGATGTGTAGTCCCACTAACGGGACGCAGTTTATCTCAAGGAGAATGAAGAAGAAGCAGAACAGGCCGGAGAACGTGAGCCTTTGCTCCGGTCTCGGTAGTTTGGGTTGTACGCATCCGAAACAACTGTCGATCCGCCTGCTACTGAGTTGAGCACTGATGTTCTTTGCCGGCCCCGGAATCTCTCGATGCGACGACACTGATGCTCCTGTCCGGCCAGGAATGAGTATGATGAGATGTTGTGGCCTTGTTACTTGTATATAATGAGAAGCGGGGGGTGGGGGGATCGAGAAACCGAGAACGTAGGGGTAATATAATTGGTTGTATGTTTCTTGGTAATAGTTCCTTGAATCGGAATGAGATTGTAAATGCCAGGAATAAATATCCGGGACAAGGGTTCAACAGAGAGAAGAAGAAAAAAGGCCAATCAGGTGAAAACAAAAAAAAAGAAGAAGAAAAGACAAGAGGAAGAAGAAGCAGAACATGGATCGTCCTCAATTGTCCCCTGCATAAGGCACCGAGTAATGGCAGACTATTATTGTCAACCTCCTTATTAGGTAGTGTGTTGTATTGGGACAACAGGCTGGTACTTTTAGCAAGACCAAGGTGTTGTCATAAGGTAAGGTAGCCAGAGTGATTAGGACATCGTAGGTACTAACAATTTCCTCAGACTTGCCTCCACTAAACCAAACCTGCTTTCTGTCATGCGCAACAAAGCCTTCCGTGGTACTTCCTACTCTCATGTTTCAAAGAAAAAGACTCCTATCCGTCGCAAGTCGAGTGCATCTCCTCATTCCCGGGCGGACGATGAGCTCGCTAGACAGAATCCATTTTGGCCCCTATGAGGTCACTGAGCAGGTACGTCTCCATACTCAGTGCTGTGTTTCCATGTGCATAACATCCTCTTAAATTCACGAGTTCGCCGTCAAGTTAAAACAGTATTCACGATTAATGAGAGTCCCTGGCTAAGCGAACACCCAGGTCTTCCTGCGCACACCGCATTCCTTCGCTCTCGTGAACATCAAGCCTCTTCTGCCGGGGCACGTTCTCGTCTGCCCCATCAAGCCGCATAAGCGGCTCACCGATCTCTCACTTCCAGAGGTCACTGACCTGTTCAGCACAACACAGCGCGTCCAGCGCATGTTAGCACGGCACTATTTCCGATCCAGCCAGGGGCGCAATGGCGCTCCATCAGAGTCGTCTCAGCCGCCACCATCTCCGGACGACGGCTCATTTAACATCGCCCTACAAGACGGCGCACGTGCCGGCCAGACCGTGCCTCACGTTCATGTCCATATTCTCCCGCGTATTCCTGGTGCAACGGACAAAGATCCGGGACCAACCGATGAGATCTACGAGCAAATGGCGCACGAGGACGGCAATGTGGGTGGTGCTCTATGGGATAGGGATGTGTCCATGAAGGGCCGGCCGAAACCCGGTGGCCAATTCCCTCGGATCGAGGACAGTTCAAGACAGGCGAGAAGCTTGGAAGATATGGTCGCCGAAGCGGATATATACAGGGCTGTCTTGAGGGACATGGAGGAGCCCTGAATGAGGAACGCGTATCATATGGAGTCCCTTCGACCTCCCAGACGACCGCTTTTTGTTATAGACATTATAGACGTCACCTATCCCGCCCGTCCTGTTCACACTGAGCTGCCCGCCCTGGAGGAGAAATCAAAGCATAGCTTGAAGCAGGCAAGCGCCAAACGGCTTGGAGGAGAGGAAGATGGGCACTGCCACTGCACGGTGCTTACCTTCCAAACATGCATAAAAACGTACTCCTAGCCCCGATAGCTTGATGTACCTAAATAAACCATTATAATGTCCTAAAGTGTGATGGCTTAATAAGGTGGGTCGTTTTAATTGGGCCTGGTACCGAATCCAAATCGCGACGCGGTCAAGGACGTGTCACGCATCGCGGGGACACGACAAGGACAAGGGCAAGGAGACACGAACCACAGCCTGTAACTCTCAACCTTGACCTAACACAAGCCTCAACGTCAACAACCAGATTGAGAACGAACCCAGCATGTTGACCGCATCCTCCCCGATTAAGTTCCCTCCCTCATCCTCACCTCCTAGCACCAAGCGGCCCCGCAGAACTGGCGATAATCCTCCTCCCAAGGTAAAGCCTAGAGTCCAGAGCGGCTTTGTGCTCGACGATGGCTCCGACGACTCTGGCGATGACGGGGATGACCACCCACCCCTAAAGAAACTCATGACAGGTCCCTCGCCATTTACTGGGCTGCCTACCGAAATCCAACAAAATCCCTTTCCCACCCCGAATCCAACCACAAATTCTCAACCCGTTAATCTCGCTCATTATGATCTCCCCGTTTCCAGTTTCGTGTCGCTCTCTGAGTCGGCATTGGGTCTTGGAAAAAAGCGGGCCTTCACCATTCGCTCCAGCTCTGGGAAGGCGATCCCTATCAAGCAACGGAAGCCGACGTCGAATGTATCCTACGAAAGCATGGTCGCTGCGAGGACCAAGACGAAGGAAGGGCGTGCGAAACGCGGATATTACGGCGTTGATATCAACGATCTCATCGATACAGCCACCAAGGAGCTAGCCGACCGTCGAACTCAGCGAATTGAGCCCTCGAACTCGAACGACGTCGTCCGTCCTTCGACCGAAACGGCCCGGACGACGGGTTCCAGACCTAGGAAATCCCTTCTATGGACGGAGAAATACCGGGCAAGGACCTTTATGGACCTCTGTGGCGACGACGGCACCAACCGAATGGTGCTCCGGTGGCTGAAGCGGTGGGATCCCTTGGTTTTCCCAGGAGCCGCGAAGAAGAAGAACCCTATTATCCGCAGATCCGGCATCAAGGATCGGGCTGAGGAGGAAAAGCCACACCGCAAAATTCTCATGCTGACGGGACCTCCCGGACTTGGAAAGACGACCTTGGCTCACGTCTGCGCCCGACAGGCTGGCTATGAGGTCGCGGAGATCAATGCCAGTGACGAACGGAGCCGCGATGTGGTAAAAAACCGCATACGAACCAGTCTAGGGACCGAGAGCGTCAAGACCGTTGAGAACGTGAAGACGCACGGAGATGAGGGCTACAAGCAGAAACTGGCCCGGCCAGCCTGTGTCATTGTGGACGAAGTGGACGGCGTCGTCAGCGGATCCGGGGCCTCTGGTGAAGGCGGTTTCGTGAAGGCCTTGATCGATCTCGTCCTTCTCGACCAGAAAAACAGCGCAGCAGCGGGCGCGTCAAGCTCGACCTCAACGAACCGCAAGAAAAAGAAGGGCGACGACTTCAGACTGATGAGACCTCTAATTCTGATCTGCAACGACGTCTATCACCCATCTCTCAAACCTCTGAGGCATTCCAACTTGGCAGAGATCATCCACGCCGGGAAGCCAGGCGTCGAAGCAGTTGTGTCACGCCTCGAAACGATTTTCCACAAAGAAGGCATACCCTGTGAAAAGGACGCTGCAAGAAAGATCTGCGAGGTTGCCTGGGGTATGCCGAATGGGATAGATGCGAAGCGAGGTGTCCATAGCGGAGCTGAGGGCGACTTGCGAGGCGTCTTGGTCGTGGGAGAATGGGTTGCCGGGCGATATAGGGCCACGGCGTCGAGCGGCACACCCCTGACACGGAAATGGCTGGAAAAGCATGTGATGCAGGACCTGGCCAACGGAACCGGCGGAGCGCGGGGCCTCGGCAGAGGCAGCGTGAAGGACATCGCCGACCGCATCTTCCAGGAAGGTGCCGGGTTTCCCAAGCTGGGCCTCCCCAAGCGCACGGAGATGCAAAAGCAGCAGCACGAACAGCCCAGGGCGCAACTGGGATTCGCCGAGCACCACAAGAAGCACGCCATGGAGCGCCTTCAACAGATGATCGACATCAGCGGAGAAATAGACCGGATTGTGACGGACGTCATGCTGGAGTATCCGAACCGCGAATTCAACGACGACTCCTTCTTGACCAAGCCGAACGCGGCCTACGACTGGATTCACTTTCACGATGCGTGCTCGTCTAGGCTGTACTCAAGCCAGGAATGGGAGCTCGCGCCGTACCTTTCCCAATCCCTGCTTGCATGCCACCATTTGTTCGCGTCTCCGAAGCGGCACGTGGCTACAATGGGCTATGATACGAAATGGGGGGGCGGCGACGCTGAGAAAGAAGCCCACGTGCTGCCCTTCTCCGGCCCGCGCGCCGACTTTGAAGCTCGCGAGGCCGAGAAGCGCAACCGGGCTGTGCTGCAGTCCATCCAAGGACAACTCGGCCCTAATTTGGTGCGATCTTTCCGGAGCCCGGAGGACATTGCGACGGGGTTTTTACCCTATCTCGTGCGCCTGGTCTCGCCGGACGTGAAGCCGGTCATGGTCGGAGGCGGCGGAGACCAGAAGGGAGTCGCCAGTGTCCGCAGGGACGCCGAGAAGGCCATTGTCAGACGGGCAGCCGAGGTCCTCGCCGACGTGGGCATCACATTGCAGAAGGGGAAGATTGATGGCGATTCTCTCTTCTCCAGGGGACCCCAGTGGGTCTACCGCCTGGAACCGTATGTTTTCCTATATTTCTCCCCCCTTTTCCATTTCAACTTTCTGCCGAGAGACGAATTCTAACCCGAGGGACAGGGATCTTGATGCTCTGGCCATGTTTGAGACGGCCAGCAGTATCATTTCTAGCCAGGCACCTACCCGCTACGCGGTGAGGCAAGTTCTTGAGCAGGAGCTCAATGCCACTATCGCGAGACGTGAGAAGGAGGCCCGGCAAGCGCGCCTCAGGGGCGGCCAACCACTTTCGCACGAGAGACCTACTGAGCCCGACGACAAAGAGAACTTGCGACAGAAGAAGGAATCTAATACCGTGCTGCCGGTGGGATTCAAGAAGGATTTCTTCGGACGGATCATCGAGACTAGGCCGCTACAGGAGTTAGACCCTAATAGCGCTGAGAGGATGATGAAGGCGAGCATGGGGAAGAGGAAGGTCTGGGTTACATATCATGAGGGAATGAATAATGCGGTCAGGAAACCCATTTCCCTACAGGAGTTAATGAAGGGAATGTAGAGTAGAATAGACCTGGGGAATGGGGGAATTGGGATGTTATACAGCGTTACAATGCTGGCAGTCTGACAGTCTCTGACAGTGCGGTCCCTGTAACTCAGTGGGAGAGAAGAACATTTCAGACTCGACCTTTGTCCTGTTGCAAAAGCAAATCAGTCTGGTCAGGGTAGGACGATGAAGGAGGGAGAATTGACTCTACCGCCCCGAACTACGCGTGATGGAAACAAAGTCTTCTTGAGACGATACGACGGTGGTGCAACTCTCTCATACCCTCTCATACACACGCCCTTTTCACTCCTTCTTTTTTTAGACATACAAAGTACACATCCCAAAACGATGCAAAAAAGCCCCAAAAAATATCCCCTCATGCACTTGCCAGTGCTGACTGCTGGCCTTTGAAAAACTTCTTGGATTCGGCACACCGCTCACTCTTACAGCCAGGGCATCTCAGTTCCATCTGCGGCGAGCAGGAGATCCCGCTGCCCAAGTGCGCCTTGGCCATGTCGGCTAGGGCGCGGATGAAAAGAGGGTTGCCGTTCAGGCTTTCCACGCGCTTGACGGTCTCCGGATGGCCAGAGTCGGGAATGACCTCCTGATCGAGCTCGAACAGTGTTTCGATGTGGTCCGAGGTGAAGGCGATGGGGATAAGAACCAGATCCTTCTGACCCTTGTGGATATAACCCTCGACGGTATCAGACGTTTGAGGGCCCAGCCAAGCAGAAGGACCGACCTGCGACTGCCAGCAGAGGCGATACGGGTTGGAGAAGTTCAGGCGCTGCATGACGGCATAGACCGTCGCAGCCACTTCGGCCGGGTACGGGTCACCCCTGTTGACAACCGACATGGGGAGACTGTGGGCCGAGAAGAGCAGGACCGCCTCGTTGCGCCGCTCCTCCGGGTACTCGGCGAGCGTCTTCTCGATGTTCCGCGCGAAAGCCTCCACCAGCCCCGAATGCACGGGCCATCGGTCGATGACGCTCCAAGCAATGGTGCCGTCGCCGTCGCCGTCGCCGTTGGTCCTATCGGCCGCGGACTTGCCCTCGAGCCGCTGGCGCCATTTCCACAGCTCGTTGAGGCTGCTGCCCGTCGTCGAGCACGAGTATTGCGGGTACTGTGTGAAAGCGACGGCCCTGCCCCCTTTCCCCCTGCCAAACCCGTCGTCCAGTAGTCGAGTGTACATTTCGTCCGTCAGGGGATCGGCGTATCGGAAGGCGACGTAGGGTTTATGCGGCGCCGTCTCCGGGGAGATTTCGTCGAGGATCTTGCACATCTCCTCGTTCTGGTATTCCGACCATTTGCGGATCGGCGAGCCTCCGCCGATGTCTGCGTACTGCTGCTTTATCTTGGGTGTTCGTCGTTTGGAAATCAGGGGTCCGAGGTAGCTCTGAAGACGGCCGAGAGGGATCAGGTCACCGTCTGCCTATTGAGATAAAGGAAAATCAGTCAACAGCTTGCAAGGCCGGGCTATGGACAGCGGGGGGGAACAAAAGTTCGCACGTACGAAGAGCCTGCTCAAAAAGTCCCCCACTTCATCTGTTGTGGATGGTCCTCCCATGTTCAGAAAGACCATGGCCGTTGGGCCCTTTGCTCCAGCAGCATTCTGTGTAACCGGAGGAGGCACTGTCGCTAATCTTCGGGATTGAGATTGGGCGGCCCCTAGGTATCCAGGGAGAGCTGGGGACGCCGCCGATGCCTGCGACAGGCTCCTGGTGAAGTGCGTCGCTGCCCGCCGGGCAGTCATGGCTGGGAAGAGCTGATGTAGTGTGGTGTTGTCGTGAGGGTCGAGAAAGAAAAGATTACAGAGAATTGACTCGATCTCTTTTCCCCCTTCTTTTTTGGCTGTACGATGTAGGAATAAACTGGCCTCGGGGACGGGACGGGAAGATGCGAATGCAGTAGTAATTATTATTGATTACTTATTACGCTTACAACTTTTGGTCTCGGAGCTCCGTCCTGCGTCATGGTGCAACTCGGAAAGCCAAGAAGGCCGAGAACACCAAGTAATAGTGAGGTACTTAGTATCGGGGCTGTATAGGATGTACGGTTTAAGTACCTCAACATCCCCATCTTCTGTTGACCAATTGAAGCTGTCGTAATCCACAATCCAAACAAGCCGGAAAAGGAAAAAGGACGAAAAAAAAAAACCCCCCAGGGGCACTAATATCACGTGTTCCCGCGCCTACGTCTGTCCGTCATGACGGACCCGTACCGCGAATTCGAGTAACAGCTGGTCGCGTCTGCCTGGTGTGCCCTCCTAATGATGTCAATCGACACTTGGCTTATGTGCGTATCCAAACTAAACTTCCCCTTTTTGCCTCATATACTCGCCTTAGATTAACACAATTGCGCAGAGCACAAGCAGCCGACTTTTCTTCTCGCAATTACCATCATGGCCGACCGTGGAGAGTACAAGCGGGAAGGGGATGAGGAACCCGAGGAGGAGGTCGATGAATCTGTCAGTCTCACCACCCGACGCGCATTCACGATCATCATCTTCTCATATACTCACATGAGACCAGGATTACAAAACACAAAAGGATGCCATTATTCTGGCAATTGAAGTCAGCGACTCCATGTTGGAACCCCCTCCAGCATCCGGCTCTAAGAAGGCAGACAAGGACAGCCCAGTCCAGGCGGCGCTGAAATGCGCCTATCAACTCATGCAGCAGCGCATTATCTCTAGTCCCAAGGACATGATGGGCATCCTATTCTTCGGCACCGAAAAGTCCAAGTTCCACGACGAGGACGGGAGGGGAGGCCTAGGATACCCGCACTGTTATGTCTTCATCGACCTGGACGTCCCGGCGGCCAACGACGTCAAAGCACTAAAGAGTCTTGTTGAAGGAGCCGACGCCTACGAACACGACGACGATGACGAGTACGAATTCCTGAAGCCGGCCAAGGAGAGGGTGCAGATGGCCAATGTCTTCTTCTGCGCGAATCAAATATTCACCACAAAGGCCGCCAACTTTGGCAGCCGTCGACTGTTCGTCATCACTGATAACGACGACCCGCATCCGTCCGATAAGTCGGCCAAATCGGCGGCCGCGGTACGAGCGAAGGATCTCTATGATCTCGGCGTCACCATTGAGCTCTTCCCGATAACGCAGGGCGATGGTTCTTTTGATCTCAGTAAATTCTATGATGTATGTACCCTTTACGCACCCTTTCTGTTTCCCCCCTCTACACTTTACACCCATGTCACATTCCCGGCTAAATCCACTTTACCTTCTCTCAGGACATCGTATATCGCGACACGGGTGGCGAAGGCAATCTCACCGAAGTTCGCAGCTCCAAATCAGGCGATGGCCTGACACTTCTAAACTCTCTAATTTCAAACATCAATTCAAAACAGACGCCAAAGAGGGCTCTATTCTCAAATTTGCCGCTGGAGCTCGCACCGGGTCTGAGGATATCAGTGAAGGGATACAATGTCCTCCATCGTCAAACCCCAGCGAGGAATTGTTACGTCTGGCTGGACGGCGAAAACCCCCAGATGGCCATCGGCGAAACCACACGCATGGCCGAGGATACAGCCAGGACAATCGACACTAGCGAGATCAAGAAGGCCTACAAGTTCGGCGGCGAGTATGTCTACTTCTCGCCGGAGGAACAGAAGGTCGTAAAGGACTTCGGATCGCCCATCATCCGCATGATCGGCTTCAAATCCGGCGCGTCAATCCCCTTCTGGGCCAGCGTCAAGAAGTCGACGTTCCTGTTCCCCAGCGAGGAGGACTACGTCGGGTCTACGCGGGTCTTCACCGCCCTCTGGCAAAAGCTAGTGAAATCCCGGAAGGTTGGCATCGCATGGTGCATCGTCCGCACGAACGCCAACCCTGTGCTCTGTGCTGTTGTGCCGTCTCGAGAGAGCTCCGGGGAAGACAATGGCACGCCGTATCTTCCGGCGGGTTTGTGGCTTTGCCGTCTCCCGTTCGCCGACGACTTGCGTGACGGCCCCGCGGGGGGCTGCGACTCGGCTCCCGTCTGCGCGTCCGACGACCTGGTCGACAAGATGCGCGTCATTGTGCAGCAGTTGCAATTGCCGAAAGGCACATACGACCCGACGCGGTACCCGAACCCTGCGTTGCAATGGCACTACAAGATCCTGCAAGCGCTGGCGCTGGAGGAAGAAGTACCCGGAAAGCCGGACGACTCGACCGAACCCAAGTACAGAGCCATCGGTAAGCGGGCGGGCGGGTACCTGCAAGAGTGGGACGAGAGGCTACGAGAGGAGACGAAGACGGTATTGGGGACGAGGAAGTTCAAGCGGGAGCTGGAAGATGATGACGATGGCGTGGAGTCGAAGCCGGCGAAACGGACCAAGACGGCTTCTGCGAAGCCCTCTACATCGGGCATGACTGACGCCGAGCTGAGGTTTGCAGTGGCCAGCGGTTCACACAATAAGATGGTCGTGGCCGGGCTGAAAGATCTGCTTGTTTCCAGGGGGCTGAGCTCCGCAGGCAAGAAGGCCGACTTGATCGAGAGGTTGGAAGAGTGGGCGGAGGAGAGTATATAATCAGGAGCCGTCTGTTTTTTTGCATGTCTCGAGCATGAGCTTTGTATCCATAGGTGGGAGAGCAACGCTGGGGTTGGGGAGGAGACCGCTGTCGGCTTTTGGGCTGGGAGTGTTCGATATAAAAGAGAGCCATCATCACGACAAGTTGTCGACGCCTTTTTCTTCCACCACCACCATCACCACACCACTATAATTGCATAGTGTGTATGAGATACACTGGGCGGATTTTCTGTTTATATCGTGTAGGCATTTACTCAGGATGTAGGTAGTCAGAGTCAAGGCTGTTTTGCTTGCAGAGTACCGTAGAACATGGGAAGCAGGTTAGCTCTGGCCCGACCTCGGCACGCGCCCTGTGTCTCTTCTGGCAGATGTACACAGTATGTATGTACTCAGTACCGGGCGACAAGTGTTCAACGAAACGGTACATGCGAACTACGTGAAGATATGATTGGGTAATCATCGCACTGTGAGGTACCTACCTTAATTACCGGTAAAGAATGTGAGACGGTCCTTCGTAGTCCCAAATACAACATACTCCCTGATCCTCATCCTCATATAACCTACTCGGAGCCATCGCCATCTTCTTAATTAGTGTGACTCCGTGATAGATGCTGGTCGGCACCCCACCGCTTGAGACAATGTATGTCCTGAGGAGGCAGTTAACTGTCAGACCCGGCGGTCGATTGACAAAGGGGATGCAATCACGCCGCCATCTCCATCTCGGGCCACCATTCCTTCTCGATGATTATCGGCCTCGATACATGGGCCTCTCATCCGTGGACGCGGCCATGAAGCGTTCCAAGGCGTATGCTCACCTCCGGAACTGCAACCTCCGCTGCGGGTTCTGCCAAAACCATGACATCTCTCACCAGCGTAACGGTCAAGACCAAGACCTGACCCGAAGGAACTCGCCGAGTGGTACATTAAGCTGCAGGATGTCGGCGGAGTCCATAATATCAACCCATCACTCCTGAGCACGTTGTCCCGCAAGTAGCGCTGAGCATCCTGCACGCCCGAGATCTGGGTCTCCGGTTGCCCATCATCTACAACACGTCTAATTTTGACTCCCTCGAATCTCTGCGCCTCCTGGATGGCCTGGTAGACATTTACTTACCGGACTTCAAGGTCTGGGAATCGAGTACGTCAAAGCGCTTGCTAGAGGCGGACGACTACGCGTCGGTTGCCAGGGAGAGCATCAAGGCCATGCATGCCCAAGTCGGCGACTTGTGCTTCACGGAGGGAACGGTCTCGCGAAGAAAGGAGTTCTCGTACGACACCTTGTCATGCCGGGCAAAGAGGACGAGGGCAAACGGATCATGCAGTTCCTCGCCGAAGAGGTTTCGAGGGACTGCTTTGTCAACATCATGGAACAGTATCGCCCCGATGCTCACGTGGGGAATGCCAAGAGGCGAGGCAGAGCCGCCGAGTCTGACGGGGAGTCTGGATCCGATATCCGGTGTCAGGAGATCAATCGAGTCGTCACAGATCAGGAGATGTCGTCCGTTCGCTCGGCCGCCGAGACAGCTGGGTTTGTGGCGCTTCTGCGATCCGCCAAGACACGATGGCTTCAACATTTGAATGCTGCTTGCCAGGAACAGCGCCTCCCTGCATTCTCATTATGGACTTTTATTGATATTGACTGGACAACCATTGGAAGATATGGGCCAGCATTTTGCTGAAAGCTCCTTGCTGTTTGGCTTGCGAAAGGGGGATTGGGTCTGTGCCCCCCCCCCGCGTCCCCTTCCTCCCTCAAAGACGTTTATTGTTGCACTCGGGACAAAGAAACATCCCAACCAACTGACCAACCCGGTCCCTGGCCATGGGGATCTTACCCTGTTATTCCCAACCGACTGGGCTATTCAAAGCATGGGGCCTATCATTGTGCTCCGGGATTACAGATCGAATTCCCCACGTCGCGAGTTTGTCCCCTTCGGATCACCATGCCGCCGCTTTTGGACTTGATAGACCCCAAACCTCCTCCGATGCGGCTCGATTCTTTGTTATGTCAAGTACAGGCTTCTTTCAGGATATCCTAACCGACGGGTACTGGAACTCGGTCAACCATGACAATGACTTCCATGACTTTTTTTTTACTCTGATGTTGGGACCTTGAAAGATACGAGGCGTCGGCGTCGACTCTGGGTCAGCATTATCCTTCCAAGGAGCATCCACCAGGTCATATCTTTCGGCCTATATAGCCATCCATCCATGCTCTAGCTCCACTAGCCCAGATTACACACCATTCTCATGGATGCATCACGACCCCAGTCTCAAGATTCGACGCGAACTGTCGCTAGTGACGATGCGACCGCCGTTTCATGCGCCGGCGTTGCAGTGGCGTCAAAAGGTACCTTACAACCTTCACCGGGCCGTCTCTTCCCTTTCGCTGAAAACTTAAACTTATCCGTGATGATCGAGTTCAGCCACCACAACGCCGTCCAAGCCGCCGAAGACTAGGAAAAGTACGGGGCCGCATAGGCCGTCGGTCTCGACCAATGTCCCCGTCGGTCGTCGAAACTCGCAGGCACAGCGACAAAGCCGAACCACCCTCTTCCACTCTCCCCAGCCGACGTTCGAACACCTCAACATGGAACGGTCATACTTGCTCAGCACCTTGGAAGCGCAAGGCCAGAAGTCGACAGACGCGATGAGGCGATTATCATCTATTCAGGAACAGCTGGGCAGAAACCCACCTTCTCCGCAGCGACGCAAGATCAAAAAGCAAGCATGCCTCTTGAAAAGTAAAATTGCCGAAATGGCCGAGCAGGAGAGAGTCATCCTAGGCCGGCTCGCTGAGCTACACGTCGAGCTGCAGAATCGAGAACGGTGGGCGCGAGTCCAGAGGGAAATGCAAAGCCCGTGCTTCGCCGTCGAGTCGCCCATCACTCCATCATGCTGGGTGGGGTCAGATTCCACCCCGAGTGATCTGATACTGACCCCGACCATGCCGACGCCACTTGATGCGACCTCTCCCGAGTTCATCCCAGGAAGCCGTTCTTGTGCCCTGGCTGCCTACCGTCCGTGGTCGCAACCGCCCTATCTCGAGGACGGAATCTTCTTGTCACCCGACACCGAAAGCGCGGCAGAGTTTCATTCATTTGGGAGCCCGGAGGGGTTGCAAATGTGGAGCAACAAAAGACAGTTGGGCAATGACCAACTTCGATTTGAATACGACGGCAACACGTATCATGGCAGTTGCTTCGCAGACGATCATGGTCCCTCGAATCCTCGGAAACACCTGAGTACATATCCTAGTCGCGAAAGGCGTATGAGCCTACCGTCATTGAGATGCATCTGGCCCGGGTTGGAGGAACCGGGAGCAGTTGAAGGAACACACGAGGCCGAGAAGACATACTAATTAGAGCAAGCATCTAGACCGAAAGAAGAGGACGTGATGGAGCCTGCTTTTTTTTCTCTTCGCAGAATGACAAATTACATCGAATTACTTTTCATATGATTACGTTGGTTTGTTTTTCTTCTTGTTTTTCTTCTAAGGGGTGTGCAGGCGGAATCGATTCTTTGCTCGTCTGGGTTTACGAGAACACGCGCAGCATGCATGGGGTATACTTTGTAAAATCCACACTCCACACTCCACGCTTGGGGTAGGCTGGCATCGCAATGTTTCCAAGGCCAGGCCACCACTTGGGCATCTCTTCGGAATCTGCGTAACGGTTGCTGTGCAATGGCGCTGTGCAAGACGAGGCGAAACTCTGGGGTGTGAAAAACGCAGCCTCTAAACAACTATGCGAATTCGTTAAACTGGCCGTCATCGAAGCCAAGGTCCTGAGCTGACAGCCGTTTCCTGTCCCTCTGTTGCGATCGAACGGCAGAGGCCCCGGAAGGAGGCGGCGGGGGCAACAACGGATTCGTCCCGGTGGTATTGAAGTTCTGGGCTGATGATGGCGGTGGCGGAAGCGAAAAGGACGACACGTCCTGGTTGTCTGAAGGTGTATCGCTTTGCTGCGCAGGTGGGGGCCGTCTCCGACCAAACCTGCCGCCCAGGTTGACGGTGATGGTCTCCCCTTCCTTGAGGCTGTAGTCTCGCTTCGGCTCTTCCTTCGATGGCGTAGTCGCCGCCAATTGATTTTGATCTTTCGCGCCACCTCCTCCCCGAGAGGGAACACCAGCAACGGATGCGTCTTCCATGCCCAGGCTCTTCCGCGCCTCCTGGACAGCGACACCAAAATCGAAGGCGTCGCTCCGCTCCTCAAACCCAATGCCCAGGAAGGCCTTGCGGCCCGCAGGATCCTGCACGCGCAGGGCAAAGAAGCGCGAGCTGTCGATCACGGGCTCCACGACGGCGGGGGAGACGTACGGCGCGGCGGCAAAGAGCTGGCCCGAGGCGGGATCCTCGAGGATGATGTCGACCTTGAGCCGCTCCCTGTCTTTCGGGTCCGCGGCCGACTCGTCCTCCCAGGCCGTCTCGAAAATTCGCAGGCGCGCTGTGAAGATCAGGCGTTGGTTGCCGTCGGCGGTCCATTGCGCGGCGGTGTGGCCCTTTGTGCTCGTCAGAGGCGGAATGTTGTAGACGTGGACGGTCGAGCCGACGAACAGGACGCGCTGGATGGCGTCGCCTGGGAGGGATTGGCCGGTTGCCGGGTCTATCGTGGGTTCCATGGTTTCGACAGAATGGTTATGGAGGTCGGATTGACAGAGGTAGAGTCGGCGCTTTGGTTGAAAGGACTGAGGGTGTCATGGTGGAGGATGCCGGTAAGAGGGGGGGGGCTCGAGACAGGCTCGCATTCGCGGATAGGGAGGGGAGGGGAGGGGAGGGGGACCCCTGACAGTGACAGCAAGCTAGGTACCTAGATCAGGGGCCAAATACACTGTAGCCTGCACCGTTTTGCGGGGTCATGCGAGGTACAGAGGTACGTAACCGTAAATCCCAGATACTGTGCTAAGTACCGGGCCGGGTAAGATACGAAAGTTCGAGACATGGCTTGAGGTTCTCGGATAAAACATTACGTCTAGCCACTTCTAGCTTAGCGAGGGGCGGGTGGGAACCACGATTAGCGTTAGCGTTAGGTTGGAATCTGTGGGACAGTTACCTGTCGCCCTGTCTGCCTCCCTTATCAATGGGAAATTCCCCAGGTCGTCAAAGACGGATGGTGTTTGAGTCACCTGCCGTCTTCAACACCTGCCAACGTCACCAGAGTGACCCAAACCAACAAACATTCCGGCTCAATGGCGACGGAAGACCCCCAACGTATGTCTTGAAGTCCCCGGTTAGCCGATCATTCTTCTCATATTCGTCAAATAATGGAAAGCAAACTGACAAATGTTCACTTGCAAGCGGCGAATATAGCTTCTGGCCGAGGCCACCCACCAGCTTCCGCTGGCGAAGGCGACCAACCGCAGACACAAGCTCTTCCTGTACGAAGCGGCCCTCCGCAGAGCTCGGACGACTTTGAGTATGTCCCGTCGAAAGCCCCGCATTCTCACTCGGTCATGCACGAATTGGTTGGTTAACCTTGTCCTTCTTACAGCATCGTCGCCGCCTACCATGCGAAGCTGGCCGACCACGACATCACAAAGCCCGTCGCGGCCATCGAGGCCCTCGTGGCCCTCCTTGCAGCCTCGCATTACACCACCGTCTTCGAGACGCTCGAGACGGTGAAACGCCACTCCTTGACCCTGCGCGCCTCGGTCCGCAACCCCACCCCGCTTCAGGCCGGCACCGACCTCTTCCTGCAGTATCTCGTCTCCTCGCTTAAGCAGCAGGAGGCCAAGACCGCCGCGCCGGGAGGCGGGACCACCTACCACCAGAGCTTCGAGGACGTCCTGCGCCACCTGGTCCTCAACAGCCGCCTCTTCGCCGACCGCGCCATTGCCGCCCGCGACGGTATCGCCGAAGCGGGCTGTCGCTTCGTCCGCGAGGGGAAGACCCTCCTCACCCTGGGCGCCTCCCGTTCCGTGGCCAAACTGCTCTTCCGCGCCGCGTCCCGCCACCGCGTCGACGACGTGCATTTCAAGGTCGTCTACGTCCGCGACGAGCGGCGCCCGGACGAGAGCGACCGGTTCGTGGCTTCGCTCCGCGAGAAGGGCATCCCCGTCGCCGAGATCTCCGAGCTGTCCATCTCCCACGTCATGAGCCTGCGGAACCAGGTGCACATGGTATTCGTGGGCGCCGAGGCCGTCACGCAAAGCGGCGGCATCATTTCGCGTATCGGGACCTTCCAGGTCGCCAAGCTGGCCCGGGAGAACAAGCCCCGGTTGCCCTTCTACGTCGCCGCCGAGACGCACAAGTTTGTGCGCAAGTTCCCGCTTGGCCAGGCGGACCTCGGTTACGACCAGACGGTGCTCGATTTCCAATCGAATAGTCCCAGCACCGTGCCCGAAAATGCAGTCGACTACACACCTCCCGAGTACGTCACGAATCTCATAACGGAGAACGGCGTCAAACTCCCGAGCTATGTTCTGGAACAGCTGCTGGACATTTACGGTGCTCTGAACGGTTAACGAACAATACAAACGGCCTTGCCTAGTCCGCCCCAGTCCCGCCTAGTCCGGCTTGAGGGCGGCGGTATGCTCTATGCAAGCATGGCGTTGGGGGGGGGGGGGGGGGGGGGGGGTTTGGGGGTAGGGAAAATGGAAACGCAACACGCTTTGGCTCATCTCCTACCTCTTCTCTGAGAATAAGGGGGCTTTTGCGACACGTAAAAACATCGACTGCAGCCTATTTGGGTTCTGGCCAACCTGATGCCATGACTTCTCGATTGCCACAACTACCTTAATGCTTAGACCGTTGAGGCTGAATATAATCGGGTCTGGCCAATGCTGCACTTCTAAAGACAGCCCCTTGCCTTGACCCACTGGGACAGGCCGTCGAGATGGGCGATGGGCCCAGGTAGCGGTTTATTGGATGGACTCATGAATGAATACAACGACTTGGAGTCTTGGCTCCAGAAACTGGGGGGAAACGGATGGGCAAGGCGTTGTCCCAAACAGATATTCTTGCTTTCGGTAGAAGCGCTTCTATAATTATACACAACGCTACACGGCGAGCTTAGGAAACATGCCTTTGGAGGACATGACAAAATGAGTTACCGACTGAGGCTTGCTGACCTGACTGCGTTTGGCGTGACTGATGATGTCCTAGCGAAGACTGCGTTATAGCGAGTCGCCTTGAGAAAATAAAAAGGGAATTGCTGAAATCTTTCTTCGCCCAAATCGAACTGCCACTATTATCCAAAGCGAGCCAGATGTGGCCAGATTTTCTGCCAGATGGTATCGGAAGAGAGAGATCACTTCAGCGGACATGCGGCTTATGAGATCTAAGAAGCTCTCTTTGGCGTATCCCGGACGAGTCTGGCCCCGGCCCAAGCGAACGGGTAGTTTCTCTGATACCAGTTGACACTGAACTCGTACACACGGACGCGATCAGCTACGAGGGCCGCATCTTCAAAGTAATGAACGATGTCCGCTTACAATGATTTACGTCCGGCGATCCGGGGGTGTGTGGCCCACGAGCCCCCCAACACGGTGTTGTGCTTACCGTCGAAAAAGTCGGCTACGGGAAAAGGTCAGACAGTGAGCGTTTTGACGGTCCATAACGAAGGCGATCTGCTCCTCTTTCGACCGGTCGGAGGATGCACGAGACGAAAAGGTGGGGTAAACCCGGCCTTACCAGAATAACCCGGATAGAGCGGCATGGGCTCGAAACCCTCGTGCTTTTCCAGCGGTGAGCTTGTCCATTTCCACACGCCACCTAGCTCGGCCTGTCCAGCGAGGCGGTCGCCGTTGGCCGTCACAGGGACAGGGTGCCAGTCTTGGAATCCAACATTGGCACCTCGGAGGTCGACGAAGAGTTCCAAGTTTTTAGAGGGCGGAGGCGTCTCATCCACCCCACCATTGGAGAGGTGCCTGGGTCCATGTGAGTAGGGAACATTTCCAGCAAAGTGATACACACGCCAGCCAGCTCACTTGTTCACGGCAGGCACGGTCGTCCCCAACGTGTGCTCCGGTTCCTGTCTCTGTTTCTTCAAGCGGTGAACGTAACTGTAGATGCTTCTCGTTTCCTCAAAGGTGGGGATGCGGCCGCCCATCCAAGTAGCGCAGCCCGACAGCTCGTCATAGGAGGCGAAGACCGGCCAGTCAAGTGCGTGCTTCAGGGGTACCGGTCCGTACACGGTACGGACGGCGAAAGCATCCAGGAACGAACTCGAGATTGTGTCATGACCGTTGCAGTGACCGTTCATTCCCTTGTCCGACCGTACTGGAGCTGAGAGTTGGACCCACGATGCAGGCGTCTTGGGACTATCTGAATTAGTTCTAAGGCCACTAGACCTTAAATGGATTTTTAAGTATAAGGTCGATCCTATAGGCTACGTTAATAAGTTTAAGGCACGCCTTTACGTTTAAGGGGATTAATAACCTAATAACCACCTTAACGCCTACGCCTCCACCCTCGCTAGAAGGACCTTTAGGTCGCTAATAGATATTATAGCCTACTTCGATCTCGAGACTCAGTAACTTAATGCCGTTAACGTATTCACTAATGCCCTGCTTAACGAGGAAATCTATATTAAGGATCCCCCTAGTTAGTAGTTACTCTAGTTGGTTACGGGCCTTAAAGCCTACGATTAGCTCAAGAATATTTTAAAGTAATCTATATATATCCCTAAATAACGTAGAGGGATTTAACGGCTACGCCGGGCGTTATATAGCCCATAGCGTTCTCTAAAGCTATAGCACTAATAGCTCTCTTCCGTACTAGGTAAGTGTGGTCTAAAGCAATTAACCGAAGATAAATACGTCTTTAAGTATAAGGTCCTGATTACTTTCTTTTACGGTAACGATATTATCCTAATCTACTATAAGGAATATTAATCTACTGCTAATAATCTAGTATAGTAGATATAGAAGAGTGTTAAATAGGTAGTCGTAAAGAGTGAAAAGGTAGGGTTAAGCAAGGAACCAGGTATAATCATAATAGGATTATAATAGGGTCAGAAGGTGGGTATAGCTAAAGAGTTAGATTAATCGCTGGCCTCCCCCTCTAAAGGGGAGGCTCCCTCGCTCCTTAAGGCTACGCTCTACTCCTTAAGGACTACTTATTTACTTCCTCGAGGGCTACCTTATTTACTTTGAGGGACTATTCTATTTACTATATAATAACTTACTTTATTTATACCTTAAGGGGTCTTAGACTAGGTATACCTGGATCCCTGTGGGTTTATACTAGGGTTCTATTATAACCACTGCTATAGGCACCTAATATAGCGACCTCCCCCGGATACTCCTGTTCTTAGGAGTGCCCGATCCGTGCCGGCCTCTCGGCTCCTCCGAAAACCTAGTCTCCGAGTCTATCTCCCACGCCCTAATACCCCGAACCAGAGCTCTCCACGACGGGACCTAATAGGTCCCCGCCTGGTTCCTATACGGGGCCTTTGATATGCCCTATCCAGGCATATCTCTGGCCAGCCAGTACTATCGGACCTAGGGCTTCTAGGGTTCGGAATAACGACCTTTAGGTATAGAAAATAGGGTGTAATAAAGATATCTTCTACTAAACTAAGGGGGAACCGCGCCGAGGATATATCCCTCGGCCGGTTCGGTCTAACTATAATCAGAGTATCTATACCGCGCTATTCCCGCGCGTAGTCCGGGCGCTATACGTTCCTTATCCGTATAAATAGTACCAGAGCTATATATTCTTTATCCGCGCGAATAGTGCCCGCGCTATTCACTTTATAGCTAAGCGGATAGTGCTTAGGCTATCCTTACTAGAGGCGTATTATATACCCCGGGTAATAAAAGCCTTACGTCCCGCAGGCGTTAACCGTTACGGAATTAATAGTGCGAGGCGCGTAGACTCCTACGCTCTAGGAAGGTGGCGCTACCCGGTTATAACTTAATAACTGTATACGGCGATAGTGCTTATAATATAAAGGAAAAGGTGGTTATAGTAATATAATATATTACGCTAACTACGCTAATTACTACTCCGTATAATAAGATACGCGAGGGGGAAGTAAATCGCTAGGTGGCGATAGGGGATAAATGGGGAGAGTTAAGAGAGAGAAAAAGTAAATAAGAGAAAGTAAGCTAACTAACCGAATATATCCTCTCGGCGCGTCCTTACGCCCGTGCCTAAACACTTATTCTAAACTACTATACCTAAACCCTGGTACTCGAACTATACGCCGAACTTAAAGTACTTTATAACGCCCTATAGGCGATCGCGGTTCTCCTCCGTTATCTAGCCTTCACTAGTTAGATCTTAGTGACCTTTAGCGGCTACGGGTTAGTATCTAGGAAACCCTAATATAATACCTCGCGATTAAGAATAGTCGTTATATCGTCTTCTATAAGACTAGCTTTTGTATCCTTAATTATTAGCTATAAGATTTTATAAAAGGCTATAACGCCTTTCTTACTATAGGACTTATAGTAGCGCGCTATAATTATAGCGCGCCGAATAACCGCCTTAGCGAGATCCGTATTATCGATATACTGTTTTACTAAATATTCGCGCTTATTATCCTTTAGCGCGCCGAGTACGTCTAACTTAGCGAGGTATACTAGCTTACCTATATATTAAAAGCCCACGAGTAAGTTTAGCTTTACGGTGTTCTAGACTTCGTGGTTAACTATATACTTATTAATAAACACGGCCGCTTAGATAGTAACCGGGAGCGGTAGCACGGTAGTATAGAAATACTACTTAATCTTACCGAATATCTAATCTCCGTGCGTAAACTCGGTAAACTGTATTAGCTAGGATAGGTTATTTAGGCTAACCGCGAAGCTCTTCGCGGCCTAGGTATATAGCACCTTAAGGCTAGAGCGGGCGAATATTTATTTAGCTAGAGGCGTTAATATATAACCCTGGTAAGGGTATTTAGTGCCCGTAATAGGCGAGGGGGTGCTAGCGGCGCTTAGGGTAGCGCTGAGTCGGAGCCCGGCGAGGATATTAGCTACGCTATAGATAATTAGCGCGGGGGTGGTTTATAGTAATTATAGGAAAGCTTAGATTTTAGCCGCCCGAGGTTTAATATTAGCCGGGTAGTCGTTTATTTTGCCGATAAAATCGGCGCCGCTAATCTTATTACCCTATAGTATTTCTAGGGAGTTAGTTAGTCTAAGGCTTAAGGACGCTAGTTTATAGACTATATACAGGATACGGGCGGGTATTATAGTATTACGTAGCTATAGGGGGGGGGTGCCGGGGACTAGGGTCTAAGCGGTCGCCGTGGTGTTATAAGGTAGTAGGGAGCCTAAGGGTATAACTATAAGGCCTAAACGGCGGTTAGTAGGGGGATTAGGGAGGAACTAGCTATTTACGGCCTTAGGGGCGTTATAGCGAGCTATAGCAAGGTACTACTCGAATATTTAGGAATACTAAGGCTAATTAGCGACATCGATATTATTATCTAGTAAAAACTACGGCTAGGGGTATAGGGCAGTAATCTACTACGTAATAGTTACTAGCACGACGCGTTTTACTTCCTCGGCTAGGGTAAACATAGTCCTGTGGAGGCGGCGGTCGAGGGGGTTATCGTATCTAGCGTTAATAGCTTACTAGCGATACCTTATAATAGTGCTTTTATTATCACGGCGCTACTACTTAAATACTAAACCGGTAGACTATAGCCCTATAATAATATAGTTCTTATTACTAAATAGAGTAAGGGCCCTAAAGTAACCATCGAATATAAGTCCTTTACCCGATTTCCCTTTAGCGAAGTACCGCGAAGATTTCTATTAGAACTTATAATCCTTAGACCTATAGATATCGGTTAGATATTTAACGATATAGTATAGTAGGAGGCTTATTATAAACGAGGGGAGAATATTACGAGCGCCGGATAAACTAAGAGAAAAGGGTATATACGAGATACTATAAGATAATAACTAGGGAAGCACTGCCTATTTACCTTATATATTATAATAGAGATTATATATAAAAACTAGGGATTATAATACTTACGAAGATAGCTATGATAATAAAGAGTAGGAGAAGATTAGTAAGTATAGCCGGGCGTTTAGAGAACTTTTTATAGCCGGGTAGGAGGGTAGGCTAATCTAGTAGAACGGCACGGTTTATACTATTTTTATTATTCTTCCGCGTTATTTTCCTTTTATGTACCTGCCGTTTAAAGATCGGATAACCCTTATACCTTCCTTTACCTGAGTTCGAGGTCGTTCGCTATACGTGAATAGCGCGTGGTTACCTCGGGTGACTTACTTTCCTTATTCGGCGCCTAATAAGGCTATAAGGCTATACTAAAGCTCCTTAAAGGTTCTTTACCCCGAGTATTCTTGAACCTATCTATTCCTTTAACGTCCCCTGGCTTAAGGGTTTTATCCGGCGTTATCCCTTTTATCGTAGCTCGCAGTGTTTCTAAGGCCCTTTATCGTGCCTTAAAGGCTTCGACTATTTCTAGTACGTCTATCGCTTCTTTTAGTATCTATATATTCTAATAACTTAGCTAGCCTTTCCACCGAATTAGGTACTCGGTATAAGGCTTACCTCGCCCTTTCCGGGTAATTCTCTTATTTAGGATAGCGTCGATCTTATAGTGCTCGTATAGGTCTTATTATTCGTGCCTATTATTATCTAGGTTACCGAGGCGAACCGGATTACTATTAGTTTCCCGACCCGGGAACAGGTCCGATCCTAGCTCCTATACTAGCTAAAGATAGGTAATACTAATAACGGGGTAGATATTAAGTATAGCGGGGAGATCTAAACGGTATACGAGAGGTAAGACTTACTCCTTAACCTTAAACGGGCCTATTCGTTACTAACTAAGTTTAGTGGACGGCTTACTAAGTAGCGAGTAGCTATACTTAAGCTTAATAAAGACGAAGTCCCCTAAGGCGAACCGAATATTATAATACTTTCTATCATATAGCCTTTTTATATATATCTAAGCTAAGGCGATATATAGTTTAGCGTCTTCCTGAAAAAGTTCTCGGGCAAACTACGGGTTAGTATCTCCGATTATATCGAGGGGGCTATTAGTTCGGACACCGTATAGTAGTTTATTTAGCGAGTAGCCTAAGACTTCGCTAAAGGCGTTATTTAGGTTAAATTATAGGGCGATAATACCCTTTATCTATAGAACGTCCGGGTAAGTGGCGAGGAATATACGAATAGCGATCTTAACCGTCTAGTTCTTCTATTCTAATAGCCTATCCGTCTACGGGTGCTATACTATTAAGAACCTAAATAGTATACTAGCTTCCTTCTAAAGT